TTAAATCTATTTATTACTACAAGTACTATTTTGACATCATTCATTAATTCATTTATCGTACAATACAATAAGTACTACTCCATATTTCCTAGGTACGGTTATAACTGGAAAATTCTACTACTCCAGTATTCAATAAAGTAAAGTGTTGTTATAGTATAGAGCATGAATGGTTACTCCGTTTGTTACGGTTGGAATACACTAACAACATACGTAAAAGTACGGTTCGAATCCGTAGTCAATCCTATTTCCGATAGGAGTAGGTGCTATGCGTATCGATCCGTGCTGTAGCTCACGCGTTGTAGTCAAGAAAAGGAAATTTTAGGACATATACATTAAAATTTTTTTGGTGATGGTCTTGTTTCTGGTTGAATTTTTGGACATATACATTAAAAATCTCTAGGACATATACATTAAAAAAAATTGGCGATGGTCTTGTTTCTGGTTGTTGGGGATCTGAACTCGTGTAGTGAAACTATTTTGTAGGAATGAGAAACCTCTGAGGTTTCAGTTGGGAGTGGGAGCTACTTTTAAAGTTTTTTTTTATATAGAAAAATTACAAAACTCTCTTTAAAGTGATAAAAATTACTTTATCAATTTCACTAACATTTCTATAATATAATAAAATGGTATGGTTCTTTTAACATTGATCTACAGAGACTTATATCTAACTTGCTTCTATTATATTGCGTGAGATGCTACTCGCATATTCGACTGCGCCTCTAAAGAAATTATTTATTCTAACTCCATTAATAATTTGAAGTATCCATTATACATATATAATGTTATCATGAAAATAATTGATATGCAACCCGCGTGTTGTAGTGTAGAAGTTGACAACTTAAGAATACATAACATAAGTTCATAGAAATTTCAAATTCGATTTCTCTGTCGAACAACAAAATTGTGCGTGGACCACTTCGTATTTCGGGCTTGATCCAGGTTCTTTAATATGATGAACCAGTATAGGATAGCGAAAAAACTTCTCGATCCATCGAATGAGATTTGGATCAATGTAAATAAATATAAAGGGTTATATATATGGCTATCTCTGAATTAATACGTAAGTATAATTTTAATACATTAAACGCACATTGTGTTGGCAAATGATACCGTCCCCAAGGGCGATCTCCAGGGTTTGTACGTATGTGGTGACGTTTTTTTTTCTCTCGCTTAAATTATGTAAACGTTGACTTCTAATCTAATATCTATTGGACTTCTTACAAGTACAAATTTACCCTTTGTTATTATATACTCCCTCTGTTTCATAATAAATGTCATTTGAAAAAAATATATTTGTATTGTAATTAGATGTGTTTTGAGTTTAATACATCCAAATATATTGCAGATACATTTTCTCAAAATGACACTTATTATGAAACAGAGAGAATATATCTAATAATTATATACAGTACTACATTTTGAACATTCTCTTCACAGAAAAATACAGAAAGAAAAAATTGTTACAGTTTCGTGAAATCATTTCCCTTTCATTTGCTTGAACCTTACTAAGTACAATGCATTCATGTTAAATCAGATATGCACCATTCCCATGCGTTATATTGTATTGAATGAACAAAAAAAAAGAGATAGAGGGAAATGTGTGGAACCCACTAGTGTAATCAAAGGTTGTAGTTAGTGACGACATTATAACCATCATATGAAATCACACTATCTATTTCTTGGTTCCTAATAGCTCGGCAAGTATGCTAAGTTTAGGTATTTATAACTTGATTAGTTTCATTTTTCATTGCGTTCTTTTAAATTTTTAATACTTACTTTAAGTGATACATGATATATATACTTCAAGTATTGATCTAAATACATTACGTAAAATTCTTATTTCTTACTATAAAACAAACGATAATGATAAGTTGATAACTCTGTAAAATTGTCTTAATAATTTGGTCTAAAAAAACCCAGATGGCGAACGGTTTGTTGCAATTGGCAAATGCGCAATAGTCTCAGTAGAGAAGTTTGTGTTAGATATTATAGATACAAAGTCTCTATTTTAGTTTGATTGTAGATCAAACATACTCATCAAATTATACCATTAACATGTTTAGGGATCCGTAATATTTCTCCTAGGATTCGGTTATAATATAATTAACGAAGTAAAATTAACAAAACAAAAGTTTCATGAATTTCGCCAAAGTGTAATGATTTGTATATTGGGTACAAACTTTAGTGGCACACCAAGAATAAAACCGGTGGGGGACACCTTCTTTAGGTTTTCACATCTAATTTTCAGTTTTACTCATTTTAAGTAATTAAAAAATGTCATTTGCGAACAAAAAAAAAAGAAGAGGAAAATGTCTTTTTTTTTTTTTTTGTGACGATTGCAAATTAAAAAACACTAAAAGCTCTCAATAGCAATCCAACAGTACCAAGCGTTTAAAAAGTCAAAAGTTTCGATGTCGCATAGAATTTGTTTAGCTATAAATCTATATAATTATAGATCGAATAGATACACATTACACACACATACACACATTTTTTTTAATCACGTTTAAAACAGTAGTTAACTAAGTCTTTGAACGTTTGGCTTATAATACATTTTAGAAAACTGCTTTTTCCTCTAGAGATTCCAAGTTGGCCACCCAAGAAGACATTAAAAGCGACTCAGTAGTGAACCAGCCAACCAAGAAAAAGATACATTATGATAGTGACATATTTATAATCAGTGCCATGTTTATAACCCATGCTTTCCACTGTCAAGTGTGATTTGATTTCTACTAGACATATGTAGTTCGAAAGTTGAATTATTTATCAAAAGATTAAATATAACTTTATCTCCTTGCCGATGAACCCAAATAATTCTCAAATCTTCAAACTTCCAAAGCCTCTGCATTGATTAATAAAGCTCGAAACGATCTGGTTCCAGAGCCATTAAGACATCAGCAACAATGCTTCCATTAGAAGCAGTAACACAAGTGTTAATCATCCTGTCATTGACTTGCTTGATCGATAAAAGCTTCGTGGGGACTTCGAGAATCAAAGTATCCAACCATTTTCTAGTGTTATCAAGTGCAGATTGCATAACTTGAGTCCACTGATTGTATTCTCATGAAAGAAATAAAAAAAACCCAATTAATTTCTGCTTCTCCATATTTGCCATAGCATCCACAGGACCACAGAGCCAGTCGCAAACACATTTGATTTACTTAAATCAAATGCTAATTAATAAGTTTCTTTTTTTAATTAATTTAATTTTCCACATTGAACAAGCAAAAACTATATTGCATCTATTAATTATGTAAATACATCCAAACTTATAGTTACATGTATAATTACAAATACAATCACATCTTACGAATTTGCTTCTGACATCAAATGGCATTTTCAGTTACATCTTACAATGCTGTTTAAGAATTAAAAAAAAAAGAAAAAAAGTAAGTGGAAGTTGAAAGTGACTGTGAGTGGGTGCTAATAATATATGTCATGCCATATCATGTCTTAATTGTATGAAAACCAAAATCCAATTTACTCGAACTATGTACATTCACAGAACAAGCTCGACCAAAAACAAAATATCCACCAAAATCATAAGAATTTTAGGTTTTCCATAAGTGGCAAAAGGCTCATCAGCCATCAGTCATCACCAGTTGCTTTTCAACTTGGCCTACTATTAGTGATTATCACTCCTTCACAACCACTAAACCTCACATCACCTCTCAACGTGTAAACCTATAGACTATCACATTCACTAGTGTTTACATATTTATTCTTAAACATTTTGAGTGAAGGGTTAACATGATTAATGGATCTTTTTCCATATATAAAGCCTATCTAGTAGAGGACAATAGTTATTCTTGAGTAAGGGATTAATACAGTACCAAGAGATTAATGGATCATTTCCACACTTAATTTATAACATTCATATCGGATTACACACATATTGTTGTGATTCTTCCATTATTCTTCAGCCAAAGCAGCTTAACTCTCCCTAACCACGATAACATGACTCGTCCTTGATGAAACAATCGATCGAACACTTTGAGAACAAGAACATTGATGAAACATAATTGAAAGCCTTTTGTCAAATTTCTTTTTTTGATGAAACATAGTGATCACTTTGCCCAACTAATAAAACATGGTAATTAATTACTTCAAGGTGTATTCCATTATACTGTAGTTAAGAATATAGTCAATTTCGCAATTAAATCTTAGCATCAAAAAAAAATAAGATTCAGTTATGGTGGATTCGACGTGGCTTCTATGTCTATGTGGATTCCTATGAACATCTGTTCATAGATTCTCTCTTCCAAGAACAGTTCCATGGTGGTGACTATTCATCTGTAAGATTTTTTTTGTTTTCTTTTCGTATTTCTATATAAACATTTTGGTAACGGAATATCATCCTCTCAACATTCAAGTTATCTGAATAATTAGTTGTTCGTAATTTTGTATCGAGTTTGATCATCTATTTTTTACTCCTACAAATTGATGTATTATACTATCAAATACAATTTGCTTACTATTTTGTCACAAATAAATTCTTTTGGTCGCAAAATGAGAATAAATGTAAATAATAATGCGGTGCCAAGTGTATATGAAATTTGAATTTTGAACAAAATTACTGTAATTCTATTTTTCAACACTTTTGTATTGTAGTTTTTTTATAGTATCTAAATTTTCACTTTATCAAAATATATATTTGAATTTAACCGATATATTAATATGTAGTTATACCACTAAATTTGTTGTACTAATTGAGTAATTTTGTCGGTCGTCCGTCTGTATAAAAAACAAAAAACATTTTAAATTACAGTATTGAGCATGTACGTCAGTTTCATATATTAAAGTTGAGAGACCCAGTTATATAAATACTTCCATATCCTTAATAATAGCCCAAAGATATTTGGGCTTCATATTTTGGGCTCCACAAATATGGGCCGACATTGCTGATTACTCCGCCTCGCACAGACGCAAATCGTTTTCAGAAAGGACGGAATAAACTGAGATATTTTTCAGTGAAGCGCTAAACAAACGAAGAAACAACCATGGCGGGAATCGATACGCAGAGGCAGCTTCTCTCTTTGATCCGCGACTTCACCTCTGAAAGATCTCGAGGAGGTAACATCTTCATACTTTCTGTAGCTTTTTTTTTTTTTTGCATTCTCGAAAAGATCTCGAGATTTCGCAATTAAAGCAACGGTGAAAAATCGGAAGGCGTCTAGCAGAAATTCGAAAAAGTACAAGTTGATCGGCATTTTTTCGGAGATTCCATGAAACTTAGGGTTTATGCGTTAGTTTTACGCGATTCAATCTCCATAGTTTCTGTAGTTAGAGATATATATGGTTCTGATTGTTGGTGATTTTCTCGTCAAGAGCAAAGAGTGGTTGGATTGAAGAAGCAAATCGAGACTCTTCAATCGGAAGTGGAATCAGCGTTTGCAGAAGTTGAAAATGCGAAGCGTATCAAAGAAGTGGCAGAGGAGGAGCTCAACGGCTACGAAGTTGAATCGTCTCTGAACGATGCTACGATTCAATCTCTGGAGGTTTCTATTTTTTCCTTAATTCACTTGGTTTGTGAGATTCTTAGAGCTTTTAGTGCCTGTTTCTGATCGATTACCATGTATATCAGGCAAGGATTGCTCTTCTCCAGGATGAAATTTCAACTCTAGGCAGTGAAGTGGATGCTCTCAAGGTTTTGCCTACACACTGTTTGTATAAGGTTTAGTGCTCATGGTTGATTATTTTCTCTGTTTGACGTTCTGGAATTTTTGTGGATGACTTGATGTGGTTGGGGAAACAAAGAACAAGGAAGGATTACTCAGGTGATTTCATCAATCTAACACCTTAATTAGTTCTACTTCTTGACGTGAACTTAGTTTATGGTTAGTGATTGCTTATTCTTTTTGCTATACAGGGACCAGTTTATAAGTCAAATGGTTGAACTGAACAAGGAAATAAGGTTATTTTCTATTCTATGCCTTTGGATCTTATGCAGTTATGCTGCTGCAACACATCTAAGTTGTTTTCTTGGTAATAGGGAGTTCCAGAAAACAGTAGCTTCCAGTGTGGGAAATGGTGATAGTACTAGCATAACAGCAAGTGAGTAGCCAATATTTTCAGTTTACTCATCTTGTCTGATTTCTCACTCTGTATTAAGAGACGATGGCTTGTGGATATGTTTCGTGATAGCAGATGTCAAAGGTTTTGAGGATGGTCATGGAGCTGATTCAGAAGCTACCAAGGATATGATATCTGATGTAAATTCTCAATTAGCAAAAGAGGAAGAAGGATACATGGCAGAGCAGAACATAAAAGAACAGGTAATGGACCAGGGTTATAGTCTTTGTGTCATTCTTATACTTGAAAGTTACTTACGCTTCTCTAAATACCATTTGCTAACTCCATTTCCTGTTTTAGGTTTTCAATCATTCTATCTACGAGGAGAATTGGGATTGATATTTCGGGTTTTTTTTTATCTGTAGCTGCAGAAGGAGCTAAACGAGTATGAGAAGAAAATGTCACTCATGGAGGCCATAACAGAGAAAACAAATTCAGTGCAACTTCTCGCTAGATATCCTTATTTTCGTTAGCTAGTGAAGCATGGTTTATAAACTAATAACTGAGGTCATAGCAATCATTTATCACGTATACACCAACTAGTTCTGTTTGTTTAGAGACAGCCTGCACTCGGCAGCAGCCGCTTGGATTTAAGAGGAAACCAGTGCTTGTATGTATATTTTTATTTGCCATTCTTTCGAAAGAATAGTTTCCTTGATGGAATACAAGCTGGCTTCTGAGCTGGAACAGACATTGGCTTCACTCGGGGAGGAGCTGCAAAAGAGATGCCAATGCCAACATTGCCATGCAGAAAATCTGGACGTCTTGAGCTTGCTTCTCCAGGGGGATCAAGTATGTTGACCCTTTTCTAACTATTTGTCTCATTTTTAAACAACTTTTGGGAAATGCCATCAAGTTACTGGAACCAAAAGCTTCTACATTCGTCTATGGGCAAATATATGAAATGTTGACATACAGTCTGATGCATCCATGTTCAGATATTTTCGACTTCTCTAGTTATCTTAAAACTTGTTTGCTCTCTGTTAGTCTAACCATATAGACCTACCAGATTTCTTTTAGACAGGTTGAACAGTCTCTTGTAAATGCTCATAGATAATTTTTTGTAGTGTATTGAGCTTGAGCATCTAATTGTATCGGTGATGTTTTGTAAACCGTATAGTCAGGAAAAGCCATCACATATAGGTTCTACTTCTCTTTAGTTGGAATTCTCATCCTGAATGGATGTATACGTGTGTTATAGCTTGTTTGGGTGGCTACGACTTCAAAAAGCATAATCTGCATAGAATTAACTTTGAATCCTGGTCACACTTGCACTTCTACATTTTTATAGAATAGTAAAGAGACTAGTAATGATCAGAAAACCGGCTCTCAGTTAGTGGCAATGGTCCATAGTAACTGTCAACATGATTAGATAGTAATGTCAAATTTCTCTTTACAGACCGAGCTTGTAGTTTCTTACATATTATCCTATATTTTTTTCTCCAAGCTTTCATGTTTATAATATTGTTATATTTTTGCAGAGTATGGTGGAGGCTTAGTTAAAGCCAATCTAACTTGTGGGAAGGAAGATTGATTTACTCGGGTCCAAAGATGGTAAGACGTTTACTTTCACCCTTAAGGATTTAAGAAACGACTTCTCAACAAATTTTAGTAAACTTGTATATTGATGAAGCAAACACTAGTCCCCTAGTGTCTTCAACACTAATCACGTTCTTCGGTTTTAAAGGTACAATCAATTTCTTGAAATCTGTGAAACCGAGCCATGGTTTTCTGTTTCATAGAAAAACCAGAACCACACCTTGACCTAAATGACATCACAACAATGATACAATTTTCTTGGCATCAGTATGGAACTAATAACTTCTCCATTTTAATTCACGTCTCTGGTTTCCCTCAAGGATTTTAAAAGGGTGATTCTAATGCCTTCGTATACAAAAGTTCAACATAATTAAATTCTTCATAAACAAAAATCTAAAAGAATAATTTTAGATGGATAGCGTCCAGCTAGCTTCTTGTTAACTCAGATTTCTCTGGAGATTGACCAATGAGAAATAAGCACCCGTGGGACCCTTTGCCATCAAGGACGAGTGAGTCCCACATTCGATCATTTTCCCTTTGTCAATAACGGCGATCGCGTTGCAGGTTTGGATCGTGCTAAGCCTATGTGCTATCACGACACTCGTCCTCCCGACCATGATACGCTCGAGCGCGTCTTGTACCAGACGTTCCGATTGGCTGTCCAAAGCGCTCGTCGCTTCATCGAGGAGCAACACCGACGGGTTCTTCAGAACCGCACGAGCGATCGCAATCCTCTGCTTTTGACCGCCGGACAGTTGTATTCCCCGGTCGCCACAGTAGGTATCATAACCGTCCGTTAGCGATGTAATGAAATCGTGAGCGTTCGCTGCCTTAGCCGCCTCGATGATCTCCGACTCATCGATCTTGTCGGATGCTCCTCCGTACATTATGTTCTCTCGGATCGTCCCGGCGAATAACGTTGGCTCCTGGCTAACAAGAGCTATGTGTTGACGAAGCGATCTCAAATGATACGACTTTATATCGCGACCGTCGATTGTCACAGCACCCTTTAACGGGTCATAGAACCGCTCGATCAAGCTAATGATTGTGGATTTACCTGACCCGCTTGGACCCACGATCGCCGTCGACTTCCCCTCGTCGATCTCAATGGAAAAGTCTTCGAATATAATCACATCTGGTCGTGTTGGGTAAGCGAAGTCCACATTGTCAAATCTGATGTGTCCCTTTATCCTTTCAGGGACATATCCATTTGGGTCTTCCGGTTCAATGGCTGTGCAGCGATCTAACACTGCGAACACGGACCCAACCGCATCCGAGCCCTTGGCTAGATCCGTCGTCATAGACCCAGCGTCGGCAATAACCCGACCCGTACTCACGAAAATCGTAAACATCTGAAAAAATGCTTTCGCCACAATTTTACCATCATCGATCAACTTACCACCATACCAGAAATTCAGAACAGAAGTGCACGTCATGAGACTTCGTGAAGTTGCTAGCACGATCCCTGCTAACCAAGATTGGCGCACGCTTTCTCTCCGTGGACCTTCTTGAACCCTTTTCAGTAGTCTCAAGATTCGTTCTTGTGAAGAGAAAGCTGTTATGGTTCGGATGTTGGAGACAGCTTCCGCGGCTAGTTTGCTGCTCCCATCTTGAGCTTTCATTGCCTTTTTCGACATGCTCTTAAGCAGAACTCGTTGAGTGTAGAAGCACATGATAACCACTGGCTGCACCGCAATCATCACTATGGCTAATCGCCAAGCGATGACCAGACCAAGTGTGCAAGCTATGGTCACTGCCGATATGGTCTGTACCAATAGTGACACCCGTTCACCAACCAACGATCTCACCTATCATTAATAAAATAAAACATTACAAGATCAAGAATTGGTACAAAAAAAAAAACAAAATGTTCATTGAATTTGAAATTAATAGGAGGCGGAAAGACATACCAAGTTAGCTTCTTTTGCAAGTCTAGCGCAAATTGCACCACTCGAGTTCTCGTCTTCATCGTACCAGTTGACTTCAAATGTCAATATCTTCGAGAGCATCTTTTCTCGGATACGTTTTGTTAGGTATTCACCCATGTAAGCAAAACTATAATGCTGAATGATGTTGATCAAGAAAGAGAAGAGAGCTAGACCAACAAAAGATAATGTGTAGATCCTTGTTTTCTCTTTGACCTCGTCATGATTCGTGAGGAAATACACCGACACCATCGATCCTGAAGCAAATGAAAAAGTTGGCTGTATAGCCCCATATAAAGCTGCACTTAAGCAACCATACAGTGCATGTTTCCATTCTGGTCTATTCATCGCCATCAACCTCTTAAATGATGGCACAGGCGGCTTCTTCTTCTTCTTCTTCGGTATCGAACTGGAAAGATTCATATCAGTGCTTGAAGTCGTGAGCAAGTTGGACCGGCTTTGACTGTGGAGTCTTGGACTATACTTCAAATCTTTTCTCAAAATCGAGAATTGACTCCCTTGCACACTTACACTACCGATGTCACCATCATCTGATTCTTCATTCTCCATTTGCTGTAAGCGGACTAGAGAAGTATATTGCCCATTCAAGTTCTCCATGAGCTCTTCGTGTGATCCAGTTTCTACAATGCGACCATTATGGACTACATAGATGAGATCAGCATTACGAATGGTAGAGAGGCGATGGGCAATAACAATAGTTGTACGGCCGAGAGAGGCATTGTCTAAGGCTTCTTGGACTACCCTTTCGGATTCTGAGTCCAATGCGCTTGTTGCCTCGTCTAGTAGGAGAATCGTTGGTGATTTGATTATTGCACGTGCGATTGCGATCCTCTGCTTTTGACCACCTGACATTTGCACTCCTCTCTCCCCAACCTACCAAAAAACGAAGATACGTCTAGATCAAGCTAATAAAAAAAGACAAGTAACTTGTTGTTAAAGTTAGAATCTAACCTGTGTTTTGTAACCATCAGGAAACTGAGAAATGAAATTATGAGCGTTTGAGGCCTTTGCAGCTTCCACTACTTCATCCATGGATGCGTCCTCTTTACCAAACAATATGTTATCCTCTATCGTTGTGGCGAAGAGCGCAGGCTCTTGGCTAACTAGACCCATTTGCGACCTTAGCCACTTTACTTGAAGCTTATTAATGGACACACCGTCAATAAGAATCTCTCCTGCGGTTGGGTCATAGAACCTCTGCAAAAGTGAGATCACGGTTGATTTTCCCGATCCGCTTCCGCCAACCAAAGCCACAGTTTTCCCACATGAAATTCTCAAACATAAATCGTCAAAGATTAGGGTTTCTGGTCTAGACGGGTACATGAATTTCACGTGCTTAAACTGAACTTCTCCTTTGATCTTCTCAATAATTTCGCCTTTCGGATTGTCTGAATCAATATCGGGAACTCTCTTAATCACTTTGCTAATCCTTTCCCCTGCTACAATCGCCTCTGAGAAATATTTGAGATTTGACAAACCTCGACCTAGTGATCTGAAAAATTGTAAGATAACAAAGATCAAAAACAAACAATATGGTTTGCTTTTGTGCCAAGAAAACTAGAACATATATATATATATATATATACTTACGTGCCGCCAAAGGCTATGCATACGATGACTGCGAAGACAGTACCGCCTTTGGCACCATGTTCCATAACCATCCGACTTCCATACCAAGTCATGAACCCCCAAATGGCATAAGTGATACCATTGCTCCCAAGGGCGATTCCTTTAGCTAGTCCTTGTCTCAGCCCTAGCTTCACCGAGCCTTGAAGCGCAGCTGAGAATTTCGATAGCATTTTCCTCTCACTGCCAAACGCATAGACAATTCGCACCATCGAGATGGCTTGCTCAGCAATGGAACCAGCTTCATTGTACTCCTCGCGTATCTTCCTCGAGATGCTGATGAGAGCTCGACCGTACATCAGTCCAGGGATCAAGAGGAGGACGATGAACGGGAAGCCTACGATTGTGAGTCTCCACATCATGAGGAAAGCCACTATGTAGCTTGCGACAAATGCCGATGTATTCATCAAAAAGTTTGGTAACTGCTTGAAATCAAAATCATCAAATCCCGCTTAGAAGCAAATCAAAACATGATTAGAATTATGATAGATAGTAATAAAAAGTTGAGACCTTTTCACTGAGGACGTCTTGAACCACGAGGCTGTCACTAGAGACACTAGTGATGACATCGGAAGTGCTTGTGACATGAAGATCAAAGTAACCCACATCTTGTCTTAATACTGCTCTTAAATACTTTTCTCTCATTCTAGCTGTCTGTCTCTCCCCTGTCCTTGTCCAGCAATATCCTTCTGTTTTGTTTAAAAAAATTTAAACGCAGCCACATTATTAAAAAAAAAAATAATAATAATGTATTGAAATAACGTCCGAAATCGATGTAGCCCCAATTCGGTTTTGATGTAATAGTCTTTTTTTTTTGTTCCTGTCCAGTCTTTGTTTAAAATTTTTAATAAAAGTGAACGCAGTCATTGTAAAATAGTTTTATATTTGTTTGAATAAATTTAACATCCATATAAAAACAGAAGTAACCAGTATATTGTTTCAATTTGATATTTGTTTTCTAGATAGAAAGGGAAAGGAACATATTTTAAATAGACTTACCAAGGAAACATAGTACCCAAGAGGCACACGACACATAAAGCAAACCTACAACTTTCTGTGTAAAAAGAAGGAAGAAACGTTAATACTCTTTTCAAATGAGTAAATATATCATCAACGGTCATTTTATGTCAAAATTCGCATTTGTTTTTCTTAAAACCAATGGAAAATCAGTGGAACTTATCTCATATATTATATTAGGTTTTTTACCTTATTTATCATTCATAATTAAACCTAACATATATCCAGTATATATTACATGGTCATAATAAGTTAGAAAACGAGGTGAAGTATGAAGTATCGATCACGCCATGTTTGGTATACTTTGTCATGTCTACTTACTAGATAATAGAGACTAACAACAGAAAAGAAAGAGCAAAGAAGGGAAAAAAGACCTTGGAGATGGAGTTCATGAAGGTTCCATCACTGAAAGAGCCACCGAGGTCATTCAGTAATAAGCCGGTAATGAAAAATATGATTGGAGTGATGAAGCCATCACCGACGGCTCCGATTAACCCTAATCCCATTAACATCCAATCCACACGGTTCGCGTGCATGAATATGGATCTTATGTTTTCCCAATTCTTCATCCTCGTCGTCTTCCTCTACGTCCCTTCTTTTTATTGTTTCAGAGAAAAGAGTAAAACGACACCTTGGCCTTGGGGAAACGACAGCTTACAGTCTTCTCTCTTTTTCGTTTAAGAGCAAAAGGTTCTCTCTTCTTGCTGACAAAAGGAGACCGTCAAATAATTATTATAACATTTATTTTTGTTAAAAATAATTATTATAACATGCGTATTATATATCATTAACTTCGTGTCTTCACGTTGCTTTTATATTATTAACTTTGAATCATGTTCCGTATCTACACTCAGAACTCATAGAATCAGTAAAATGATTTTCTAAACAGCATCACTAAATGATTTCTGCTAAATTATCTCTCAAGCTTTCGTGTCTCCCACCTCGTACTTTGTGAATTTCTGACCAAATTTGGAAGAAGAGAAAACTAATTATGCTAGAAGCTATAATCTTATAAGTTAGTATATTTTTTTTTTGGAAAACGTTCCTAGAGTATTAGTATATTATCTTCACGTATAGTCATCAGCCATACGATTAATTAAAGACCAATTTGATCATTTCAAAGCAAATAATATATGTTAATCAGACTTGTTGTTATCAAATTTATCATTGACCTTATAGCTGTCTTTACATAACATCATAGGAAATAAATCAATAATTATAACACATCGATATGGATTCAATATTGAGTAGTAGCCTAGCTAGTAGGGGTGGCCGAACTATGTTATGGACTAAGTTTTTTAGGTTTTAGGTTGGGTTTGGGTTATTTAAGTTAGTAATAAATAAATAAGAGTAATTAGCTAATTACATCACTTGCTTTCACTAAAGTATGACGCATAACAAATAACATCACTTGCTTATATTGGCTATGTGCATGCGTTCGATCGAATACACGTCCAAAAAAATAACTAAAACAATGGGACGGACATTTAATAGAGATTTCTCTGGAGATTGACCAATGAGAAATAAGCACCCGTGGGACCCTTTGCCAACAAGGACGAGTGGTCCCCACATTCGATCACTGTCCCTTTGTCCAAAACGGCGATCGCGTTGCAGGTTTGGATCGTGCTAAGCCTATGTGCTATCACGACACTCGTCCTCCCGACCATGATACGCTCGAGCGCGTCTTGTACCAGACGTTCCGATTGGCTGTCCAAAGCGCTCGTCGCTTCATCGAGGAGCAACACCGACGGGTTCTTCAGAACCGCACGAGCGATCGCAATCCTCTGTTTTTGACCACCGGACAATTGTACTCCTCTGTCTCCGCAGTACGTATCGTAGCCGTCCGTTAGCGATGTAATGAAATCGTGAGCGTTCGCTGCCTTAGCCGCCTCGATGATCTCCGACTCGTCGATCTTGTCGGATGCTCCTCCGTACATTATGTTCTCTCGGATCGTCCCGGCGAATAACGTTGGCTCCTGGCTAACAAGAGCTATGTGTTGACGAAGCGATCTCAAATGATACGACTTTATATCGCGACCGTCGATTCTCACAACACCTTTCACCGGGTCGTAAAACCGTTCGATCAAACTTATGATTGTGGATTTACCTGACCCGCTTGGACCCACGATCGCCGTCGACTTCCCTTCTTCGATCTCAATGGAGAAGTCTTTGAATATAATCATATTTGGTCGGATGGCGTAAGCAAAGTCCACATTATCAAATCTGATTAGTCCCTTAATCTTCTCCGGGAGATACCCATCTTGGTTCTCCGGCTCAATGGCTGTGCAGCGATCTAACACCGTGAACACATACCCAACCGCATCTGAGCCCTTGGCTAGATCCGTCGTCATGGTCCCAGCGTCGGCAATAATCCGACCAGTGCTCAAAAAGATTATAAATATCTCAAAGAACGACTTTGGTGTGATCTTCCCATCGGCGATTAGTGTACCGGCGTACCAGAAATTCAGAACCGAAGTGCATGTTGCGAGGCTTCGTGAAGTGCCTAACACAGTCCCTGCTAACCAAGATTGGCGTACGCTTTCTCTACGTGGACCTTCTTGAAACGTTTTGAGTAGTTTCAAGATCCGTTCTTGCGACGAGAAAGATGTGATGGTTCGGATGTTGGAGACAGCTTCCGCGGCTAGTTTGCTGCTCTCGTCTTGCGCTTTGATTGCCTTTTTGGAGATGGTTTTGAGAAGAACGCGTTGAGCGTAGAAGCACACGACAGCAAGTGGCTGCATCGCAATCACCACTATGGCTAATCTCCAAGCGATGACTAAACCAAGTGTGCAAGCTATGATCACTGCAGATAGGGCTTGTACTAATAATGATATACGGTCACCGACCAGCGATCTCACCTATCACAACAAAACATTACAAGATCAATAATTGGTAATGAAACAAATGATTCATTGAATTTGAAATTATATAAGTTGGAACACATACCAAGTTTGCTTCTTTTGCAAGTCTTGAGCAAATTGCGCCACTTGAGTTCTCTTCTTCATCGAACCAATTGATCTCAAAGGTCAATATCTTCAAGAGCATCTTTTCTCGAACACGTTTTGTTAAGTGCTCGCCCATGTAAGCAAAACTATAGTGTTGAGTGATGTTGATCAAGAAGGAGAAGAGAGCTAGGCCTACAAAACACAACACGTAGATCCTTGTTTTTGCCATCATCTCGTCATGGCTCGTTAGGAAATACACTGATACCATTGATCCTGAAGCATATCCATAAATCGGTTGTACTGCTCCATGTAAGGCTGCACTTAAGCAGCCACACAATGCATGTTTCCACTCTGGTTTATTCATTGCCATCAGTCTCTTAAACGATGGCACAGGCGGCTTCTTTTCCTTAGGAAGATTTGTTTTAATGCTTGAAGTCTTTAACAAGTTACACTGGCTTCGATTAGAAGGAGTTGGACTATACTTCACATCTTTGCTCAAAATTGAGAATTGATCCCCTTGCACACTAACACTACTGATGTTAACATCTGATTCTTCATTCTTCATCTGCTGTAAGCGGACTAATGAAGTATAATGACCATCTAAGTTCTCCATGAGCTCTTCGTGTGATCCAGTTTCTACAATGCGACCATTATGGACTACATAGATGAGATCAGCATTACGAATGGTAGAGAGGCGATGGGCAATAACAATAGTTGTACGGCCGAGAGAGGCATTGTCTAAGGCTTCTTGGACTACCCTTTCGGATTCTGAGTCCAATGCGCTTGTTGCCTCGTCTAGTAGGAGAATCGTTGGTGATTTGATTATTGCACGTGCGATTGCGATCCTCTGCTTCTGACCCCCTGACATTTGTACTCCTCTCTCTCCAACCTTTTTTTTTTATTGTGTATCCAAAAGAAAACGCATATACGTTTTGGTCAAGCTAATAGAAAAAGATAAGTACCTTGTTGTTAAAGTTAGAACCTAACCTGAGTTTTGTAACCATCAGGAAACTGAGAAATGAAGTTATGAGCGTTTGAAGCCTTTGCAGCTTCCACTACTTCATCTATGGATGCGTCCTCTTTACCAAACAATATGTTCCCCTCTATCGTTGTGGCGAAGAGCGCTGGCTCTTGGCTAACTAGACCCATTTGCGACCTCAACCACTTCACTTGAAGCTTATCAATGGACACACCATCTATGAGAATCTCTCCTGCGGTTGGGTCATAGAACCTCTGTAAAAGTGAGATCACGGTTGATTTTCCCGATCCACTTCCGCCCACCAAAGCCACAGTTTTCCCACATGGAATTCTCAAACATAAATCGTCAAAGATTAGGATTTCTGGTCTAGACGGGTACATGAATTTCACGTGCTTAAATTGGACTTCCCCTCTGATCTTCTCTAGGATTTGACCTTTTGGGTTGTCCGAATCAATAACCGGAACTCTTTTCATTACTTTGGTAATCCTTTCCCCTGCTACAACAGCCTCTGAAAAACATTTGAGATTCGACAAACCTTGACCAAGTGATCTGAAAAATGTGAAGATACCAAAGTCATGGTTTGCTTCTGCGTCAAGAAATCTATAGGGTATAATTACTTACGTGCCGCCAAAAGATATGCATACGATGACTGCAAAGATGGTACCGCCTTTGGCGCCATGGTCCATAACCATGCGACTTCCGTACCAAGTCATGAAACCCCAAACGGCGTAAGAAATGCCATTGCTCCCAAGGGCAATTCCTTTAGCTAGTCCTTGTTTCAGCCCTAGCTTCACCGAGCCTTGAAGCGCAGCTGAGAATTTCGATAACATCATCCTCTCACTACCAAATGCGTACACGGTTCTCACCAATGAGATGGCTTGCTCGGCAATAGAACCAGCTTCATTGTACTCTTCGCGTATTTTCCTCGAGACGTCGATGAGGGTTCGTCCGTACACCAGTCCAGGGATCAAGAGGAGGACGATGAATGGGAAGCCTACGATGGTGAGTCTCCACAGCATGATGAAACTCACTATGTAGCTTGCGACAAACGCCGATGCATTCATCAAAAAATTTGGAAGCTGGTTCAAAAGCAAAACCATCACAACACACCGGTTTAAAGACAAGAAGACATGATTAGTATGATAAATAAAGATAGAAAGGTGAGAGACCTTTTCACTGAGGACGTCTTGGATAACGAGGCTGTCACTAGAGACTGTTGTGATAACATCAGACGTGCTTGTAACATTAAGATCAAAGTAACCCACATCTTGCCTTAATACTGCTCTTAAGTACTTCTCTCTCATTCTTGATGCTTGTCTCTCCCCTGTTCTTGTCCAGCAATATCCTTCTGTGTTTGTTTGTATTTGAAAGCCCATCCACATATTTAAATAAAAAACGTTAAATGCACCATATATAGATTTTACATTCGATGTATATTTAGCTAAAAGATGGAAAAAAACTAAGTATTATCTAAAAGACTTACCAACGAAACATATCACCCATGATGCACAAGCGACACAAAGCAAAGCTACAACATTCTGTTAATTACCCAACGTGTACAAAAAAAAGATACATTAGTACTCTTTTCTTATGAAAGAAAGAAATATTCTCAATGGTCATTGTCATAGACTCATCGATTTACTTTCTCTCACTTAATGTCAAGATTAACTTATTTTCATCTCAAAACCAATTAGTAGACTGAAATGGAATCATCTATAGCTTTTATATTCAAGATTTGGTTCTTTGCACTTCTCTCGATATCTAAATCCTAACATAGATATACAAACATTTATCATCATTCTTTAAGCCCGAAAACCATCAAGTGGTTAAGTATCACGCCATGCTTGGTCTACTTTGCCATGTCTACTTACGAAGAATGTGAGACAAAAAAGCAGAGAAAAGACCTTCGAGATGGCTTGCGTGAAGGTGTCATGAGCGAAGGAGGAACCACCGAGGTCGTTCAGTAGTAAGCCGGTGATGAAAAATATAGTAGGAGTGATGAAACCATCACCGATGGCTCCGATTAACCCAAATCCCATTAGTATCCAATCCACACCGTCCGCGTGCATGAAAACCGATCTTATGCTTCCCCAACTCTTCATTTTTATCTTCTTCCTTAACGTCTCTCCTGTTCCTTATCTTCTTTAACTCAAAGAAAAGACCAAAACGACACCTTGACCTTAAGGAAACGACAGCTCACAGTCTCTCTCTTTTTGTGTGTGGATTGTCTCGTGTATTGTTATATGTTCACGTCTTCCTGATCGCTTTATATATAGCAACCGAGACAGAGTGAGACCATTGGCCTTTATATTAAATGAAAAGTTCATTATTATAACACCAATTTCCCTATTTTATTTATTTTTACTCAACGTACGTATAATTAAGTTTTATTTTTAACGTCCGATATATTTGTTTGTGTTATCATATTATCTTCACGTATATTACTCATAATATTAAGTATTAATTAAAGACCAATTTAAAACAAATAATATTCTGAATCAGACATGTTATCAATTTATCATTGACTTTAGCTGTCTTTACATAACATCATGGGAAAAATAATGATAAAACATCGAGATATAGATTTAAAACCATGATTCATTGATTATTTATATTTTAATTATAGAGTTTGCGATTAAATCTTTAAGATCTTATGTTCAATTAATATATTCGCTATTGTAAAGATTCTTAGACATGCACATGCATGGAATTGATTTTGTCTTGTTGTGCAACATTTATGCTAGCAATTCATTATGTTTGTCATTGGCGTAGGCTTGCACAAATCTTTAATTTTTATACTTCACAATGGAGTATTAGTCTATAGAAGTGTACTAAATTGTATGATATATATACTTCCAAGGATTTGGTTAGCATGGATTTTAGATCTGATGCTTTAAATTTTTGCATATGTATCCGTTCTATTTTTTCTATACTATAGTAGCTACTAGTTACCCTTTCCCTTTTGTATTCTTTTATAAGATTTTTGGCTAAAAGTCTAAAACACACACAAATGAAGAAACTGAAAATATAATTTAAGTCTATTAAATTTTAAATGTCTAATAGTTCATGTCCAAATTGTGGCACAGCCATGGATGCTATGTGGCTAAGTTGTAGCAAGGAGCCATGGAATGGCCACGATCACTTTCCTTCGCCATATAGCTGCTACTCAATACTCACAGATTTGAAATTAAAAAGGAAAAAAAAAAAACTCTCACCATTTTGTGGCTTGTTTTATTTGCAACGGAGTATTATTGGCAAATGCGTAGCTATTACACATATTTTTTTGTTGGATTCTAAACCTGACTTTACTCCAACAGATAACATATAGATGTGGCTTTTATTTATGAAAATTTGGAGGGTTAAGAAATAGATAAATTAATCGAAGATATGTTTACTCTAGATAACCAGAAACAAAACAAGGGACATGTGATCTTCATTGCTAAATTATCAAAGTTAGGTCCCATTTGTCTTATGAACTTCAAAAAATGATAGTGGGTGAAAACTTCGGCATGCCTTCTACAGTATAACTGTCTTCACTGGTTTATGCGAATGTGCTTTTGTAGAGATTTTGGTTATAGTCTTGTGTTCTATTGAGCTACCCGAACAAGAAACAAAGTCAAAGAACAAACAAAACCGAACGAATCTTAAGAAAGAACAAAAAGATTGCGGAGAAATGTTTAAACCGAACAAGTGACCTCCCGACCTAAAAAGCTAATGTCAGGTTCTTTTGATCTCATCTTCTGGTCAGTTTCTCTGTCTCTGCCTCTTCGCGCATCAAGCACTAAATGTTGTCTGAACGTCGTGATGAACGCCTCCACTCTCTCGTTCAGCTCCTCGTTCGATAACCTCCCTGGCTCGAATTCATCATCCTCTACATTAAAATCCATGTCTTTCTTGTGAAAGACGCAATCTTTCACAGTTTCCTCGAATTCAGGACAAATCTTTTTCGTCTCAACCACTACACAGTTCTTGATAACTTCCTCTGGCTCTACGACTAAGAAATCTTGGTCGGAAATAGCCGGTTGCTTCACCATTCTTGTCTTCTTCGTCGTCTTCTTATTCTTTTTCCCTCGCACCATTTTCAATCTACTTCCCCGGCGAGTCTTGAAATCGTGAGTCTCTCCGGAAATAGGACGAGTTGAGGTGAAGTAAACGGCTAAGAGAACAACGTTGAGTAGAAGAAAGACCAAAGAACGCCATTGTTCGATCAAATACGATACAGAGGAGAAATGTTTAAGACAAGCCATTGAGAGAACAACAACTGCAGTCAACAACGCCGTACACATGTTCTCTTCCTCCGCCTCCTTCTTCTCCACTCTGAGATCTTTCTTCATCTCCATTGTTGTCCGTCTCTCCCTCTCTCTCTCTCTATCTATTTCTTGTTCTGCTCTGTTTCTTTCTTCCTCCAGTCGATGAAGTTGAGATTCTTATACGGAAATTTTCAAGATTCGTAAACAAGAAGTTGGTGGGTCCGATTGTGGAAGACCAAATGGCGAACAGAAAGAACAAAATGAAAAGACAGGAGAAGGAGAAGAAGAAGAAGGGGAGGAGACAAGAACAGGCATGCCCCTTCATATCTGCTCTTATTCCAGACATCTTATTATTACTTTCTTCTCAGGCTTTTCTGATTTCCTCTGTTTCTCTGCTTTTCTTTGTTTCCCTTTTTTTCCCTTGGGGACCATTTTTCCTTAAAACAATCATTTTCAGCTTCCACTATATGCAAGTTTAATTTCAACATCAAAAGAAGATATAATTTTTTTCAACCTTAATATTTACTATTTGTTAATTCAAACATATTTAATAACTTTTGATTTCTTGTTTATGCAGGTTTATTCACTTTCCTGGAGTACTTTTTTTTTACTTTGCTTACAATTAACATCACTAGCTCGAAATTGCAAAATACCAAAACTTTTTTTTTTGTTCTTTTTATAGGTTAGTTTTAAACCATTTAGGGTTTTATTTCCTTCGTGGAACAAAAACACAGAGAAGTGTTAGCTACTCAAAGTTAATGTCAATGGGAACACAGCATGCTAAGCAGAGAGGTGGAAACAGTTTTCACAGAATATGCAAAAAAGTGTATATATCTTTTAGTTGAAATAATGAATAACAATATCAAATTAACAAAATAATTAGTATACATTTACACGCCTGCTGCTCTCTGTCATGTTAATTCTTTCAGAGCAGTGTGGCCCCCATGTTTGTTCGTCTTTCCCAAACACATGCGTTTTCTGTTTGTAAATGTTCTAATCTCGAAAACATTATATACCACATATATTAGAGCATATATTACTAGAATTGCTCAACAGAGTATACAAAATGTTTAAAACCACTGTTTGATTATCTTTTTTCTTCAAGATAAATTTTGTCTGAAACCAATTCTGGTAGATAAATGAGTCAGGACCACGCTTATGAAGTTTTCCATTCAAGTGTTTCACCTTTTTCATCCAACAAATTTAGTTACAACCATATCAAACTGGTCATTTTAAGAATAAGTTGACTTGCTATAACAATTTCAAAATTCACATATTAGTTGTGATTCTTTCTTTTCCCTCGTCTCACTAGATCTACAAAATCCACACATGGATTACTACAGTCATAGATAAGCTGAAGTTAAAATATAGTAATACATAAGGTGTCAAGATAGATAAATACATACTTCTCAGCTTAAGCTTTAGTTGATATATGTGTTCTCAAGTGTTCCCTTGCACAAAGATTAGCCAGTCTACCATCAGCTTTCACACAAGGATTTAGGCTACACATGACAAAATAAAAAAAAAAACAAGAGCATCATTAACTGAAAAATTCCTGCTGCTGTGAGTCTCAATTGAAACTAATATGCGAGAAAACTCATAGCTTTAGATGTAAGACTTTAGCAGATGCAGTTTCACATTTTAAAGGAATGTATATCAGAAAATCTTGGTAAAACTTGATAAATGCATCTTATGTCTCAAGTCTCAACTAATATGAATGTGAAAGACTCAACTAATATGAATGTGAAAGAGACTAGCGAAAAGATGCAATAATGTACTTGAATTGACTGCTACACCAATAGGTCTAATACCTTAGCATGAACATATGAAAAAAACGATATTTACTCACCTGTGTGGCAACCTAAGTTAGTTGTGGAGTTTGTCTAGATTGTTCATTACTCAAAGTGGATTCAGTTGGGTCTTGAATGCTGTTTTCTTTCTCCTTGACCTCTCTTTTCCCTGGAAGGTTATTACTATCATCATTTTGGTTTGAAGATCCTCTCTTTCGTTTCCTTTGGAATGTATACTTTACAAGTCGATTTCCATCGGCTCTTGGAGGCTCACTGATTTTATCTGTCACTATTGCAGTAACTTTCGAGTCAGAACGTAGATTGACCAACTCAGAACCCATTTTGGTAGATGGAACCACACTATCTTCTTCACCTACACAACTTACCAAGACATCTTCTTCTCTTGATTTCAAGTCTTTGTCTGTTGATCGATTTGCTGCAGTCACACTGACGACAGCAACATTTGAGACTCCTGAAGTCGGATCCACGTTGCTTTTACTTGAAGTTAACCCGGGATCCAAACGAGGAAGTGGCTTTATCTTAGTCTCGCTTTCAGGTATATCTGCCTTACTTTCACCATCCTCAACATTAATGAAGACTAAACTCGATTCTGGACAGGCCTCCATTAAATGATCAGTAGGATTTACAGAGGAAGATATACCTCCCAAATTTTTCATTTTCTTGCTCGTTTTCCCTTTACGGATGATACTGATATCACCACTGTATAGTGTTCTTTTATGCTGCAAATGTTCTTCCAACGCTTTACAGGCGTTAAGATCATCCACCTCCTTACTCTCTACCAACATTTGTGTCTCCATGGAAAAATCTTCGCCATCTGTATTGTCCATCGATGTTTTTGAACAGGAAAGATAAGACTGAGATTGACAAGGTTTGATAAGCTGACTTTGAGACCTAACTGATGTAGCTTTGGGCTTTCCCCACCTCATCTTCCTCCTTCCTCGTAATTTATGCGGCTTGCTGGTTTTCTTGACTCCTAACGCGTTTGACGGCATCGTTACCACCTCTGCGCTACTGGCTCTAAGAGCAAGAACAAGACATCTCGTGTTTCCCAAAGTGCCAGCTTCGTGTCCGTTCACTTTTCCTGAGCTCAGGGTTTCTCCACTGTCCTTTTCAATCACGCCTTGTTCCTCTTCATTTGCAGAAGAAGATGAATTCCTCCTTTCCAAAGCGTGGATCCTCTGTGTACAACCATTTCTAGAAAGCTCAAGCTTTTTGCTTATGATATTAGCTTCCAATTCAGACTCACGAGCATCACAGCCTTTCAAAGTACTAACACTCGAAAACCGGTCCAACCGCTTTCCGTCATTTCCACATTCAACCTCTTGCAATGAGCTCTGATCCGGAAGAGAGAAGCAAGTGTCTACAACCTCTTGATCAGGATGCAAACTTCCAACAACAATAGCCTCAGGATCCTCAGCCTTCTGAGCAGAAATCGTTTCTTCTTCTTCTTCCTTGTTCACTACATTTAGTTCCTGCAGCTCATTAACCCTTGCTTTCTCCAAATTGTCTCTCACCCATCTCAACTCTGACCTCAGGTCAGTAATAATATCTTCAGCCTCTTGAAGCTGGGCTTCAAGCACATCAATCTGTTTTTGCTGGTTTGTTGACGAAACCTCTGATTCTATCGTCTGTTGATAGAGCTCAATCAGTAAACAACAACAAGCTTAAACTTCCAAGTAAGCTCCTTCATATTAACCATATCAAAGCAAAAAAGAAAAAAAAAACATACACACAAGAGAGAAGACAACAAATGAAGCTAACATCTTTATCTAAACATTTAATCCTCTCAAACAAATGATCTCCATTAATCAGGAGCCCAGAAATGCAATATAGTTTTTTTTCCTTCTGATTTGAGCAGAAAATTACCTTAGCATCTATCATCTGTTTCAATCGAACAAGCAAACGAAGAGACTCCTCCTTCGTTCCGCAGAGATCGTGGTGAAACCGAGCTGATTTTCTATCGGAAAGCATAACCCTAGCCGCCGATTCCTTCGCCGTGTTTAGTATAATCTCGGCGTAAGCTTTCTTCAAGGCTGTCGATTTCTGCCAGAAACGAAATTGGCAATCAAGAAATGGCAAACCCAGATCGTCGAAACCGAAAATCAAAACAGGAAAATATAGAAAATTAGCTTACATCTGAGTCTTCCATGGTGGAAATATCGTCTTCAATTTCTCCCGCCGAAGAGCATAAACTCGGAAAAGAAAAAAGCTTCTTCACCTTTCACCACCGGTCGGTTAGGAACTGACAGGCTTTTGTTTGAATTACCATTTCACCCTTCTGGAATCGTCCAAAACTCAAAACGACGTCGCTTTTTAGTTCACATAGAAGGCCCGAAACGACGTCAGATAGGAGATGGGGACCACGATTTTAGAGAGTGCGGATTTTGGAAGATAGATTTCCCGGTTTTGTTTAAACATTTCGTTAACATAAATTGGGGCTGGGCTTTTTCAATCAAATGGGCCTTAAAACTTCAAGAAATGCTATTAATGTTTAACTACTAATTACTTTGCCAGTATAGCCCTCTCTCTTCTCTCTTTTTTGCCATTTCAGTCAATATCGGTTTTTGTAAACACAATTTTCGGCAGTTTTAAGAAACTTATAAATATTATTTTGGACTAATAAACTATAAATATTTTATCGATAAAACCTTGGAAAAAAATCAGAACATTTCAGTTTTCACATAGTCCTACTATTTACGTAAATAATATTCAACACATGCATATACAGGTCTTTGTGTTCGTCAATGAAAACACACTTGAGTGATATATATAGCCACAACAATTACTTTAAAGTTTCGTTTGGTCAAAAAACGAAGGCTATAGGGTGCAGAGAATATTTTGCAAAGATTTTCTTTCTGGATGGTCCTATCATTTTCACGCAATAGTGTGCTCATGTATATAGTATAAGTTAGTTAAAAACTATTTAAAAATAATTTCATGACAATTCCTACTTGTTTAATTTAAAAGTGCTTATTTGACCATACCAAACCCATACACACATACCTAAAACCCAATTCGCTGTCACCAAAAGGTCTTCGGTATCGGTGACAACACACACGGACGTATGTAGAGTAATTTGTATTAATTATCAAACATATAGATGCATATATGCACCAATCATAGATAAATTATTATATCAAATTATCAATTCAGGTTTTGAATCCATATGAAAAGATAATGGGAAAGGTGCTTTTAAGCAGGTCGGACCAAACATAATACACAATTTGTCCATAATTGCTTGGTTTAAGGTTGGAAGTTAGAACCTCTTACATGATCAATAAATAAACGAATGTATTCCGCTGGACTCATGGCATTTGTTAACATTAATTGCAAATATAATGACGTTTATCAAGATATTTGTGGTAATGCCGTAATGGGATTAAGCACTAAGCGTCTGTCTTACATATCCGGATCCAATAGTTTTTTTTTGCCAAATTAAAACATGCCAGCTTTAATACTATTGTCATTTTGTTGTTATACAAAAAATGTCACACGCCAATTAATATTGTAAGTTTGTTTATTTGTCCATTAAAAATAGTATTATTAGATATTGGTTGTTTCTCATCAAATTTATAGATGATCGTACATTCAAACTTATGTAAAATGAGTTAATGATCAATCTAATTAAGAAGTCAACTTAAGAAAGCAATCACTTATCCAACCCTACAAAGGCTAAAAACAATTCGAATATTTATCAATAAAATAAATGATGGAATTTTCGTTTTAATTATTGCTTTGAAAACATTAATATAAAATTAGTAATTATTTCCAGTCATAGGATGAACAAAGAAAATTAAAAAGAAAATTTAAAAAGACATTGAAGCCGACGACTACTCGGCATCAATCTAATCCTTGCGACGACCGTTCAACGCGTCTGACTTGCAGGCTTGTCTCTCTGCAACTTCATTGGCAGATACCAAAAAAAAATAAAGCCAAAGCCTTCACCTTTAATCCAAACCCAGAAAAACCTCCGAATATTCCATCCATGGAGATCGGCTCAAACTCCATAAAGCTGCTTCCTTTATTGATTACCACCACCACTGTGCTCGTCTTCTTCCTCTGCTATTCTCCTGCGATGGCGGCTGATGAAGACGATATAAGATGCTTGCAAGGAGTCAAAAGGTCTCTCACGGATCCTCAGGGCGCGCTTAAATCATGGAACTTCGGAAACACCACTGTCGGATTTCTCTGTAATTTCGTGGGTGTGTCTTGTTGGAACAATCAGGAGAATAGGGTTATCAATCTGGAGCTTCGAGACATGGGTTTATCTGGTCGAATCCCAGAATCTCTGCAATACTGTGGGAGCTTACAGAAACTGGATCTCTCTAGCAATCGATTATCCGGTAACATCCCTCAACAGCTGTGTAGTTGGTTGCCGTTTTTGGTCTCTCTCGATCTGTCGAACAATGGCTTGAACGGTGAGATTCCTCCTAGTTTAGCAGAGTGTAGGTTCGTGAACTCCTTGGTTCTGTCTGATAACCGGTTATCTGGTCAAATCCCGGTTCAGTTCTCGTCTCTGGAGAGACTAGCGATCTTCTCTGTCTCTAACAATGATCTAACAGGTCGCATTCCATCTTACTTCAGCTCATCTAAATACTCCTCTGATGATTTCAATGGGAATAAAGGTCTTTGTGGTCATCCTTTATCTTCGTCTTGTGGAGGACTAAGCAAGAAGAATCTTGCCATCATCATTGCAGCTGGTGTGTTTGGTGCTGCTGCGTCGATGTTGTTGGCTTTTGGGATATGGTGGTATTACCATTTGAAGTGGACACGAGCAAGGAGAAGCAATCTAACCGAAGGAGGAGTTAGTAGTTTAGCTCAGAGGCTTCGTGGCCATAAGCTTGCTCAGGTTTCTTTGTTTCAAAAGCCTTTGGTTAAGGTTAAACTTGGGGACTTGATGGCTGCAACTAACAATTTCAGCTCTGAGAACATTATCGTCTCCACTAGGACAGGGACGACGTATAAGGCGCTTCTTCCTGATGGCTCAGCGCTCGCGGTCAAGCATCTGAGCGCGTGTAAGCTCGGCGAGAGGGAGTTTCGGTATGAGATGAACCAGCTTTGGGAGCTTCGTCACCCTAACTTGGCGCCGCTTCTTGGATTCTGCGTTGTGGAAGAAGAGAAACTTCTTGTTTACAAGTACATGTCCAACGGGACGCTGCACAGGTTGCTTGATTCAAATGCGGTTGAGTTAGATTGGTCTACTCGGTTTAGGATCGGTTTAGGTGCTGCGAGGGGTTTGGCTTGGCTTCACCATGGATGCCGCCCTCCGATACTTCACCGGAACATTTGTTCGAGTGTGATTCTCATCGATGAGGATTTCGATGCTAGGATTATAGATTCCGGTCTTGCGAGGCTTATGGTTCCTTCTGATAGCAACGAGAGCAGTTTCATGACTGGTGATTTAGGAGAGTTTGGGTATGTAGCTCCTGAGTATTCCACCACAATGCTAGCTTCACTAAAAGGTGATGTGTATGGGCTCGGTGTTGTCCTCTTGGAGTTGGCGACAGGGCAAAAAGCTCTTGGAGGGGAAGGTTCCAAAGGGAGTTTGGTTGATTGGGTGAAAGAGCTTGAGAGCTCGGGAAGAGTCGCTGATGCATTCGATGAAGACATTCGAGGGAAAGGACATGACGAAGAGATCTTGAAATTTGTGGAGATTGCTTGTAACTGTGTGGCTCCAAGGCCTAAAGAGAGATGGTCTATGTTTCAGGCATATCAGTCACTGAGAGCTATGGCCGAGAAACATGGTCACTCGTTCACAGAACAAGACGATGACTTCCCTTTGATTTTCGACACAGGAGAGAACGAGGCCGTGTGAAGCTAAAAACCCTCAAGGGAAAGCCTGTGATGGTGAGGATTTTCAGGATTATATATATTGTCTTGAGGTATTATTATTATTATTTGTGTATATCATCTTGTACTACTTTCTACTATGCCCAAGCTAGGAGATGCATCATTTCATAAAGCTTTTAAATATTAATTTGTAGACTTTGTTGTAGAAAAACAGAAGTGTATATGTAAGTCTTTTGAACATGTTATGTTGCATTGGTGTTTATAACTGATCAAAAACAAGATTCTGCAGTGAACTGTTAAAAGAGATTTACAAACATTTTTGATTTTTGATTTCTTTTGGGAGAGCAAGTGTTTTTCTTTCTGGAGTCTTGGAAGAGTGACAAAACAAATTTTTACTTACGTTTTCTTTTAAGAACAAAAAAAAAGAAAGTGCGAAACTGGAATCTGTGTCCCATGCAGAACAGGATAAAGAGAGGTTTTTCTCTGCAGAATCTTACTTTAAGGTCTGCTTCTCGATACAGTCAAAAATCAAAACCAGAAAAAGAAATTAAAGAACGCAGGAAAGCGAGAAGGAGAAGAGAGAGAAAGAGAGGTTTGCATCTATGCTCACTCCTTTTGTATTATCACTTTGTCAGATTCCCAAAGTTCAGAAGAACCCAAAAATGAAAATAGATGTGATTCTAAAGTTGTACAAGGACAAGCTCATAATAAGAAGCAAAAACATGGAGTCACTTAGTTGTTGTAGTGGTGAAGATAAATTACGAGGCATAGATTATAATAATAAGTTACAATAACAATCAGTAATTTAGGGGGAAAATGATTTCTTGAAAACAGAGCAGCTTTAGTTAATGGTTTGCTTTAGCAGAGGAAACACAAAAAGCAAAACTTTAAAGTTCATAAATTTAAAAAGAAAAGGCAAAAAGACAGAAAGAAATATGAGGAAAACAGGAGAGTTTGATAAAGACATAATAATCCTATAATTTAATACAAATGTTATACTAATGTTATTACAAAACCCTTAAAAAAAGTCTTAATATCTGCCTAAATCTTCTCTACACCTTTCAATTCTAAAAGTTTTCAATCTTCAAACACAATGTTCCAAAACGAAAAGAGAGCAACTTTCACTTTCCAAGATGCTACAGACCAAGAAGAGACTTCACCTTTGCAAAAACAGAACAAGGCTTCACAAGCTACGAGTTCATAGCATGTATCTGAATCTGGAGTTAAATATAATTCCCCCCAAAAAGAAGTAGCTTCTTGACGTGGAAATGAAATTGAGAGGTTGCGTAATCCACTATGTGTCTGAGAAAACGGTAGAAAAACCGAAAATTAACCAAACCCATATGAGATAAAAACATTATAGTATAGAAAAGTTTGCATACCATACACGTCGTGTATATTGGAGCTATATCATACTCGTGGTGGTCGTCTCGAAGTTTCTGCTTTCCTGACGAAATAGTTTTGAAACAAAAGCTCAGTAAAGTTGAGTTCTTTCTGCAGTAGAACTTTAACTAAAGTAGTCAAGTTCTTCACAAGTTGCTTTTAGTTCTCTTAAAAGCATAGAAATTAGAGAAAGAAGAAGCTTTTCTTTTTTAAACATGATAACATTATCTGCTTTCAAAAGACGAGTTCTTTAATGGCACAAAATGTACAATGACGCTGAAAAGAAGGAAAGAACAAGAATTCTGCATGCTAATAATAATCTTTCTAGAAACCAGTGATTTTATTGGTATCTGTGTAAAGTTACATCCAAAAAATCTTGAATTGAGCAAAAAAAAAACTAATACTAGAAGATTCTAAAAAAGCTTGATCTCTGATAGCAAACTCAAAGAAGCAAATGAAAAAAGATTGAAATTTGAGAGAAGATGATAATAAGAACCTGTTGTGGATAGGATCAGGTCCATTTGGAACTTTTCGCTTGCTCACATGAAACAGATTCACATCCTTACCACTAAACCGCAAAGTCTTGAACTTTTCTGTTGATGGAACACTTGGTGCAGAGTTTGCTAAGACACCGACAAGAAGAAACACAATAATACCCAGAGACACAACAGCTCCAACCAAAGCTCTAATGCCATTTCCACCCATACTGCAACCTATGTCCCTACAGCTTCCTGTTTAACATGAACAACTGACCAACCAAACCCAAGAATAGACTGAGCAGAACATCCATGATGTTGGTGAAGTGACTGTCACTTAAATAGAGAGAGATATCTTTGGACAGAAGAAGCTAAAAAAAAGGGGAAAGCGAAATGGGAAGCAAAAAACAAGCATTTAACTTGTTTTTATATACCTTGGAGGACAAATCCGTGATTGGCCCTATTTAAAGATGAAGCACACAAAGCAACAGCATACATACGTAGGTGTCCACGTAGAGAGAGAGAGAAAGGAAGCAAGAGGAAGAGAAAGTTAGAGAAAACATATCTTTATGTAACATATGGGCCCTTCTACTACCTTTTTCTTTGCTTTGATTTGTGAATTTTCATGCACCAAACCATTGGGGACCTCACAAGCTCCCCTAACTACATATATTTTAAGCCATTTAAAAGCATAGGACTGTGTACCTTTTGTGGCTGAGTATTAGCAAGCCCACTACTTTCCTTACCACTATCTTCAATCCCTTGGATGTTTTCTTTAAACAATAAGAAAATCAATCAAGAATGTAACTATGCATTAAGTATAAAACCAAAACTGTGGGAAAAGGAGTTAGAGCTACATTTTTTCTTCCTTGTTAAGTATTCAAGAGCCAAATTAGCAGATAAGAAACGTATGCTTCTTCTGATGATGTTCTGCATTTGAAAATACTTACTACAGAATACCTCAAAAGCAAATGAAATGATATAAAGATATAGAAACATATCCAAATTGCAAAGAAAAGAATCCGTATCTGATTGACAGCTAGGGAAGATTGAGCCAGTTTGTTTCCATGTCGCAAGCAAACTTCCTTTTGGACTTGGTGGGAAAGAGAAGCTTACCTTCTACATAGTGAAGCCAAAGTTTAAACAGACCTGTCCCCACAATATTCTTACTATATATCTGTTTCCCCTATATTATTTAGGGATCTTACACATGGTCAGGATAGTGTCCTTCTAGTATTGATTCTTACACTGATTGTGTGAGCAAAGGCATCCCAATATTACCATCTAGAGATTTCAAGTTACATGTTCTTTTGCAGGGTTGTTTACCAAAGTAGATTAAATTAGAAAGAGAAGAAGAAGTCTTCGACACATACCTCAGTTACGTCACTTTCGCAAAGGTTTTCTTTAAATTAGAAGAAATGCTTAGAATAAATATTGATGTATATGATACATACATATAGAAATCATGTGTATCAAGTTGCTCTCTCAGACCTTACGAGCATCAAAAGAAGCCATATGTAATGGAAAAAAGGAGAAACTTTAACACTGACTTGTACAATTATATTTCTGCTTCACAAAGACACAGGACGATTACCGATTTTAGAATTATCATAAGACTGCAACTTGTTTCTTCCATCTTAGGACTTGGCAACAAACAAAATGGCGACTGATGTATAAAAGCACCTGCAAAAATAAAATCCGAGACACTAAGAATATGTGACAGAAAGAAACGGAGATGAAAACGAATGATCGTTGTATCATATGACAGACGCATGAGATCATTCGTTGAACCATCAACCATCTTAAAGCCAGAAGAGTAGCAACATATATTTCTTTACTTATTTATATCTGAAACAACTTACTCTACTATTTAAAGGTTGGAACAAACTAGCTCTTCAATCCCAGCCTCTGTTTATTGCCTTTAAACCGAAAAATGGCCAGATGTTACTGTTGTGATTCACTGTGGCTTTAAGATTTTCTCGGCTTTTGAGCCCATTTTGGACCATATATGGCCAGATGTGTCCGGCCAAATCTTCTGTCAGTCATCTGTATGAAAAATCTCTAATCAACATTTCATTCAACCCCTTTTTATTACACAGGTAATAAAAGGAAATAGTTACCTTTTCAAGGCATCCGCATGAATCAAGCATTGTGGTTCTTGAAGGGTACTCAACCACCTAGATCAGAACACGTCCAACTAAACATGAGATATACATGGGGACCCAAAATATACTTATAAGATGGTTTGAGAAAGGGAAACACATAGCTACTCACAATAAATGTATTTTCTCCAATTGCTGCTGACTTAGAAATCTGATCCATCAGAACCTCGTAATCAACCTCCATGTACGGTGGTGTAACGCTGATATAATCAAATGCTCCATCTTTACCTGTTATTAACAGAGACTATTAAAAAGCTGAAGTTTGCAAGTAATAAATGAGAGATGAAACTGACAGCTGTTTAAACATCTTCAAGACTAGACATGCCTACTAATTTATCTGCACGTTCCAAGAAGTTTTCCACTCGAGCAGTGTGTATAACCGAAGCCTCAACAAACCCAGTGTGCTCCAAGTTTGGTTGTAGAACATTTGAAACAACCCAAGGATCCATCTCAACAAAGTGTGCCTGTGGAGAATAAGTCAAATCCTGTTTAGCTATCACTTAAGCAAATAGAATCAAACAAGATCATACAAAACACTTATTGCCACATTACAGTAATTTATATCGTTGCTACCTCAGAACATCCTCGGCTGATTGCTTCAATTCCAACAGATCCTGTACCACTGTACAAATCCAACCACCTACCAGGACGCAGAGACGTTGGACAACCACCAGCAGCCTATATAGAACGAGGGAAAGAATCAGTCTTGGAATGTTAATCACACAAAACAGTGAAATCTCTAATCTGAGGTGATAATTCGTCTAAATGCAGAAGCTCCTAAAGCTAGCTAAGAACAGTCACATTTTTCATTCACAATTACCTGAAGAATTCCAAAAGCTGCTCCTTTAACAACTTCCATCATAGGTCTCACATCCATTCCCTTAAGAGAAAGCAATTTCTTTCGTTTGGCACTTCCTGCAAGAACCTAAGCCACTCGACACATTTGTAAAATCGAACAACAAGAAATCCCCAAAAAAGCTTAAAAACAACATGTAAACAAGCAAATACACACCTGAAGTAACCTATGAGTTGTTCTTGGCTGTACAACAACCTCTTCCTCTTTTTGGCTGTTCCTTCCACTCCTTTCCTCTTCTTTTCTCCTCGTCTTCTACAATGTACCAAATGGTAAGTCAGCAACTTTCCACCACCTCTCAAATTTTTTATCAGAAACCAAAACAAAGAAGATAAGAGATGGGCAGTGAACCTTAGATTGAGTCGCAAACTCAGTGGCATCATAACCATATCGTTCCAGCAACAATTTCTTATCCTCGCTTGCCAAACCAGTTCCCGAATCTGATTCCACCAAAAAGAAATGAACTGAGAAAGGTATCACGAAGATGCGAACACGAAATCTATATGGATAATTTCCGAAAGGAACAAAATTTTCACACTTTTACGGCTCGAGACGACGGATTTCCGAATACGCAGTGGACTACAAATCCTGAAGACGTGAATTTTGGGGAAAGAAGAATACGAGACACCCAGATTCTTATTCATGTCGATGTTGATTCCTAGTGGCGAGACTATGGAAGATGATAACACGAGCGCCATAGCTGTAAAGGTTTCGACTTTGGAGCTTGCAAATATTGTTCAGTAACAGCAAAACCAAAAGAATACGAAGGATAGGAACAAACTAGAACCCTCTTGCTCAGCCAGAGGGACCGTTCCCTCCATCAAAATGTCTCAGTGAGTGTGTGTTTACAGACTGAAACATAATTGGATCCCAAGAAACATGTCACTAATAAAGATCGTAAAGGCAAGAGAACACTTAATGAAAGTAGTTCTTGAGAATCATAAACCGTCCAATTTAAGTTACAAGAAAAGCAACAACAACAACAACAACAACAAGGATCTAATAATCGAAATCATTCAAGAGTTGAGGAAACTCTGACAGCATCTCTTGGTCCTTATCCAATATTTCATCCACAAAGGAGCTCGCGGAACGACATGTTCCCGAGCCCTTCGAACCGATCTTCTGAGAGCTGCATTCGCCTTGGCTGCTCAAGTTTTCGTTCTGCGCAAAAGTAGTGAGGTTGCTTGTAGCTGAGGATCCCACTACTTGCGTCTGAGGTAAAACAGGGTCCGAGAGAAGGTAATCACTCCAGCAGAATGTAGCAGCCGGTGCTTGACCCGCTTGGTTTGGCTGCGTGATACTAGCAGAAGACGAAGAGGAAGAGCATGAAGATGCGGTTCCATTGAGCAGATGGTTTGAGTTGCTAGTAGAGAGATGGAATAACGGAGCAGCTTGGAACTCAGATGAAGCGGGATTGTTAAAGATCATAGGAGAGTTGTAATAACCCTCGTGGCTCGTTGTGTTCCTCATCATTTCCCAAGCTGAGTTGGATTGTGTGAGTACAGAGTTGTTAGATGGCTCTGTTTTGAAGTTTCTGACGAAAGCTTCAGATGGATTCCCATGGCCACTAATGTTTCTGAATTCCAAAAGGACCTGAGAAACCGGTTTGTGAGTCACCGGATCTATCCCCATTTTCATCAGCTTCTTCTTCAGCTTCGTGTTCCAGTGGTTCTTCACGTCGTTGTCTGTTCTTCCTGGAAGCTTCCGTGCAATCGAAGACCACCTGAAAGCATCAGAGATATGAACAACAAGTTTGATAGATTCTTTTCATTTTAAAAAAAAAAAGTTAGTTAGCAATTAGGTTTCTTATTTACCTGCTGCCAATGATTTTATGACACTGAATGATAAGCTCTTCTTCTTGGGGAGAGAAGCTGTCATGTTTAAGGTCAGGTCTTAAGTAATTAGTCCATCTCAATCTACAGCTCTTTCCACATCGATTCAGGCCTGAACAGAAGAAAGAACAAAAAACTCAGACTTGTTACAAAGAGATCAATTCTTAAAAGAAAATGAGCAATTTATGAAAAGACCTGCTTTCTTTGGGATCAAACTCCAGTTTCCTACACCATGGATTGCAACATAAGCGAGGATCTTTGCGTCTTCTTCAGCAGTCCAGAGACCTTTCTTCACGTTGGATTTGTCACAACATGGAGGCCTTCCCATTTTTTTGTTTGGTATTCAGACACAAGAGAGAAGTTGAAGAAGAAGAAGAAGCTGAGAAATGTCTGAAAGTAGCACAAGAAAGGCTTTATGGAAGTAAGTGATGCAATGCAAAAGCTCTGAGACATTGCTAGAGAGAGAGAGAGAGAGAGAGAAGGAAGGTGAGGATCTCATGCTTCAAGGCTCCTAATTAACGGTAATTGCATGATTGTTACACTTCATTAGAAATATAGAGAGTTTCGAAGTGCATGACGTAGTTTTACACAACTATCATCTTCATGTACACTACATTAATACATAATTCAGTTATCATGTATTGCTTGCTTGAGTGTTGCTGACCATTAAAATAAACTGAACTTATTTATTATTAAGTGTTTGCTCTAATTATAAACCCATAGGGAAACATAACTGAACATGAAAACATAAGGATCAGGATTATTTTGTAGTCTTGTTCTATATTTTTTCCTTCTATTGACCTTACCCAGAATGGGCTATACAAAAAATTTGACCTTTTTAATAAGAGTTTTTTTTTATTTCAGTAGGTCTTAAGAAGAACACGCTTTGCAACTCTTTCTGCAGTATCCACGGTCTGTTTCTGAACCCACCATGTACGCTGGATTCCTCACGCATTCCCCTGCTTCTGCCCATTTTGGGCAGCTCTCGTTCTCGTCCACGCACCCATATGTCCTCAGAATCGGTTTGTCGAATGACTTAACGTGAATCCATCTTGTTGCTGACCATTTCTCTCCTTCAACCACTGGACAGCTTCCATGTAAGCTGCTCGGATCTGTGGTTGCATTCGGATGAAGATTGAAGAAGAGCAATGCGTCCCCTTTCCTCGGTTTCACTGCAAAGTTACATATTCAGAGTAGTGCAATATACCTTTTGAAGTGATGGAGAAATATACTAGAAGCAATCCACATGTGTTTTTGAGCTTTTGAATCTTCTCATTTTCACACATTTGTTGAAAAGTACATAATATACAGAGCTCTTTTACCTGCATAGCCCTGTTTTGCACATTCGGTCCAGCTATCGTCTTTAGGTTGAACTGTTTCACCCTTTTAAGAATGTGTGATCATCAGAAACAAAATGAGACCACCTCAAGAAATGAAATCAAAATCTTAAAAGGTGAAAACGACTTATTTGAATGAATGGGAAGTGATGAATGTTCATTTACCTTCCACATGGGAAACACTGTTTCACCGCCCTTTTCGACATTGGACAAGTACATCAACACTGTGGCGATCCGATGACCACCGAGCTGTAAGTTCACCTGGTCGTGAAAGTAGTCAAAGTGCGGTTCATATTTCTGACCGTTCTCATAGTGAAGTATCTGCATGGATTCCCCATTTTCTGAACCGGCAAATAAAAAGAGATGATTAGTTTCTTATTGCTACTAAAGGAAATAAAGTGAGGAAAACGGAATAAGAAAACTATATATGCATCGGAAAAAAAAATACCCTCAGGGAGAAAGGTCCACGCAGCAAGCTTTGATTCGACATTAGCTACCACATCATCCTGCACAGACACAAAACCCTTACCATTCATGTCTTCAAGCTTAAGGGTCAACAATCAGTGAATCACACAAAACCCCCACTAGATTATACAGATTTGGATTCAAGCTACTTTGTCTAATCGCAGAAGTAATAGTGAACAGAGAACTAAGCTAGTCAGATAGAATGCATTCAAAAGCAGATATCAGCATAACAGCGAACATTCTCAGAGAAATATGTACATCATAAATTCAAAAGATTGCACGCAAACGAAACATACAAATCGATTTAGATATAAACCACAGCTTCTAGCAGATCATTCGAAAAGCTTTACAATAGCCGACAGCCGACAGAATTTCTATGGATTCCTACTACATGTTCTTTGAACGATAGAATCGAAGCTCACCTGTCTTTTGGACAGAAACATTCCAGAACTTGTGCGTACTTCACTTTCTACGCTCTCACCTGAATCATTATCCGCAACCATTGACTTCTCAAGCTTTCCTTTCGCCTAAAAGCAACGTCAAAATCCAAACTTCATAATTCAGTCACACAGTCCCATAACATTCCTTGATCATCACTAGTTCTCAAACAAAAAATTATAAGAACTTATGGAGAAAAAATGAAGAAGATGTTTTGAAGTCTTAGACATTAAACCCCAACAACAAAAAAAGATCAAGAAGAAGTTTGATTCTACCAAGCTGATAAAGTGATCACATTCCTCATCTGTTAAAAGTCCCTTGTATAAAAAGACCCTGGAGAAACCACAAAAATCACATACTTAGATCAAAATCAAAATCAAAATCCAGAGTTTTTCTCTGATACACAGAAGCAACAAACCTAGGGGTCCAAGAGAGCTGAGTGACACGACTTGGATCAAAATTTAGAGAGGAAGAACTCCTTTTCTGCTTAATCACAGACCCATCTCTACAAAAACGAAAATCCTCAGTCAACCCAATTCGAAAGAACACAATCGAATCTGCATCATCATCAGAGAGCTAACCTATTATTACTCAATCGAGGGAGGAAGCGGATAGAAGCAGATGAAACCAGAGGGAAGATCAGGATAAGGCAGAGGGAAAATGAGAGAAAATTCCGAGAATCCATTCAGAAAATGTTCCTGCGAAAAGACTTGCTTGGCGTCGTCGACGTAATGAAAATGTATTCTTCTCAATTCTCACCCAAAGAATCTGCATTCTTCTTAATTTGGTTACCATAGTTTTGCGATTAAACAATTTGGTCCACCTGAAAGTAGGTAAGTGAGAGCGCCCATTGTATTTTTCTGCCTTTGTTTTTAATTCCCTTTGACTAGTAGTAATAGAATATCACTTTTGGTAGATTCTTTTAACTATTTTTACCAGAAAACATTTAATTTTATGATGATTTGCTGACAAAAATAAATAACTTTTGTCTTAAATTGTCTGATATTTCCAAGCTCCAATATAAAAATTTCAATTACCAAAAATACTCTTTCTTATCCTCATTAGTTAGCAAGATTTTGAAAAAGAATGGGTTTACAGTTAAGCCCACTAAAGGCCCGTGACTTTAATGGGTAGCTCTTACAGCATGGGCCCATTAAAATTTCCGGCTCTCTTTTCGTGTACCGTACGTACGGAAAACCCTAATAATCCTCATTATGGGGAAGGCATTGGCCAATAAATCTCCTTTATATACATAACTTTAGGGGCGCTTTCACAAACCCTAGCAGTCACTGTCGCTTTTATTCCATCGTTTTGTTTCGATTTGCAGAGAAGAAGAGAAACGATGAAGGTTATCGCTGCTTTTCTCCTCGCGAAGCTCGGCGGAAACGAGAACCCAGCCAAAGCTGATTTGAAGAACATCTTCGAGTCCGTTGGTGCTGAATTCGACGAGGAGAAGACAGATCTGCTGTTTTCTCTGGTGAAGGATCACGATGTCACCGAGCTGATCGCTGCTGGGAGGGAGAAGATGGCGGCACTCTCATCTGGTGGTCCAGCTGTAGCCATGGTGGCCGGATCTGGAGGCGACGCTCCTTCCGCGGCTGCACCAGCTGCTGAGACGAAGAAGGTCGAGGAAGAGAAGGAAGAATCCGACGATGGTGAAGGCATGATGAGTCTCTTCGATTGATTCATATACGGTTGAGGATCTGATCTGATTAATTAGTATCGTCTCGTCTGGTTTTAAGAATTTTATCGCTTTAATTTCTAGGGTTTTTTTGTAAGATCGTTGTTGCTACCTTTTTAAGGAGTATTCAGTGTTCAAAGACTTTTAATCTATCGTCAATGGATCTTTCGTATTGCTCCTCAATTTGCTCGTAAATGGATAATTGTGGATGAGATATTCTATGATATGAAATTGGTAATGCATATTGAGGTTTTGATGAGTGGCTTTTGAATGATTCGTATAATCTCAATTATGAGTTAAAACTTTATTTCAGTTTTCAATTCATGTAGGAAGCGAGCATAGAATTACTAAGTGCGAATGTTTAGGATGTTTTATCTTGATAAACAGAAATATCCTGAAGAACACTAGCATCTGAATGTGTCAAATTTTCAGATTTTGAAAGTTACATGTACACTACGTAGCTGCTAATTTCTTGATCTACACTAACACTGGTTTCATGTAGCTTATCGAATCCCTTGCAGTTTCATTTCACTTGCATAGATAAGAAACCCTCAAATTCATGAAGTTATGAACGACTTAGTACTATGATTTGGGCTTTCGAGTTTGTTCTTAATGGGCCTTTCGAAGCCCAACATCATGATACTGCGTGTCCGTGAGATGAGAATCTGACAGTTGCATTTCTCGTTTGTTCATTCATATATATTGGTTCATTAATGAATAAATTGACATTTAGTGACATCAACATCATCATCTCAGAGAAAGAAAATTTGAGTGTAGAATCCTATTTATGGTTTGATTTTCGTATAGTTTTTTTTTAACAGTTTGGTTTAGGTTTGAATTTGGTTTTTAGGTCACGGTTTAGACCAATATTTCAGAAAGACCAATTTGAATCGTCAGTATGAGATTTATTCAACTGACGTCATCCCAAAGACGAAAGCATCGGTAAGCATCATGCTGCTCTCTAAGTTGCAAAATTCGTCAAAATACCACCAATAAATAAACGAACTAACGAAGACCTTACGTGGGGATTAGCTGTTAATTATTAGCTTTTTTCGTAAAGAGACATAAAGCTAAACTTGTAGTCGAAGGTGTGTTATTAATTTACTACAGTTGACTTGACTATAACGAGGAAGAGGAACAACATAAAACAATTATTATCTCACTGAGCAACTATGATTTGTGGCTCATACTGTACCGAATCTTTTATTCTTATCAAGTATTATAAATGGCTTCTCGCATGGTGCCAGGATCAAGTCTATCGAGTATCGACACATTGTCTACGTACACTTCACCTAATCCTAAAAACCAAGATCGTAAACGACAACGCTTGCTGACGTTATTTATTATAGTAATACACTAAAAGAAACTCTATAAAATCGAAGAAAGAAATGATCGTAACAATTCCACAACATAATGATATTATATGATCATTTTCCTGAAAATTAATCAGATATTTCGTGTTAGCTTCCTCGGAAACTCGAGAGTAGTATAAATAGAGAGCGAGTGGCAATGAAACCAAACCAGAGCACAGTTGCCAATTCTCAAGAGAAACACACAATAACAACACAAAATAGTTTCGTGTACCATAAGCAAAACAGTTTCGTGAAGCACAAGCAACACAGAAAAGAAGAGATGCTTGAAACCGGAGCAATATTGGGTTTAACCGGCACCACGGTGACGAGCCTTATGTTCGTTTGGGCGATGTATTCACAATACGTTCCTCGCCATCTCCAAGTTTACGTTGAGAAGTACTCTTTCAAGATGATTGGGTGGATCTCTTCTAAAGTTCGAATCAAATTCACCGAGTACACAGAAGATGGAGGTCTCAAGAGAAGCGAGAACTACGACGCTATACGCAACTATCTATCGACCAATTCCGCGGCTCGTGCGCAGAGATTGAAGGCCAACGAATCAAGAAACAGCAAATCGTTGGTGCTTAGTATGGACGATCACGAGGAAGTTGAAGATGAGTTCGAAGGCGTGAAGGTGAAGTGGTACTCGAATATGAAAGTGACTCAGACTCAGTCTAACTACGGTCGAAGCAGCTCGGACGAGAGAAGGTTCTTCACGCTTACTTTCCATAGGCGGCACAGAGGGATGATCATTGCGACTTATCTTGATCATGTTTTGAGCGAAGGGAAAGCGATAGGGTTGAGGAATAGAGAGAGGAAGCTCTACACTAATAACTCGAGCCAAGAGTGGTATCCATGGAGGTCAGGGAAGTGGAGCAACGTTCCTTTTCACCATCCGGCGACGTTCGAGACTTTGGCTATGGATCCCGAGAAGAAAGAAAAGATTAAGAAGGATTTGATAAAGTTTAGCAACGGGAAAGATTACTACAAGAAGGTTGGGAAGCCATGGAAGCGAGGTTATCTCTTGTTTGGTCCTCCCGGTACAGGGAAATCGACGATGATTTCTGCAATAGCGAACTTCCTGGACTACGATGTGTATGATCTTGAGCTAACGACCGTGAAGGATAACTCGGAGCTAAAGAAGTTGTTGCTTGATACAAAAGGCAAGTCTATCATTGTGATTGAAGACATTGATTGCTCGCTTGTTCTTACGGGACAGAGAAAGACGAAAAAGGAGGAAGATGAAGAAGACGAAGAGGGGAAGAAGAAGAAGGAAGATGAGAATAAGGAGAAAAAGGAAGCTGAGAAACAGAGTAAAGTGACACTCTCAGGGCTTTTAAACTCCATTGATGGGTTATGGTCAGCTTGTAGTGATGAGAAGATTATTATTTTCACTACGAATTACGTGGATAAGCTTGATCCGGCATTGATACGCAGAGGAAGAATGGACAACCACATTGAGATGTCTTATTGCAGGTTCAAAGCATTCAAGGTTTTGGCTAAGAACTACTTAGATATCGATTCACACGAGTTGTACGGAGAAATCGAGAGATTGCTTGGGGAAACCGATATGTCCCCTGCGGATGTTGCAGAGACTTTGATGCCGAAATCTGATGAAGAAGATGCAGATGTTTGCGTTAAACGTTTGGTCGAAACTTTGGAGGAAGAGAAGGTGAAGGCGCGGAAGTTGGCTGAAGAAGAAGAGAAGAAAAAAGCAGAGAAAGAAGAGAAGAGGAAGAAGAAGAAGAAAGAAGAGGAAGAAGAGAAGAAGAAGAAAGAAGAGGAAGAAGAGAAGAAGAAGAAGACAGAGGAAGAAGGGAAGAAGAAAAGGACAGAGGAAGAAGAGAAGAAGGAGAAAGAAAATAAAGTGAGTGGGTCGGAGAAAAACGGCGACGTTTCTCATGAAAATGGTATCAACTGATGAATTTTATTTTATTATTGTTTGTAAAATTGTACTTTGGCATGGACCGCATGGTGTTGCGAAATATATTTCCTAAGTTTAAATGCAAAAGTAAGTCATAAACTTATAATGTATTGTTGTTGGGAATAATTCCCAAAGAAGATCAAATGTTTTAGTTTCGGCAAAAAAATTGAACCAACCAAAATCTGAGGCGTTTACATGTGGAGAAAAGAAAATGCAAAAGTAAAATTATGAATTTCCATAAATTATTCTAATAAGCTTTTCATCTTCAATTTTTTTATGAATTTATTTTTTTCTAGTTAACTAAATCTACCTTTTTCTTTTGAAGTATTATTATTTCGGAAAACTACATAAACAACTTGACCCCCCCATAAAAAAACCTATTATATTGACAAATGTCACCGGCGAGTAAAAACATTTTTTATCAAATACTACACATATCAACTTTTATTTCTCATTTTTATGTTTTATCATAAATTCATATTGAATGTATTAACAAACAAAGATCCTCTATTATCTTCTCATACAAATTGGATTTCCAAATTTTTTCTAACAAATAATTTAAGTGGCTCTCACAAGTTACACGATGACCAAGACTATTGACAAATTATATATCCCTAAAGAGTAAAGACTGAAAAGATCATTAAAGACAAAACACATTGAGAAAAACCCAAATGGCAAAAAATCCTTATTGCAAGACTATTGACAAATTATATATACTAGATGAGTATGCGCGATGTGCAGATTTTTTTTCATAATATAATTTATTAAAAAGTATAATTACAATTTATTTTATCATATATTTAAAAAAATTAAAAGATATTATGAATTTGAATAAAAATACAATACATATTTACATATTATGTGGATATTAACTATATATGTGATCAATCGTTTATTGATAAGAAAATGTGAAATATATTATACTTTGTATATATATAATATATTAAATGGATATAGTGCAAATCAGAAAAGTACTATATAACAAAAATTAATTAGAAAAACTCTTCAAGCACAACATAGATAGAGACGACTCTTTTCAACAGGTCGTACTTGTTCATGTAGATTTACATAATAGCAATGCCATGATTTTATATTTTTCTGAGCTTAAATAATTGATTTATAATTCAGATTTATACAGCTGCATTAAATATATTATAAATATATATATTAGGACTTTGATATCTTATTAATTTTAAAATTATTAATAGATCATGTTTAAATAATGCATATAAATTATTAGTTTATAAAGAAATTATTTTAACGTTTATTATAATATTGTATAAATTTTTCTTCTAAATTTTTAAGGTTCAAAATATCAAATAATTGTTATTTTTATATTTGTATAATTATTTTTATAATAATATCTTATAATATTAATTAAAAATAAGAAAAAACTCTTAACTATAAAGCATAAATTTTGTTAATAATTTTTAAAAACTACCACAAAATAGGTATTCAATAATTGTTTTTGGATATTATGTATATATTGTTATTAAAATATATTATCTAATTCTTCATATTTTTCATATTCTTTTAGTATTATGATTAATAAAACATTAAATTTATGCATTAACTGTATTTTACATAATTTGTATCATTAAATTTTAAAAAATGACACATATCATTTTTACAATAAACAAAAATGATGAGGTGTCACTCTTATGGAGAGAATTGGCCATCTTTTTTTTTTTTTTTGAATGAATGTTAAATTTAATTAAATGAAAAACCTTGTTTACAAAAATTGTCTCTGTTTGCTGAAAGTTTTTAAACGACTTTTAGACTTTAGAGAAAATAAGCTTTGAAGAAGAAAGGAAGGCGCTGCAGCTTTTCTATCGTGTGGCAAACCACTTAATTAGTCCATCTGCATATGTTTGGTCTCCTGCGGATCGAATTGTGCTAACTCAATTCCGAATTGGCCATCTTTTATAGTATAAATAAGTAGTGAAAACAGATCAGAGTCAAACACAGTGACAAAGAGAAATAAACAAATACAAAGATGTTTCCGACGAATCCGACCGGAGCGATTTGGGGTCTCGTCGGCACGGCGATGCCAAACTTTGTGTTCTTATGGACTCTCTACAAACAGTTCATGCCTTCCGAAATCCGAGACTACACGGAGAAGTATTTTTACAAGATGATTGGTTCAGTCTCGAATACTGTTCACATCAGATTCACTGAACACACAGGAAAAGGTCTCAAGAGAAGCCAAGCCTACGATGCCATACGCAACTTCTTATCCTCGAAATCAATGGCTCGTGCTCAGAGATTAACAGCCAACGAATCTAAAAACAGCAAATCAGTGGTTCTTAGTTTGGACGATCACGAGGAAGTTGAAGATTCGTTCAATGGTGTGAAGGTGAAGTGGTCTTCGAATGTGAAGGACGAGAGAAGGTACTTGACTCTGAGTTTCCAGAATCGGCATCGAGAGATGGTCACAAAGACTTATCTTGATCATGTTTTGAAAGAAGGGAAAGAGATTGGGCTGAGGAACAAAGAGAGGAAGCTTTTCACTAATAACTCGAGCCAAGACTATTCTTCTTGGAAGGAAGGAAGATGGGGCAATGTTCCTTTTGATCACCCTGCAACGTTCGAGACTTCGGCTATGGATCCTGAGAAGAAAGAAGGGATCAAGAAGGAGTTGATTAGGTTTAGTAAAGCGAGAGATTACTATAGGAAAGTTGGGAAGCCGTGGAAGAGGGGTTATCTCTTGTTTGGACCGCCCGGGACAGGAAAATCTACAATGATTGCTGCGATGGCTAACTTCTTGGACTATGATGTGTACGATCTTGAATTGACGACTGTGGAGGATAACTCGGAGTTGAAGAAACTTATGTTGGACATAACAGGGAAGTCTATTTTTGTGATTGAAGATATTGATTGTTCGCTTGACTTGACGGGACAGAGAAAGAAGAAAAAGGAAGAAGATGAGGAAGATGAAGAGGATGAAGAGGAGAAGGAGTTAACCGGAGAAGGAAGTAAGAGAGAGAGTAAGGTTACTTTGTCAGGGTTATTAAACGCCATTGATGGGTTATGGTCAGCTTCTAATGGTGCGAAGATCATAGTGTTCACAACGAATTTTGTGGATAAGCTTGATCTGGCATTGATACACAGAGGGCGAATGGACAACCACATTGAGATGTCGTATTGCAGGTTTGAAGCGTTTAAGGTTTTGGCTAAGAACTACTTGGAGATCGAGTCACATGATCTGTATGGAGAAATCGAAAGACTGGTGGAGGAAACCGACATGTCTCCGGCTGATGTTGCTGAGAATCTGTTGCAAATCTGATGAAGAAGATGCAGATATTTGCCTTAAGCGTTTGGTTAATTCTTTGGAGGAAGAGAAGGAGAAAGCAAGAAAATTAGCTGAGGAAAAAAAGAAGAAGAAAGAAGAGAGGGAAGTGAGGAGGAGGAGAAAAGGAGCAGAGAAAGAAGAGAAGAAGAAGAAGAAGAGGAAGAAGAAGGAAACAGAGCAAGAAGAGAGTGAAGAAGAAGAATGAAGCAGAGCAAAACGCGACGTTTCTCAGGGAAATGGTTACAAGATTTGAGCAAAAATGTGATGAATGAATATTGAGTCTATTGTTTAAGGTTTTATTTTTGGTATGGTTGTTCTCAAATATATTTTAAATGCAACAATAAGTTAGCGGGTCCTATGTGAAATTGTATGCAGTTCTATGGTAGAGCAAGGAATGTTAATGATCATGAGTATCTTTGGTCTAGAGATGTTGAACATTTTATTTTTAGCGACAAAAAATGAACTTTTAGATTTTGAATATTTCTTGTAAATGCCTCAATATCATGAAACAAATGCTAAGCTGATTCACAGGACTAATGTGAATTTTAGCAACAAACAGGCATATTTATTACAGACTTACAGTAGTACAGGATATATAAATCAGAAACAAACATACATATTTATTCTATAGATGAAGCCCTTCATATTCTTGTTTACTTAATCTTATATAAGATGATTCTGAAGATAAGAGTAAACTAAAAGTCATGTTAACAATTAAAAGTGCACAGCTCTACTCTCTATTATGTTAAAAAAAGCTCTACTCTCTAGTAGAAGATCTCTGTCATGGAGCATTGGTCCTGTGGGCCCAGATGCCACTTCTTCGCTGTTTCATGGACAATTTAAAAAAAAAATACTAAAATAGATTGCAGTTGTCTCTTTGTTTTCTTTTTCTGTTTTAATAAAATACTTTTCAGAAAGAAATTAAAAAGTTTGATGGAAACAGAAGAGAGTGTGCGTAAACTTCTCAAGATAAATCCAAAATATGAGGTAAGCATGGTTAGAAAAGAGATGCATATATACTCTGGTGAAATTGGCCCATATTGTATAAGCTTCAAGCAAATGTTTGGTTCATCTTCTTATAGGAGGGGTTTCTGTAAACATTGTTAACTATTAGCATATTAAGGATGCAAGAGTCGGTTTAGAAGCTTTCTACACAATTGATGAAAAGGAAGATTACCAATTAATAAGGACAGATGCTTACATACAAATATTTATTTACCAAAAAATGATGCATGATAATACAAAACTTACCTAATTAGCAACAAGAGGAAACAAGAAACTCTATAGAAGTTGTAACTTTTCCAATAAAAGAAAAAGAAGTATACGGAATAGTGTTAATATATCGTCATGGCCTAAAAGTCATAAGAAAACGCAAGGGAAGAGTCTTTTCCGTGGGAAGCAAGGAATCAAACACAATGGTTCCAGGATTGTGGGGATTCGCAGGCACAGCGATGGCGAGTCTTATGTTCTTCCGGTCAATGTACTCACAGTTTGTGCCGTGCGAACTCCAAGCCTACATCGAGAAATTCGTTTACAAGATGATGGGATGGGTCTCGATCAAGTTCAACGAATACACCGGAGAAGGTCTCCAGAGAAGCAAAGCCTACGACTCGATACGCCATTACCTATCTGCGACTTCGACGGCTCATACTCAGAGAATGAAAGCCAACGAGTCTAGAAACAGCAAATCGTTGGTGCTTAGTATGGACGACCACGAGGAAGTTGAAGAGTTTTTCGAAGGTGTGAAGGTGAAGTGGTATTCGAGCACGTACAAGGTAGAGAATAGGGCTAACGCGATGCCGAGAAGATACTACACTCTAACTTTCCATAGACGACACAGAAGGATGATCGTAGAGAGATATATGGAGCATGTTTTGAGAGAAGGTAAGGCGATAGGATTGAGGAACAGAGAGAGGAAGCTCTACACTAACAACTCGTGTGACGATTGGTCTTATTTCACGGAAGGAAAGTGGGGAAACGTTCCTTTTAATCACCCGGCTACGTTCGAGACTTTGGCTATGGATCCCGAGAAGAAGGAAGAGATTAAAAAGGATCTGCTTAGGTTTAGTAAAGCTGAGGATTACTATAGGAAAGTTGGGAAAGCGTGGAAGAGAGGTTATCTCTTGTTTGGACCTCCCGGGACAGGGAAGTCTATGATGATATCGGCAATGGCGAATTTCTTGGATTACGATGTGTATGATCTTGAGCTAACGACCGTGAAAGATAACTCGGAGTTGAAGAGGTTGTTGTTGGATACAAAAGAAAAGTGTATCATTGTGATTGAAGACATTGATTGCTCTCTTGCCTTTACGGCGCAGAAGAGGAAGACAAAGGAGGAAGAAATGGGAGAAGAGGAGAAGGAGAAGGAGAATGAGAAGAAGACCAAGGGATTTGAGTGGGAGAAGAAGGAAGTTAGAGTTACATTGTCGGGGCTGTTAAACGCCATTGATGGGTTATGGTCATCTTGTAGTGGTGAGAAGATCATAGTGTTCACGACGAATTTTGTGGATAAGCTTGATCCGGCATTGATTCGCAGAGGGAGAATGGACAAACACATTGAGATGTCTTATTGCAAGTTTGAAGCATTCAAGGTTTTGGCCAAGAACTACTTGGACATCGAGTCACATGGCTTGTATGGAGAAATCGAGAGAATGCTAGAGGAAACCGATATGTCTCTGGCTGATGTTGCTGAGAATCTGATGCCCAAATCTGATGAGGAAGACGCAGATGTTTGCTTGAAGCGTTTGGTAAAGTCTTTGGAGGAGGAGAAGGAGAGAGCAAAGAAGTTGGCTGAGGAAGAAGAGGAGAAGAAAGCGAAGACTAAAACAGAGAAAGAAAAGAAAGAGAGAGCAAAGAAGTTGGCTGATGAAGAAGAGAAGAAGAAAACAGAGGAAGCAGAGGACGAAACATTGAAACCACCCTAAGGGAAGGAAGCATATTGATTTAGAACACACAAGTTGATTTTGTTGGTTTTTTTTTTTTGTTTGATTCAGTTTGTTCGGTATCAAGAAAACTAGTAACTAGGATCAAATTTTGTAAGATGGAAGTGCAATCCATGTCTTTGTAAAAATAGTCATAGCTAATCTATCATTATCTTATTATATAGAGCCTATCTATTTATACTTCTACTTTTAAATTATGAGGTTGAATTTTATACGATTGGAGTCTTATAAGCAAATCAAAATGCAAGTAAACATATGTAATCAACTGATTAATTAAAATGAAAATTCTATGACAAGATATTTATACTGAACGCACTTAAACAGTCTATCATTTGGGGTTTGACTAACTAGTTATTGACAGCAAAAAATACAACTTTTTATTATCTTTTTACTGACGTCGGCAATAATACATCTTGTCTCTGAGTGGGTTCATGTGAGAAAGTAACGAAAGTAAAGTGAAAAAGGAAGCATGTTGCATGTATGCTTTATTAAGGTTTTATGAATTTGTAACTGTCATGTGGATAATTGCTAACTGATTTGCTTATAAGACTTTGAGGTAATTGCTAGTAATTGATTTTTTGCTGGAAAAATCTATGGGTTTGAATGGTATGCAGCTGTTTCACGTTTTCACGTTTTAGAAACTTGTTTCTGTTATTTTTTATTATTTATGTTATTCATCACGTTTTCATGTTTTCACGTTTTTGAAACATGATTCTGCTAGCGTGTTAAAAATATAACTAAAAAAAAAACGTGATTAATCTACTAAAAGTAGCTTTTCAGCGTTTCACAATTATTCAGCTAAAATATTATTCAGTTCAGTTCATTCCGCTAGTAATTTTTCAATTATTCCGCTATTCTGTTATTCATCTGACATACCAGTCTGACTCTATGTTTTTAAAATTAAAGGAATTGTTAACAAGTACCAAAATATTAACATCACCACCTTTTCTTTTAAACCATTTTTTTTTTACATTGCATGTTGCTTGGCCCATAACTGTTCAGGACTCAGAAATCTGATTGGTCCTCCACATCTAGCTTCAAGTTCATAGCATCTTCATGAATAAGCAAAATAAAGCAAAATCTTTGAATACTTATAGTCAAACTCGTACCCAAAAACATGAAAACTACATGTGAACAAAAATGCACGACATGAACCCCAAATTTGCAGGCTCCCTTAATATGTTACAACATTTTCATTATTATATATCAATTTATTTTATCAAAATAACAATAAATTTCGTGGCTTTCCCTGAGACACTCGAAAGTTGTGACAATAAATAGAGAGTGAGAGGTTAAGGGGCAAAGAGACTAAAACAGAGCAAAACTTGACAAAGTCTCAAAGAGAAAATCAATCAAAAAGCAAAACGCAAGCAAACACAAAGATGCTTGAGACAGCAGCACTTTGGGGTTTCACAGGCTCGACAATGACGAGTCTTATGTTCTTCTGGGCGATGTACAAACAGTTTTTCCCTTACCATCTCCGAGCCACGATGGAGAGATACGTCCTCAAGTTGATGGTATGGGTCTCAAACTCTGTTCACGTCAAGTTCAACGAGTACACAGGAGAAGGTCTCAAGAGAAGTGAAGCTCACGACTCCATACGCAACTACTTATCCTCAAAATCAACGGCTTCTGCAAAGAGACTAAAGGCTAACGAAACGCAAAACAGCAAGTCGTTGGTGCTTAGTTTGGACGACCACGAGGTAATTGAAGATGTGTTCGATGGTGTGAAGGTGAAATGGTCTTCAAGTGTGACAAAGAGTGAGAAAAAATCTGGTTCGAACGACGAGAGAAGGTACCTGACTCTGAGTTTCCAGAATCGGCATAGAGAGATGATCACAAAGACTTATCTTGATCATGTTCTGAGAGAAGGGAAAGAGATTGGGCTGAAGAACAGAGAGAGGAAGCTTTACACTAATAACAAGAACATGTGGTCCGCTTGGAGGGAAGGGTTAACATGGTGTAGTGTTCCTTTTAACCATCCTGCAACGTTCGAGACTTTGGCTATGGATCCTCAGAAGAAAGAAGGTATTAAGAAGGATCTGATTAAGTTTAGCAAAGGGGAAAGTTATTACAAGAAGGTTGGGAAGCCGTGGAAGAGAGGTTATCTCTTGTTCGGTCCTCCTGGGACAGGGAAGTCGACTATGATCTCTGCAATGGCGAATTTCTTGGAGTATGATGTGTACGATCTTGAGCTAACGACTGTGATTGATAACTCCGACTTGAAGAGGTTGTTGTTGGACACGAAAGGGAAATCTATTATTGTGATTGAAGATATTGACTGCTCGCTTGGTCTTACGGGACAGAAGAGGAAGAAAAAGGAGGAGGAGGAGGAAGAAGAAGAAGACGAAGGAGAAGAGGAGAGGAAGAGGAAAGTTGAGAGGCTGTTACATGAAGATAGAGATCGGAGCAAGGTTACTTTGTCGGGGCTGTTAAACGCCATTGATGGGTTGTGGTCAGCTTGTAGTGATGAGAAGATTATGGTTTTTACTACGAATTTTGTGGATAAGCTTGATCCGGCATTGATCCGCAGAGGAAGAATGGACAATCATATTGAGATGGCTTATTGCAGGTTTGAAGCTTTTAAGGTTTTAGCTAAGAACTACTTGGAGGTCGAGTCACATGATCTGTATGGAGAAATCGAGAGGTTGCTTGAGGAAACCGACATGACTCCTGCTGATGTTGCTGAGAATTTGATGCCGAAATCTGAAGAAGAAGATGCAGATGTTTGCCTTAAGCGTTTGGTTGAGTCTTTGGAGGAAGAGAAAGAGAAAGCTAGGAAGTTGGCTGAGGAAGAAGAGAAGAAAAAGGCAAACAAGAAAGTCAAGAAGAAAAACAAGAAACCAGAGGAAGCAGAGATTGATGAAACCCTAAGCGATGTAAACGTAGCGAAGCATGTCATTGAAGCCATCATGCTCGCAAGGAAGTAGAACTGCGTTTGATCACGTTTCCAAATAACAAGAAACCTAGAAAAGGATCGAGATTTGCTTAGTTGTGTAACACTTTTAAGTAGTGGGATTATGCTTAATTTGAGTATGTCTTGGCATTTTTTAGTTTATTTGGTAATTTAGTATTTTATTATGATGAATCTCAACTCAAGTTTAAGTTTTTTTTTTCTTCTCCGTAACAGATTTAAATATCTTTGTTAGCATATAGTTTCCAACACTCTCCAAGTCTACTAACTCCAAAAAAACCATTTTACATCTTTTTATTTTATATTTAAATATTTAGTTCATTAAAGATTTGAAATGCAAGAAAGACATGTTATAGATTTCTAACTTCCAGTGGATCGGACCATATAAATAAACACTTGAAATTTTTAAAAATGTGATTCGTATACAATCGAACTTTTAGGTCCGGCGACTTTTGCACTAATAAATTGTCTTGCTATATATTTAAAAATCTTTTTGTTCTGTTGTTATAAGCAAACCAAAAATTGATTTACATGAGCTCCAATAATTGAATCACCAAAAAGATTCTCTGAAGCGAATCTGCAGGTATGAAAAGATGGTATCTTGCTCCCCAAGCAACCCTCTTATCAGTCCTGCCACAAAGGCACTACTGTATGGTCTAAGTCTGACAACATAGTACTCTTTTAGCTGTTCTCAATTGTCTCCACTTGGCTTTTGGCTATGATATCTAGCGCAAGTGTGTTCATAAGAAATTTGTTAAACCCTACAAAATTTTGGTGAGTTTTGTTGTTCTTGAAATATTTGAGTGATTTAATGTAATCAATTTTTTATTTTATTTTTTCCTCTTAATTGTTCTTTTCGGATTTAACACAAAAAGATTGATGTGGTATTGTAACTTTATTTGAATTTCCGGTACAATTTTCAATGCCACTTAATAATTAATAGCTTTAACCAGACTCCAGAGATGGTTGGTCATTATCAGTTTGGTCCCCATACGTATGACGTAACTTCAAGCGCATAGCATATCCATGATTAAATACACAAAAATCTTTGAATTTACTTCAGTCAAACTCGTACCCAAGAACATGAAAACTACATGTATCAGATATCTTTACAATAAAACTTGAAACTCTTACAGAGAAATGGAAAATTTCAGTTTGAATTATATATTTTTATCAACTTCTTGAAAAAGGAAAAGATTCCATATTTTTACTAGGAGAAAAATGGAAATGTCACAGAATATACAAACGCTTATATATAGTCATTAAGTCACAAAAATAAATAAAGGCCCATGAATTAGAGAGAAATAAGAAACTTTCTGATCATCACTTTGAAGACAATACTTAAAGGGAGAGAGAGAGAGAGAGATCGAGAGAATCACAACACAAACAGAGATATGAGCCAAACCAAATCAAGAAAAGATCAGGAGCTTCTTCAAAAATACACAAGCAAAAGAAACCCAATTGCATTCTTGATGGGATCGATCGTGAAGCCAATCTTTGGAAAAAACTTCAGAACATTTGGATCAAACCTTGCAGGTCTGTTCTTCATCATTGAAACCCTCAGGAGGTACTTTCCTCGCCAGATCAAGATCACGATCCAGCAGTTCCTCTTCCATGCAATCCAACAGTTACCCCTTTTCAAGAAATCTTCGGACAAGATCCTAGCCTTGCTCTCGCCTTACACTCAGATCAGGTTCAGAGAAATCGAGGAGTACAGATACAACTACGCTTACGCAGCCATCAAGACCTACCTTGGTGCAAAAGTTAACTCTGAAGTGAAGAATCTCAAGGGGACCCAGGTGAAGGATAGCAAGTCTGTGGATTTGAAACGGGACGATTCTCTAATCGAGGAGGAGTATGAAGGTGTGAACATGTGGTGGGATCTGGTAAAATGTCCTAAAGGAATCAACATCTGTAGTCTTACTTTCCATAAAAAGAATTGGGAAGTTGTGACTGGTTCCTACTTAAGTTATGTTGTGGAAGAAGGCAAATCGATCCAGGCGAGGAAGGAGAATGTTAAGCTGTTTACGAACAATCCAAGTACAAACTGGAAGTTGCAGATGAAAAATCTATGGAGCTGCATTGATTTCGAGCATCCGGCGACGTTTGAGACAATGGCGATGGATCTTGAGAAGAAAGATGAGATCGTGCGTGACCTTCTGGCGTTTAAAGACGGCCAAGAGTATTATAACAAGATTGGGAAAGCTTGGAAGAGGGGCTACTTGTTGTACGGACCTCCCGGTACAGGTAAGTCCACGATGATCGCGGCTATGGCGAACCTACTGAAGTACAGTGTCTATGATCTTGAGCTAACTTCGATAGAGAACAACTGGGAGTTGAAGAAGCTGTTGATAGCGACAACTAGTAAGTCGATCATTGTGATTGAGGATATAGACTGTTCCGTGGACCTCACGGGAGAGAGGAACGTGAAAGAAGAGAGCAGCTCAGAGAGCAAGCGAGAGAAGCAGAAGACGATTACACTCTCGGGGTTGTTGAACTTTATAGATGGGATCTGGTCAGCTTGTGGGCAGGAGAGGATACTCGTGTTTACAACGAATCACTTGGGGAAACTTGACGAAGCCTTGATCAGAAGAGGTCGGATGGATATGCATATAGAGCTATCTTACTGCACATTTGATGCATTCAAGATTCTTGCCAAGAACTATCTGAATCTTGATTCGCATCCCTTGTTTGCAAAGATTGAGTCTCTGCTGAAAGAAACGAAGATAACACCTGCTGATGTTGCCGAGAATTTGATAGTGAAAGATACTGAATCCGAAGCTGATGGATCACTCGAGGGTCTGATCCGAGCTCTGGAGAAGATGAAGCCGAGCCAAAAGGGTAAGGCCGATAAATAAGAGAAGGAGATTGGCCAATTAATTAGTGAGATTCAAGTAGTTTTATTAGCTGCTCAGTGTTTTATATTCATGTGTTAGCCACCAATTCTAGCTTGTAGGATCAAAACTTGTGGAATTTAAATAGCAGCTTTGATATCAATAGCTGAGTAATTATGTCTCAGTTCACATAATGGTTTAGTTAAATAGCTGCTTTGATATCAATGGTTCAGCTTCTTTGTTGCCTATATGTTTTTTTTCTGTTTGATACAAATTGTTTTGTGAGTTGAGACAAAAGACTTTAAGCAAGGTAATTAAGAACCTTGTAAGTATAGAACACAGAGCCCTAATATCATTTCCATGAGAACAAACCCAATATTTTAGATCTACCAAAGTTTCAATAGGTTTAGCTCGGCCCAGCCCATGACGAGAACACTCAACTACTCATCGATCAAACTTTGGTTTTCAATAATGAGTCTGAAACTGGATCCAAAGGGAAACGTCCAATTGCAGACGTTCTATTTCTTGGTTCAGTGAACCACTCATAATTGTCTTAATCCGTACGTGACTGTATAAATGGAATTAGAACTTATAATAATCAACACAACAATAATACTAAAGTCTCTCCATGACTTAATACCTCAGCTTTTTTAAACTTTATAAATATGATACCTCAGCAAAAATAATCACCAATCAAAACATTTTATTGATACATCTCATCTACTTATTTTAATTTTTAAACTTAAACCCATTAAAAACTCAAATATTTTTTCTATTAATTTTTGTTTTAACTTTTACCAAACTCAAGCCCAAATAATTAATAATAGCAAATAAAAAATTATTATTTTATTTTTTACCAAATCCAAATCCAAATAATAAATAAAAACAAATAAAAAATTAAATCATAGTTTTTTTTACCAAAACCAAATCCAAATAATAAATAACAACAAATAAATAATAAAAAAATTCTAGCTATCTATTTGTTTGACATAGACGTATATGATTGAAAAAGTGTAGACTCATCATCAACTATGCTTCCATGCAACAACGCAAAAAGCCTTATGTTATAAGAAGATCACACATCAGCAAAAATTTGAACCGATAAAAATATAATAATTTATTAGTTTTCGCAGGAATACACAATTTCACGGGAGATAATGCAATTTTTGGTTTTCGCGGAAAATTGTAGTTTATTTGTTTTGTAAGAAAGAGTGGTTCTGGGCTTGACGAGAAAATGATTTATTTTTTTTAGCAGGAATAGACGATTTCTCAGTTTTCGTAAGAAAAATAAATTTTTCGATTTTGGCAGGAAAATATAATTTTTTTTTTTTGGTTTTTGCAGGAAGATGAAATTTTTTGGTTTTTGTGAAAAAAACGTAATTTTTCGGCTTTAGTGGAAAAACACAGGTTCTCACGAGAAAATAAAATTTTAGGTTTTAGGTTTGACGAGAAAATAATTTTGTTTTTATTTTAGTAGGAATAGCCGATTTCTCAGTTTAATGGGAAAATGAAGTTTTTTTGTTTTGACGAAAAATGCGATTTCTCGATGTTTGTAAGTAGATGAAATTTTCATGTGCTAAATTTCCAAGTTAAAGTATGTTTACAGTAACCAAAATTTAATTATTTAACTTTAACTAAAACGATATTATAAGAGTTCAAACATAAATTTCTATTTAATTCTAAAACAATGACAATAGTTTTGATATGAATGTTATTGATTATAGTTTGGTAGTTTTAGAAACATATCATTATAATAAAATATTTGATAAATAAATAAATTTTATAATTCAAAATAATTATATTAGTTAACAAATCTTTTTTAAATGGTATTTTGCATTATATAATTACAAATGAGGATTATATAGTAATTTATTGAAGAATATAGATTACATTTGCCATTAGCATAAATGTACTAAATATGTATTGGTTTATTCTTATATATTTTATTCCTATATATATATATATATTTATAATTAGTTAGCTAACTAAATTTAATAGCAAATTATAATTTTGAAAAATAAAATAATAAAAATAGATAATGTTTATTCAGATTTAAAACATATAAATACATAACTTAAGTTAATAAAACAATAAATATAATACTCATTTACATTATAAAAATAATTATTATTATATTAAAAATATATACAAAATTTAGAAAAATATCCTGCAGCATAGCGCAAGTAAATACCTAATATTAATAATAATTGTCGACCTTTTTTGTCCTACGTTAAAAAAAGGGGGAAATTGCTGAATATGACTCAAAACTTGAGTTGAAATGCAAAACTAGACCCCATATTGCATGTTTGACAAAAATAACTCACAGGAGTAGTGAAATTACAACTTTAACCCTTATGACCAAACAAAAAAATGTCAACCTCAATTACTATTTTATCCCAGAGAAGTTAAGTAGACTTCTCGAGTAGACTTCTCCAAGAAGTCTACTCTTTAATAATATGTTTACAATTAATTTTAAAAATCATAAAATATAATTTAATAAAAAAATTAGATACATAACAACAAATATATACTTTTTACACCTATTAAAAATAAAATTTGACAGAAAATAATTAATTTAAATCATCATAGATAAATTAGGATAAAAATCAATACTAAGAGACTTCTCGAGTAGACTTCTCGGTTTCTCGTAGACTTCTCGAGTAGACTTCTTGGAGAAGTCTACTTACACGAATTTTTTCCTACATATATAAGAAGAGTTTAACCTAATTGTATTAACAACAAAGTCTCTCTTTATCTAAAAAACGCCTCTCTCTCTCTTCTTCCTTCTCTCTAGCCATGAATTTCTTCTCCTTCCTCTCTTGCTATCAATATCATCTCCATCCTCTCTATCTTGCATTCAACCTCCTCTCACTTGCAGGTTATGGTAGTGGTAAGCAAATCTGAGCTTTTGTGTTCCTCTTTTTATTTGCTTTGTGTTCATATTGCAAATTTGAGATTATTATTATAGATTTGAGCTTATTGTTGTAGATCTAAGTTTATTTTTGTAGATCTGAGTTTATTGTTGTGTAAATTTTGTAGATTTTGTTAATTTTTGTTATTATTGCAGAGCTGAATTTTGTTGATTTTTGTACAGATCTGAATGTTATAAATATAGTAGATTATTATTATAAATCCGAGCTTATTAGTTTAGATTTTAGCTTATTGTTGTAGATTTAAGTTTATATTTGTAGATCTGAGTTTATTGTTGTATAAATTTTATAGATTTTGTTCTAGATCTAATTTTTTCGTTATTGTTGCAGAGCTGAATTTTGTTGATTTTTTTGCAGATCTGAATGTAAACTTCTCAAGTAGACTTCTCGATCTCGAGCAGACTTCTCGAGTAGACTTCTCGATCTCGAGCAGACTTCTCAAGCAGACTTCAGTTGCATAGATAGTTTTCAGAGATTTTAGTTTACTAGTCATTTCTTATGCCAATTTTAAGATTTATAATTAGTGATCCTTAAATGTTTGTTTGTTTAGAGGGTTATTTTCTATGTAATGTTGAATTGCATTGAATGTTTTGTATCAAATTCATAAATTATCTATGTTTATCTATTTTACAATATAGACTTCTCCTGTCTCGAGTAGACTTCTTAAAGACATTAATTTAAGTGATTCAGAGGGACATTTCTCCCATTTATATCATATAACTTGTCAACCGAGTAGACTTCTCTTGTCTCGAGTAGACTTCTCCTGTCTCGAGTAGACTTCTAAAAGACATTAATTTTACATAACTTAAAAGTGATTCAGAGGGACATTTCTCTCATTTATATCATATAACTTGTCAACCGAGTAGACTTCTCTTGTCTCGAGTAGACTTCTGAAGTAGACTTCTCATTGTCTCGAGTTGACTTCTTAAAAACATTAATTTTACATAACTTAAAGGTGACAACATTCGCCCTCCTTTGCTATTCACCCTCATTTGCCAACATTCACCAAGAAGCTCACCATGTGTGCAACCGTCTCTTAAGAACAACATTCACCCTCCTTTGCTATTATCCACCTCGAACTGCCACACTGATTCACTTTTAACCCATTCTCCATAAACAGCGGGTATATGAGCCATTCTCTGTGAAAAAAGAACAAAATCCAAACCACATTAGACATCAAAATTGCATAAGTAGACTTCTCTGAAAGTCGGATGAAGTCTACATAGTAGACTTCTACAGTAGACTAAGAAGTCTACTCTTAATAAGCTAAGTATCATATAAAACATGAAAACTCATTCGACTATACCTATAAAATATAAACATGCAAAACTTATACATAAGCAAGAAAACTTAATAACAGAAGCTTAGGATCACGAAAATCTTAAAAATTCGTTATATATTGTATAAAAATGATTTTTTTTAAAAACAAGAAAAGTAGACTTCTCGGATAAAAGTAGACTTCTCGCAGGTTAGTTTTGTAATTGTCAAAATATTAGTAGACTTCTCTTTGAAAAGTAGACTTCTCCGAGAAGTCTACTTTCGTAAGTAGACTTCTCGCAGGTCATTTTTGCAATTGCAAAATATTTGACTTTTTGGTCAATTGCAAAAATGACCTGCGAGAAGTCTACTTGCAAAAGTAGACTTCTCGGAGAAGTCTACTTTGCATAGAGAAGTCTACTCTACAAAGTCAAAGGTTGGTCAATTGCAAAAATGACCTGCTTCTAAAGAAGTCTACTCGAGAAGTCTACTCTATTTTTTTGTTATCAAAGGAAATTGAGTAGACTTCATTCAGACCAAAAGAAGTCTACTTTTTCATACGATCAATTGCAAAACTAACATGGGCGTTGACTAGTAGACTTCATTCGGACCGAGAGAAGTCTACTTTCGGAGTATTTTCGTAAATAAGTGAGGAAGATGAGGATTAATTGGTCATTTAGATTTCCGAAAATAAAAGAAATTAATTAAAAATAATGGTAATTTCGTGAATAACTGAAACTATGAAAGATTGTTTGGACACAAAATGGCAAATGTTGGAAAAGTGATTTTTGTGGATTAGATTTGCAATTCAAATCAAATTTTAGGTAATTTTTGCAAGAATCCTTAAAAAAAGATGTCTTCCTGGAAACTTTATTCACACGATGACATAGACCACCAGAAATCAGCAAAACTTGTTTGATTTTTCTACCTTGTCTCTGTTATTTTGTGGACTCATAAAGTTCTAATGGAAAAAGTTATTTTTCATATACCAAAATGAGCAATCTTTTTTTTTGAAAAGGGTTAAAAATGAGCAATCTTTAAGAACTTTTTCACACAAAATAAATATACAATAAAATCTTAGTCTTATTCTGAGTTATGTCTTAATATTTATAAGGTCTTATTTTTTGTTTTCTCTAATCAAAAGTTCATAATATTAAATTCCTTGATTTTACTTTTTGATAGCGATTTCTATAATTAGAAAGATCATAATTTATATATATATATATATATATATATATTTTTTTTTTTTTTTTCTGAAATTGAAGATGCAATTGTCATCTAGGCATACTTAAGACTTAAGGTCAAACAGTTAGAGAGATTGACTAGGTGCTGTCGAATTAGATTTCGAGTCGGCGATAAACTTGTTAAAGAAATAATATATATCATACAATCCAATATGAATCTTGCTCTTTAAGAAAAAAGTTGGATATCAAAATGCTTGTTTAGTCGTCCACCACGACATGTTGCACAGCTTTTTCAAATAAAAACAATGCACTACACTTCAGATTCTTTTTGGCCTCTACTGATAAAATAGTGGCGGGTGTCAATTTTTTTTATTTATATATATCGTAAGAGTTATAAAGAAATTGAAGGTGGAGTCCGTGCAATTTCCTTCTCTTTTCGATTTTTTTTTTGTTTTGTTATATGATCTCTTTCGTGATTAGGAAGTTTCCAAGTAATGATCTCACATGTGCATTCGCAGACGTAATATTAACAATATAATAATATTGATGATGACTTTTCCAGTCAATTTATCAATATCTTGATATGATAAATATCATAAGCTCTTGTGACCCAGAACCACCATCTTTTTCCCCAAACATCCTTCCTTTCCGATCAAAATCTCACCTCAGAATCCTTCCTTACAAATCAAGAAACCTATTCTCAAAAACCCTAAAACAGAGCTACAAGAAGAAATAAAAAAGAATGGCGACGATGGGTCAACTATGGGCTAACACAGGCTCTGCTTTAGCAACCCTTATGTTTATCTACACAATCTTCAAACAATGGTTCCCTCACTTCGGTGACCACTTGGAACCATTCTTTCAAAGAATCTTCGGTCGTTTCTACCCTTACATCCAAATAACATTCCATGAATACAGCGGAGAGCATTTCAAGCGAAGCGAGGCCTACTTAGGGATCCAGAGCTATCTCAGCAAAGACTCCTCTTCTCGAGCCAAGAAACTCAAAGCCAACACAATCAAAGGAAGCAAGTCTCTTGTTCTTAGCATGGATGATAAGGAAGAGATCACCGACGACTTCGAGGGCATTACGGTTTGGTGGCAGTCGAAGAAAGAAGGGAGTGTAAGGCAATCGTTCTCGTTTTACCCTGCAGCAGACGAGAAGAGGTACTACATGTTGAGGTTCCATAGACGTGACAGAGAAGTTATCTTGGAGAGGTATCTTGAGCATGTTATGAAGGAAGGGAAGGCGGTAGAGCTTAAGAACAGAGAGAGGAAGCTTTATTCGAATACTCCGGGACAGAGCCATGGGAATCAAACGAAGTGGAGCCACGTAACGTTTGAGCATCCTGCGACGTTTGATACTTTAGCTATGGAGGATAAGAAAAAGGAAGAGATCAAGAGCGATCTGATCAAGTTTAGTAAGAGCAAAGATTATTACAAGAAGATAGGGAAGGCTTGGAAGCGAGGGTATCTTTTGTTCGGACCACCTGGGACCGGGAAATCGACAATGATCGCTGCAATGGCGAACTTCTTGGAGTACGATGTTTACGATCTTGAATTGACAACGGTTAAGGATAATACACAGCTGAGGAGGTTATTGATTGAGACTTCGGCGAAATCTATAATTGTGATTGAAGATATCGATTGTTCGCTTAATCTCACGGGACAGAGGAAGAAAAAGGAAGAGGAAGAGGAAGATAGAGACGAGAAGAGCACAATCGAGAAGAAGATGATGAAAAACGAAGGTGAGAATAAAGAGAGCAAAGTTACTCTATCAGGGCTACTGAATTTCATTGATGGGTTATGGTCGGCTTGTGGTGGCGAGAGGATCATTGTGTTTACTACAAACTTTGTGGACAAGCTAGATCCGGCTTTGATTCGGAAAGGAAGAATGGATAAGCATATAGAGATGTCTTATTGCGGTTTCGAAGCGTTCAAGTTGTTGGCCAAGAACTATTTGGATGTGGTGGAGAATGAGCTTTTTGATGAGATACAAAGGTTGCTTGAGGTTGAAGAAATAAAGATGACACCAGCGGATGTTGGGGAGAATCTGTTGCCGAAATCAGAAGGGGAAGAAGCAGAGACGTGTTTGAAGCGTTTGATCGAAGCTTTGAAAGAGGAGAAGGAGGAAGCAAAGAGGAAGGCTGAGGAAGAGGCCAAGCAAAAGAAGGAAGAAGAGGAAGAGAAGAAGAGAAAAAAGGAAAAGAAAGCAGAGGCAGAGGCAAAGGAAGAAGAGGAGAAGAAGAAAAAAAAGATTGAAGAAAATGGTGAAGCAGAGCATTGAATTTGAAGGAAATCTATGTTGCTTTATCTAGACGAGGATATGTTAGATTGTATCATCACTCTTGAAGCATTGTAGTCTCGTCCATCCTATGAATTGTTTTGTCTTCTCTTTAAGCTAATCAAAAGATTCAGAACTTTGTTCAACCACATTGTATCATCATGACGAGTTACGTATAACCCACGAAACAAGCTGACGTGTATACAGAAAACAACAAAGCATTTATATAGCCCTAGTTTGTAAACACTGGAACAGCAACATGGTAAAAAGAGATTTAATCCATTTAGCACGCTTTTTTTAAGCCTTACTCATATTCTTCATGGTTGATTGTGTAATTAATAGTAAGGAGGCTCTACTACATAGCTGTTTAGATGACTCGATTATGGTGTTCTTCAACCTTTTATCATTTCAGAATACAGAGTATAATGCTAACAGTTATGGATAAAAAAAATAGTTCCAAACAAACTAAGTACGGCCAAACATTTTAGTACCATCTATACATATTCTCTTAGCAAAGGTTTAGAAAATGATGAAAGCTCTTCTCCTCCAATGTAAGCACGATGATATAGTGTTCTTCAACCAATGAGAAATCGAGCAAATCTGAGATTATCTGTGCCGTAATTGTTCTAGGAAGAAGGTAAGGCCAACCAAATCCACCCATAAGACGACTTATCTTAAACTTATGGTGCAAAATCGGTAGGCAGTATTAAGACAAACAATCAAGTAATGTAACTTGCTTCTCAAACCATGGATACCTAGAAAGAGCTTGATCCTCGTTTAAGAAGAGATGAGTTTTTGAGTTTCTAACTGTCTTGGAAGCCCTCTGGTTGAGTGGGAGGGTTGCTAGATGAAATGAAATCTCCCTACACGTACGCCTTTGTATGCATCTACGTACATACGCCTAAATATATTAAGTAGGCTATAGTTCCCTAATATGCCCTTAACAACAATCTCTCTAATGGATATTACCACAAACAAGAAAACAAACAAAACCTCTTTTTTCTCTAATCCAAATCAAAGAAAAACTAAAAAACGGTTCCAAAGTACCTGAACATCTTTCGCATGAATGATCTTCAATCCAATCATCGAAGGTAAAATCGGAGCCTTGACCATCTACAGATCCTCGTTTTCAGGTAGCCAACAGCTCACATTTTCCGAATTCAAACATAAATGTATTGATGAATTTTGCAGAAAATATTATAAAGCATTCAGATTTTACCGTTTGTGCATGGCTTAAACGAATTCTGTATACCAATTTGTTTTTCATTTTTATGAAAGATTTTTTGCGTTTTGATACAACAGAACAACAATGGAGATTTTCAAGAAGGCCGAGACCGTGCGTTTACGAAGCTACCATGACAAGTACCTTCTAGCCGAGGATGACGAAGATTCCGTGAACCAGGACAGAGACGGTCGGTCTATGAACGCTAGATGGACGGTGGAGATTGTCGAAAAGGAAAACGTGATCCGTCTAAAGAGCTGCTTTGGCAAGTACCTAACCGCTTCAAACGTTCCAATGTTCCTTGGCATGACCGGCAAGAAAGTAACGCAGACGCTCCCTCGGAGGCTAGACTCGTCAACTGAATGGGAACCCATTAGAGAAGGCGTCCAGGTTAGGCTCAAGACGAGGTACACTTTCTCTTTTGATAACGTTATTTTCTTCAGAGACCATCTCTTCTTCTCTATAGTTTCTTTATAAGTGAATGGTCTGAGAGAGAGATTTGAATTCAATAGGTATGGACAGTATCTTCGAGCTAATGGAGGCTTACCTCCATGGAGGAACTCAATCACACATGACATTCCTCATAGGACAACCACACAGGACTGGGTTTTATGGGATATTGATATTTTGGAAAGCAGAAAGAAGAAAGCACCACCCACAGTGGCTGCACCACCAGCTTATACCCCTCTTCCGCCTCCTCCGCCACCACCGGAGCTTCTGATGGTAAGAAAAGATGATGATGATGATGAGCCCAGTTCACCCAAAGGATTCTCTCTCAGGTCTCCAAGATTTTCTAAAACAGAGGTTTGATCAGTTCTAACACTAATATGGTTCATCATCACATAAAAAGGAGTATCCTATTATAGAGAATTAAGTTTCTGTGGGCATGATTGCATCAAAAAGAACACTGACCGATGACCTTTTGTTTCTTTTGTACATGATCAGTCTGATGACAGGGTCAGCTCACCGGTTAAGGCAGATGGGAGACTAATCTATTACAGAGTTGGGGACAGCGATGGGAACGTGGACGAGAGAGTCAAGGAAGAGCTTTTCTGTTTCAAGGGAATGGGACTACAAGAGCTGAAACAGAAGCTTGAAGAAGAGACAGGTCTTAGTGATATATCAATCTGTTCCAAAAACCCTTTAAATGGCAAATTATATCCCCTTCGGTTGCATCTCCCTCCCAACAACACAAAGATGCACGTCGTCTTGGTCCCTTCGTCTTCAGAAGGTTAGTTTTATTTTTCATTGTTTATATTTTCCAGCTTACGAAAACCATGAACCATGAAGAAGCAGGACATATGGGGTCAAAAAATAACACTGATGTCAAATTAACAGTTCCAGATTTTTTTTTATAATATTCTGGTTCAGTCATGGAAATATGGCGTATATGAATTTTTTTATTTTCAGTTAGTTGGTTTCGTTTTCCAGTTAGATTTTTAGCTATGGTTGCCCTCAATTAAACATAACTGATCAGAGATTGTGGTTTGTGAAATTTACAGGTGATGCTGCAAACACTTCTTGAAGAATGGTTTGAGATTATAGAGTTTGTTGTCCAAGACAACAAACTTTCGGTTTCTGTTATTGTGTATTTCGGTAACATGCTGTAAATCAACAAAACCACTTTACGTGAGTACACCAATCTGATGCTAAAAGGATCTAGCATCAGGCTGTATGTGAATCCTACCTAAGCAATCAAAACCCGATACTGCGCTGAACATTTAAGGAGATATTGTTTTGGAAATTCTCGTACAATCAACTTCTTATCAAGTTAGCTTCTTTTATTCTTAGTGCGATACTAATCAAACCAAATCATATTGAGTGAATTGTTAAACAAGAACATAAATTTGTTAAACATCAAAATTTTACGAGTCGAGAAAAGTTTCTTAGGAGCACAACATAACAGCAAAATTGTTGAGAAAGACAAGAGTGTACCTGGCCAAACCAGTGTTCCTGAGCGAAGACTAGACACACACCCTTATCAATCACCGGTTACCAATCACCGCTTACCTGCAGTAACAGATTTGATTACTTAGTAATAGCATATAGAAATAAGACAATGGACTATGTCCTATGTGAGCTTTGATGACTTACGTTATTTATTCAGCTTTTCACTGTCAAGAGTCTCAATTCTCTCTACTCTCTAGATGCTAGTAGATGCGCCCAAACGCCATGCACTTCTCTTCCACTCTCCAGTCACCATAAAGTCTGAATCAAACATTTCTTTACAATGCCAGTGCCACTCTTGGGGGGCCTCGTGAGAGTTTCAGTTCCTGTTTTGTGGGGTTCAAATTTTTCCCTTTAGTAGTATCTAGAAACTGCATCATGTTCAGAAACTTCTCTCTGTCCTTCAAAAAGTACTCCTTGTCTCCATTCCCACATAGCCTTTGGACGACCCTCCAGTGTGTATAGCAGATAAGATTTGCAGCTTTATGAGTTAGTGCGATAGAATCTGCAAGGCATCAACAGATAGGAGATGAATCATTGTGTGAATCTGCAGCAGGTTTTGGTGTGACACATCTCCCGAAACAAATTTGGTAACATCTCCATCAACCTCTAACACACTGCATCCTGGTGCCTTTCTCATCCCTCTCTGACCTATCATCTGACGAATTCTAGACGCCTCGGCGTTTCTTTGAGCAACCAAGTAGATATTAGACAGCTGAACAAGAGCTGCTTCCTCTTCGTCAGCATTTCCTTTCTCTAACTCAAGAAGATTTTTAACAGCTAGCTCTCCGATTTCAACATTCTTGTGCGTTCGACAACCATTCAGTAGAGCACCCCAAACAGATGCAAGCGGCTTCATGGGCATTTCTTCTATAAGATCAACTGCGTCATCTAATCTTCCAGCTCTGCACATCAAATCTACTATACAGCTGTAATGTTCATGCTTCGGAGTAATTCCGTATCGAGCTTCCATATTCTCCAACATTGATCTGCCTTCTTGAAGAAATCCTCCATGAGCACAAGCGGCTAAGACTCCGAGAAGAACTACACTGTCAGGCTTAATAGCATCTTCCTTCTCCATCTTCTCCAAACACGTAATAGCTTTCTTAGCATAACCATAAGCCGCAAATCCTCCGATTAAGGCTGCCCATGAGAAGACATTCCTCCTACTCAACTTTTCGAAGACTTCCATAGCTGTCTCTAAGCAGCCACACTTGGCATACATGTCAACAAGTGCCGTTCCTACAAATACATCAGATTCAATCAGTTTCTTCTTCTTCTTCAAAAGCTCATGAATCCACTTCCCCTGAGCTAGAGCCCCAGCTTGTGCACAAGCCGTTAATGCCGTTGTAATTGAGAATTTGTCAGGCTCTGTTCCTCGAGCCAACATCTCCCTGAACACTTGTAAACCGTCGGATCCTAAACCGCATTTAACATACCCATTCATCAAAACATCCCACTTCACAACATCCGGGTGAGGAATTTCGTCGAACACTTTGCGTGCATCTGGCAACACTTTATCTTCAACATAAAGCCGTAAGATTCCAGTCTGCACATGACCGTCCGATGAAAAGACACCGTTTTTGATAACCCAGCAATGGATTTGCCTACACACGGAGAACAAATAAGCATTCAAAGAAGCAACCAACAAGAAATGAAACGTGAGATAGCTGGGAGCTATATCATCATCATCTTCGTCTTCCCTCAGCATTAGTCTGAAATATCGTACACCCAAGTGAGGCCGAGAGCTTCGGGAGCATATTCTTATCATAGTGTCGTAAACGAAGGAATTGCGAAATTCAATCGAATCAAATATAAGGGAAGCATAGTGAAAGTGTTTGTCCACACTGGGAAGAGGGAGAAGAGCCGTGAGAATTTTGCTGATCGCGTAAGTGTTGCGATGAACGCCATGGATGATGAATAGAGCATGTGTTGATTTGATTTGCCGCACTGTAGTGGAACGCTGACTCGCGAGGATCAAACTCCTCCATGATTGATGGAAGCTAGAGAGAACACTCATCGTCGTGTTGACGTCAATGTCGTCGACGTCATCGTGGCGGTCAAAAGGCAAGGTTTTTGTAATTAATGTGTGTTAGCAACAAGATGTTTAATGAATAAAAACAACAAGATGTGCATACGTATAAACATAAGACAGCAACAAGAAATCTCAGGTTCTTAATTTTGGTTGACTGATGAATTTAGTGAGGGCGTTCAACAAAACGGATCTTCTTCATCTTACTCTTAGATCGATCTCCCGAACAATTACTGAAATCTCAAGAGGGAGGAGGTAAGATCTTCGCAACCCTTTACAAAATCCTTTCGAATGATGTAACCTTCTCTCTGTTTCCCCTTTCTTTTTCCTCGCACAAGGTTTTCTCTCTCCGGTTTGTCAGCGTTACGAATTCAATTCCGTTTCTGGGTTTTTCACAAATTTCCGTTTTTGTTGATGGGTTTATGGATTTCGACTTGGGATTATTGTGATTTCGATGAAAATTTTCCGCCTTTGGGTTTCGTTGATTCTGGGATTTCGAAAAGATATTGTTCATACGCTCAGATTTCTCAGTTTATGAACATTCTTCTACTGTACCATCATTCTCATGGAACGGGGGTTTGCATGTCGCAGATACTTCTTCACTCCTTAACAATGGTGAAAGCAGTAGTTGGAGAAGATACTAGGCTCACTTCTGCTGAAGATCGTCTCTCTCAGTCAGCTGTTCCTGCTGAGGTAGTCACTAATCTCCATGTTCTGTCAAAAATGCATATGTCTCTCTCTGTCTTGAATTTTTTTGCGGCCCAAAGTATGGTTTTTAATTTGATGGTTGGAGCACAGGTGGGTCTTGTGATAGGCAAGCTTAGCTCTGCTCTGGATCGAGGATTTGTGTATGATCTGATCCCAACACCTAGAAACGATGCTGGAGAACCAGCATGCTCGGTTTTGGAGACCAAAGATGATAAAAGGAAGCCATCCAAGTCAAAACCTCAGTCATCGGAGTCATCTTCTTTATTGATTGATTCCGATTGGGTCGCAGAACATGCCAGACAGGTTTGGTACTCTTGTTTATGCATTTATCGAATATGTGTATCACTCAGAATGATCGGCATTGTAATGATTATATCTGTTTTAGGTATCGAGAATGCTTTTGGGTGGTGTGAAGGTTGTTGGTATCTATGTATGGGCTAGTGAGAGTGCTTTTAAGAACTCAACGATGATCCTTTGCCAGGTAACTTTATGTGACAGTCAGTTTCCTGCTTTAATTTCAAGGGACATGGTTAATTCGGATCATTGTGATAGGTCTCCCTATGGTTGTCTTGAAATTAAGATATTTCTTTCAACAGTGTCTTTGTGTTTTCTTATTTGTGAATTGAGATTTTAGGGGAAAATGAAACAATACATTATGTATGTTGATTAGCATTCTTTTGGATGCTAGTGCAACTCTATTGCATTTAAAAACTATGTGACTTTTATCAGGCTATTAAGGGAGTTTCAGATGCAATACGTCATTTGGATCCTAGCTTAGATGAAGCTCTTCTTATTCACATCTCTTACAGTCCGAGGAGGTATTCCGCCTTTAAGTGATTTTCTTCCTAAACATTTGGTGAATTTTCGGGTACTTAAAACTAAAGCATGTGAAATGTTTGTAGATGGAACTGCCGAACTTGTTTGTTGAACTCAAGTATTACATCAAGTAGCCTTCGACCTTGTGACTTTAAGTTGGGAAGGGTATTGAATTCTCTACAGAGGTTTAAATGCAGCTACAGCTTTAGTTTCAGGTATGTCATTGCATTTCGATTTGGATTTTGGAGTTCTACATTTTCTCTCACTATACACACATAAACACCAAAACCCTTTTTTGTATTTGTTCCTGTCATCTTTCTGTTGATTTCCTTTTTCACTTTTTTTTTTTTTTTGCGGGTAGATCACCGATCTACTCTGGGGGCTCGTCAACTCGCCAAACGTTTACTGAGATTCTCCGTCAAGAACTGGTAGTTCATGAAAAAGATCTGAAGAGTGCAAATGCAATGATTGATGGGGACTTGGTGAGGAAAAAGTTAAACCCTGTGCTTTTTATGTTTCTGCGTGTGATTTTTTTCTGAACACTATTGGATGTAGAGTTCGTTAATCATTGTAGAACTCTCGAAGCTTGAGGTGTCTAGTGAAACTAAAACATATTGAATGGTACATGCTAAACTCTATGGAGTTAAGCTAACCTTGTGAATGGAGTCTGTCTGAAATGTAGCTTCTTTCATGCATCAATCATTGCTCTAGTCTGTCAGAGATATAGTTTTGTTGCATCGATCATTGCCATGTCCGTTTAGGTGGGAATGACTTTTCCTGTTTGTAATTTCTTCTTAATTATTTTTGGGAGTGAAGGTGCATAACGATGAGCCTTGCCACACAGATGGCGAGCATGAAGTTGAATTGTTATTCCCATTAATGAAAGATAGTCGTGCTGAGGGTTAGCTTTTCTCACTCTTAATTTAGTAACCAAACTTTTGTTTGCTATATTGGATATGTTTTTAGATGATCTAATCTAATATTATGGTGCAATGAAATGTTGAGAAGCATTAACTGCAAAGAATGTTACTGGGATTCTACTCTTTGGCGGTTCTATATTCTCTTATGCCTACTTGAACGTGAAAGAACCAGTTTCACAAGCTGTTGCTGATATTAAGGTACTGCAACTTTGTCTCTTCCCGTTTTCTTAAATGTTTGCTTGTACGAGTTATATTGTTGATGGCCGTTTTATTTCTTTTCAGGCTGACATCACTAGGAGTCTGCAAAGTAGGCTGGACATTATCTGTGACGAGGCTGAGCAGGATCTCAATCCAACTGATGATGGAGACGTTGAAGAAGCTGAGATGTCGAAAACTCCCATATCCAAAGTCATATTAAACTCATCTACGTAAGTCTAGTTCTAAACATAACCACTGCTCGATTGTCTCACTATGTTTGCTGTATCTTCACTGATTGACACAGAAAGCTTAACGTCTTGATGTTTGTAAACAGAAAAGCATGCCATCTTCGTCTTCCCAGGAGAGTTCTTGTTCCGTGGTTGGCGGGTACATACATCTGTGATTATCTCCAGCCATTTGAATCACTAGAGGTATATAAACAGCTTGTAATGTCTCAAATTCATTACGCTTTTGTAAACTCTTCTTCCGTAGGTTAATAACGTCTTGATGGTTTATGAAATATAGGTGGTAAAAGAACGTTGTATTGAACTAATGTCCATGGAACATTCTTCTCTCGACGCATCAAAGATTTCAGAAGTGGAAACCGAAACGTCTTTATTGACCGTGGAAACTATGTGGGACGTGATATCTCCTGCATCTTCTGCGTCCAGCTTTGGCTTAGACGGGAATGCGGAAAGGACAAGTCGTGAAGACGGTAGCAAGAGAACCGATGACGCTGGTAATGCGTCTACTATCCCGATTCTGGTAGCGATTTTCGTGCTTTTACTCTCGATTGTATTAGGATTCGTTCTTTACCAGAGGGATTAGCGAAGAGTTCAGAGGTCTCTGTTTTGATCAAACCACAGAAAGAGCTGTTTTTTTGTGTCCCGGATACAGTGAGACGATTCTTCTTATTTGAAACCTTAATTCAAGAAAGAATATTATTTATATCAAGGTTCTGCGTTCTGCGTTTGAAGGTAGATAAGATACTGAAAAACTTGTATAGGAACAATTAGTAAGAAGAAACAAAGGGGATGTAGCTCAGATGGTAGAGCGCTCGCTTAGCATGCGAGAGGTACGGGGATCGATACCCCGCATCTCCATATTTTGTCTTCTATATCTTTTCTTTTTCTTTTGCTTTACGCAAAGACCCCTTAACATCTAAAAATGAAAAGTTTTTACATATTAGAAGAGATGACTTTTACCTAGAATTTTTTTTAAATGAAAAAACTTATCATATCAAGACATGTGAATGCTTTTCTCAGCAGAGACATTTGATGATGAAATCCATAAACTGATAAACCAAGAGGTGTCGTATGTATAGATGTGACACTAAAAATAAAAATCTACAAATGATGACACCATATCGCTTTTTCCAAGAAATTCAGAAAGATATGTATTAACCTTCGGATCTTGAAAGCTCAGTCCATGTGTGTCCGCATAACCTCTCTCAGGACAAGATGTGATCCATTGTAAAAGCTACTTTGACGCGGCAGAGCCATTAGGCTCATTACTGTCACATTCCATCATTTAAAAATGTATTTTGGTAATTTGCTATGCTACAACTATAGATTATAAGTCTTAACATAATATCTAGTAAGACATTTAGATAGTACTAGTAGTAGTTTTCATATCAATAATATATCATCCTTCTTAGATTCGAACCCAACACTTAAATCTTAGATGTTAGATTTTTCTTATTATTAAAAGGGTACATGTAAAGATATTTATTTTTCTAATTGGCGGCCGTGTAACTTTGCACTCTCACCATCGGTCTTTGTGTGTTTTCGCCGCATATCTACATCTTCTCTCCGCCGTCCACCGGTGACTCTACGTTCACTCGTAAAAACATTTTTGTAGTTTTTTTTTTTTTGTTTTTGTTTATTAGTAAAAAAAATAAAATAAAAAATGAAAGAGGGATAGATTCATTGGTCTGAATCAAGAGTCAAAAAGACCACCTGTAATTCCAACAAGTTAGTTGCCTACCGTTTATCATTAGCTGAGCATCCAGATGTCTCCACGTGGCACCATTTCACGGGAGTGTCACAAAAGCTTATATTCTTCTAGATGTAACGTTAGCATAACTATCTTCCCAACCCCCAAAAAGTCCACCCTTTCGTCTTGTTATTTTTTTAAAAACTCAATTATTACTTTAGAAAAAAAAATAGTTTCGAATTAATACTGTATTTTAGAATCTGGAAATGAGTAAATAAACTTATCATCATACTCATACTTGATAAAACTATCATATCCTGACATTTCTAAAATCTACAGTGTAAATGATGATAGGGAAAACCAAAATTTAGCATAAGATTTCCTTTTCATTACATTTAGACCAGAGTTCAAATCCAAAAATTTAGAAGATGAATATGTTGTTTGTTAATATATGTTATCATATTTATATAAATTTGAACCTGTTTAACTAAACATAAAATTAAACAAAATATTGTCTTAAACATCTAACTGATAGTTTATTAATAGTTGTGAAGTCTTGCAAATATAATGAAATGAACTAAGAAAATTCTTACACATAGCAGCAATATAACTCCTATTTTCGGAAATATTAAAGAACTACTTTCGCAAAAAAAAACATTAAAGAACTATGAATGATTCTCTCATAATTTAATACTGAATGTGTGACCAAATCAATCAAAAATTTCTATTCTTGAAATTCTGTTGAAAGATTAGAAGATTAAAGTATAGATTAGATTGTAGAAAGTTTTAAGTTTCATAATAGTAAGTTTTTTTATAGAAGTAAATTAACCCTTAATTATTTATGTAGGCGTACTCATTTGCTGCCCGAGCTGACCAATTTGCTTATCTCTCTCAGACAAGCTGCCCGATCTGCCCGTTGCTGACCACTTTCACTCTCTCTCTCTCTCTGAAGATGCCCTTTCGTAGCTCTGTATCTCTCTCTCTAGCCTCGCGCACGCAAAAAATCCTCTCTTTTGACTAAAACTTTCTCCTGCTAATCCCATTTCCGTTCACTTATATCTTTGTTTTATCTCTCTTCTTTGTCCCCAATTAAGGAGCTCAAATTCACTTCTACTGAAGTGGTTTCCATCGTTTGCTTTTCATCTAAGTATCACTTGGATCTTTTGTTAAAATCCTCTCTGTTTATGTTTGATTTTGAGGAAAAAGGATCAAACTTTCTACTAAGAGAGAATTGGGTTTGTGACTTTCTGTTATTTGCCTTTCTTCGATCTTCATCTTTCCATTGATTTCGTTTTCTGGGTCTGATTCTGTTTTGTTATTTTCTACTCAAACAAACGAGTATGGATGTGATCAGATAGAGTGATCCATTCTAGGGTTGATTGAAGTGGGGCTTCTCTTGACTTTTTTTTTTTTGTATATTTAGAATCCTTGTTGTTTGCGTTTGGCTATGGTGATCTGAGTGGAAATCAGGGTTCATTAAGAGATGATGGCTACAGGGAAAGACTCTGTTAAGGAGGTGGAGAAATTGGGTGTTAAAAACCCTGAAAAGGGGAAGGTGTTGAGTAAAAAGAAGAATGTTAAGAAAGATGGAGATGAGAGTGAAAGTGGGTTTTGGTTCAGATTCAAGCTCATGTTTAGTTGCATCTCTTCTAGATCAAAAGTTGATAGTTCCATGAATGCCACTACAGTTATTGGTAATTTCTTTCTCCCAGATGATCAAAGTTTGTTTGTATTTGTGTAGATGACAAGGTTTCCCCTGAATTAGTTGCTTTCAGATTGTAGCTTTTGATCATGTGCTGAGACTTGAGCTCGAAAGACAACTTTATATGTATCTAAATGGAAGATCATCATTGAAAGGATTGAAATTATATGGAAATTTATGTTTTATATGATATAAGTTGTATGTGTTGATGATAGAAAAACAAGTCCTTTGTTTGAGCAATACCTTAGTTTTGCTGAAATCAAAGACTAGAGAGATAGCTATCTGTTACAGTGTGGACTTGTTTTTCTTTAGTACTCACTTTCTTTTTGGATTTGTTTTTGTTATATACCTGTTTCAGCAGAACCTAAGCATATTATTGAGAAACGTGAAGGTCATCAAGCTCCGTCTAAAGATGTTAGTTGTGCGGAGAGCGGTTCCTCAACACCTCTAATGAGTGGGGAGCTGAAGTATTCCTCTAAGCTACGGATTTTCATGTTCAACGACCTCAAGTTAGCCACTAGAAATTTCAGACCAGAGTCTCTTCTTGGCGAAGGTGGCTTTGGATGTGTTTTTAAAGGATGGATAGAGGAAAACGGAACGGCGCCGGTCAAGCCCGGTACTGGTTTAACTGTAGCCGTCAAAACACTGAACCCAGATGGCCTTCAAGGTCACAAGGAGTGGCTGGTAATGACCAATCACAATAGTTGTTACGCTCTGATGCTTTTGTTTCTATGGACAATTGTTGATGATTTTGGTATTTGATCGGCAGGCTGAGATTAACTTTCTTGGAAACCTTGTACACCCAAGTCTGGTTAAGCTGGTGGGATATTGCATGGAAGAAGATCAAAGGCTTCTTGTTTATGAGTTTATGCCACGAGGGAGTTTAGAGAACCATCTTTTCAGAAGTATGTAATCACAAAAACGCTGTTGTATCTGATTTTGCCTTAAAGATTCCTGTTCATTTGATTGATCGTTGTTATCTATTTCGTTTTGTTTCAGGGACTTTACCTCTCCCTTGGTCTGTCAGAATGAAAATCGCGCTTGGTGCAGCTAAAGGTCTAGCCTTTCTTCATGAAGAAGCTGAGAAGCCAGTTATCTATCGTGATTTCAAAACATCTAATATCTTACTAGACGCGGTATGTCTGAAGCTCAAGAGCTAGATTTAAGCCTAAAAGTTCTTTCCTTTATGATCTTATATTGTAAACAAATGTTCGTATTTCAGGAATATAACTCAAAGCTCTCTGATTTTGGGCTTGCGAAAGATGCTCCAGACGAGAAAAAATCCCATGTATCAACCAGAGTCATGGGAACATATGGTTATGCAGCCCCTGAATATGTAATGACTGGTGAGTGAGGTATCCTCGCCCTTTTGTTTCCGTTATCTAATTGATGATTTATTGAGTTTCTTGGACTTACGAATCTCAATTTCAACATCAGGACATTTGACAACAAAGAGTGATGTATACAGCTTTGGAGTAGTTTTACTTGAAATACTAACTGGACGAAGATCCGTGGATAAAAGCCGACCAAACGGCGAACAAAACTTGGTCGAATGGGTGAGACCTCATCTTTTAGACAAGAAGAGGTTTTACCGGCTATTAGATCCTCGCTTAGAGGGTCACTTCTCGATCAAGGGTGCTCAGAAAGCCACGCAAGTAGCGGCGCAGTGCCTTAACCGTGACTCAAAAGCTAGACCAAAGATGAGTGAAGTCGTCGAAGCCTTGAAGCCGTTACCAAACATGAAAGACTTTGCTAGCTCTTCTTCTTCTTTCCAAACAATGCAGCCTGTTGCCAAGAACGGTATCAGAACACAAGGAGGAGGGTTTGTGTCGAGAAACGGACCGCCTCTGAGGAGTCTGTCTAGCCTAAACCTGCCACAAGCCTCGCCTTATCGTTATGCTCGCCAGTCACCAAAGCCTAAAGGAAAAGAGCCATGAGTGTGTCAAGTAATAGGAATTAGAGCCTTTGTTTTTTTTGCGGATTGCGGCTGGATGTTCGAGATTCCTGTTGCATCGATTCCTTGTGATCCAAGAACGGTACTCTCGGTTGCAGCCTTTTTAACCCAGAGCAAAAGAGATGGGTCAGTGGAAACTGAAGCTTGGCAGGTTTGGTTTGTGTTCTTTGAGTTATCCAGGAGAATATCTTTGGTCCTGAAGGTCTAAAGATTTTGATCTGTGATTTTAAATGTGTAGAAATGTAAAGGTTGAGAGTGTAAAGTTCTTGTAAGGATAAAAAGTAAAAACCTGTTGGCTGTAAAAACTTATGATTTAGATTTGCCCTGTGTAATCTACGATGTCCTGCTCTATATGCCTTGATTTTTTTTTCTTTTAACCTGGTGAAAGATATAAATCCCTTTAGAGATTTGGATTCATGAAAAAAAAAACTTCAACAAAAACTTTCCTTAAAAATCGGGTTCATGAAAAATAAATGGAGATGCGGGGTATCGATCCCCGTACCTCTCGCATGCTAAGCGAGCGCTCTACCATCTGAGCTACATCCCCATTTGCGTTTTAACTAGATTTTAATATATATAAGAACATAAATAGTTCTCTTCTTTACCCTTCCCAAAGTCCCAGACTTCGGTATGTCGGAGTCTGTAGATTTTGAATTGCGAAGATGCTGAGAAGATTACTGACGCAAACATCCTCTCGCCGTTTTCTCACTTCCGGGAGTCCTTCCTTCTCAAAATCCTCTCTTTCACCGATTTCCTCATTGTCCTCTTCGGCGGAGCCACCTTACTCGGGGAGTAGCACCGTTGAAAATGTCGAAGAGGCAGGTGCCGCCGCCGGAACAACCATCTCCGTCGACCGTTCTGCTCTATTCAGTCCTCCTGGTAAGTATTTCACTCCACACTCTATAGTGAGATTAAATTGATTAGATTTGGGGTTCTGATTGTTGTCTTGCTGTTGGGGAAATCCAGATCACTCTCATGAACCCACACCGGATTCTGAGCTCGTCAAGCACCTCAAGAGCATTATCAAAGTATCTTCGATTCATACATTTTGTCCTTGATAGTAGAAATAAAAATTGAAACTTTGTTATTGTTGATCTTGTGGTTTTAGAAAGCTGTAAAACTTGATCAAATTTATGAATTTTGTATGCATCACAGTTTCGGGGTGGCCCAATCTCAGTGGCGGAATATATGGAGGAGGTCTTGACTAATCCCAAAGCAGGATTCTACATGAATCGTGATGTATTTGGAGCTCAAGGTGATTTCATTACTTCTCCAGAAGTTAGCCAGATGTTTGGCGAGGTAATTACTTAGCATTTCTTATTCTTAGGACGGGTTTTGCATTTGTGTTTAAGATTGGGTTTTCTTACTAGATGTTGTGTGATCTTAGATGATCGGTGTTTGGGCTGTGTGTCTTTGGGAGCAAATGGGAAGGCCAGAGAGAGTCAATCTCATTGAGCTAGGTCCAGGTCGAGGAACACTCATGGTCGATCTCCTTCGTGTATGTACTTTTGCTCTTGTGCTGTATCCTGAAGATTTTTAATTCTGTCCCCCAAAACCTCGATAACGATCTCACTGCTCTCTGTTGGGGACTTTTCACTTATAGGGTACATCAAAGTTTAGAAATTTCACGGATTCATTGCATATACACTTGGTGGAATGTAGTCCTGCATTGCAGAAGCTTCAGCACCAGAACCTGAAATGCACAGATGAAAGTAGTTCAGAGAAGAAAGCTATAAGTTCACTAGCTGGGACACCTGTGCACTGGCACGCTACTCTTGAAGAGGTACCATCAGGAGGTATGCATCTTTTGTTTACATGTCTTAAACATTCAAAAAGAATGATACCCCCTGCATCTTTTCTCATGGTATCACTTTTTCTCTTTTCCTTTTGTGACAGTACCAACAATAATCATAGCTCATGAGTTTTATGATGCTCTCCCAGTTCATCAGTTTCAGGTTAGTGTGGGTGTAACTCGCAATATAGTCTTCTACTTTTAGTTTAGTATGTGTATTCTCATGTGGACTCAATCTCTGCAGAAATCTCCTCGTGGCTGGTGTGAGAAAATGGTTGATGTAGGACAAGATTCACAGTAAGTATTAGGGAATGAAAACGAAAAAATGATGTCTCTCATTATTGAGATTTGCAAAGAAAACTCCAGAATTTGATCGATGCGTTGTTGGTTTAGGTTCCGGTTTGTTCTATCACCGCAGCCTACACCTGCAGCCTTGTATCTCGTGAAACGTTGCGCGTGGGCTAAACCTGAGGAAAGGGAGAAACTTGAGCATGTAGAGATCAGCCCAAAATCAATGGATTTGACCCAAGAAATGGCTAAGAGAATAGGCTCTGACGGAGGTGGAGCACTTATAATCGATTACGGGATGGATGGAATCATTTCAGACAGTCTTCAGGTTTGTGGCCTAAAAAATGTTCTGATCATATGCTTTGTAAGATCTTCGTATCTGAATCAATGGATTAGCATTTTACCATCATTGTTTTTTCATTATGACTAAGGCTATTAGAAAACACAAGTTTGTCAACATACTGGATGATCCCGGGTCTGCAGATCTAAGTGCTTATGTCGATTTCCCTTCATTAAAACACTCAGCTGAGGAAGCTTCAGGTTTTCTTCTCATACTCAAACCAATGCTCGTCAGTGTAATATAGAGAGTAACTCACTTAAAACCAAATGCAAACGTGTGTATTTGTGCAGAAAACGTCTCAGTCCATGGACCTATGACTCAGTCTCAGTTCCTGGGTTCGCTTGGAATAAACTTCAGAGTTGATGCGCTGCTGCAGAACTGCGACGATGAGCAAGCTGAGTCCTTGAGGTCAGGATACTGGCGGCTTGTTGGTGATGGTGAAGCACCTTTCTGGGAAGGACCCGATGAACAGACGCCGATCGGAATGGGCACGAGGTATCTTGCAATGGCTATTGTCAACCGAAACCATGGCGTTCCAGCTCCATTCCAGTAAGAAAGATTGAAACTTTCAAAGGAAGACACGCTCTTTTCTTAACTTGGCTTTACCATAATCTTAAATAAAAAAGCTTTCGGATTCTAAAGTTTTTGTTATATGTTGCAATCAAATGTTTTGTAACACCACCATCTGCACTCTTGAGAACAAATCAAATGCTTTGTAACACACCTTTTTTTTCAATGGAATAATTAACCGATGAACCAAACCAATTTTATTGGGTACATTGTCCGGTTAAGTAATTGCGCGCGTGCGTCTTCGATTTAGCAGAGCCGGTGAAGGATAGTATGGTCATTCAACGTCCCAGGGACGAGATTGCAAACAAATCAATCAAATTCAAAGCTATCTTCTTCCTGCGTTGATCTCTCTGGCTCTGCTTCGATTTTTTATTTTTTTTTTCCTTCTTCAGATCTCTCCCTCGTCAATCTCTGAGATCTGAATATCTCCGTAAGGGAAAGGATTGAAGGATGTACGGATTCGAGGCGCTTACCTTCAACATCCATGGCGGATACTTGGAGGCGATCGTGAGGGGCCACCGTGCTGGGCTTCTCACCACCGCCGATTACAACAATCTGTGCCAGTGTGAAAACCTTGACGACATCAAGATGCACCTCTCTGCCACCAAATACGGCTCTTACCTCCAGAACGGTTCGTCTTCCCCATTATGATCCGTGATGTCTCAAAATTTCACTCAGTTGTGTATATGAATTTGATTATTTGACTTTGGTTTTGTTTCATGGGTTCTGGGTTTTAAGCATTTGAAATGCTTTAAATTCCCCAATTTTATGTGGGAATTAGTGAAACTTCCCCATGATTGCTGTGAAAGTGGTAGTTTTTAATTTGAATGTCATTCATCTTGGTAGATGGATCTGAAATGTGATGCTTTAGACGAGACAGTGAGTCTAAATATTTGAATTTATTGTTAAAAACTGTTCTCTAATTCGAAATCTGCACACAATTGTTAGTTCTTGTATCTGAATCTCTGCTTCATTATTGTAAACAAAAAAAGTGTTCTTAAATTTTATCATCCTTGGCTTCAGAACCATCACCTCTGCATACCACTACAATTGTGGAGAAGTGTACGCTCAAGCTTGTTGATGATTATAAGCATATGCTTTGCCAAGCAACTGAGCCTATGTCAACCTTCTTAGAGTACATCCGGTAAGTCAGATATTGCTCTGCATTCCGTAAAATCATGATTCTAGATCAATAGGGTATGGTGCTATAGTGTTGTTTTTCTTGTGTCCCCTTTTTTGAGTTTCCAGAATCGTTGGTTATTTTGTTGCCAAAGTCCTTCTCAATGTACATCATAGTGTAAGATTTGTTGCTTTCCTGAAGTTCCACCTTTGAGATATTGGGTTTGTTCTTTTAATATTGTAATGCAGATACGGCCACATGATTGACAATGTCGTGCTGATTGTTACCGGAACCTTGCATGAAAGAGATGTTCAAGAGTTGATCGAGAAATGTCACCCTTTAGGCATGTTTGACAGGTAGCCGCATTGACCTTTCGCATCTTCTACACCTCATCCCTTAGCTTGTTTCAGACTGCTATTTTTTTTTTTTTTTTCAGTTTTATGTTTGATCTCATGCTTTTTCTTTTCCAGTATTGCTACACTAGCAGTTGCTCAGAACATGCGGGAACTCTATAGGTTGGTGCTTGTGGACACTCCTCTCGCTCCGTACTTTTCTGAATGTCTAACATCGGAGGTACAAAGCTGAAATTTTTATTATTCTAATTTTTGTTTTCAATCTTGTGCCATTGTTTTCTAACATCTGTTGGTCGATTGTGAATGTAGTAGTATTACTTGCAAACCTCATGCTTATTATTTTCAGGATTTGGATGACATGAACATTGAGATCATGAGGAATACCCTCTACAAAGCATACCTTGAGGATTTTTACAAGTTCTGTCAGGTGCTTACTCGACTCCGATATTTTATACAAAATTTCAGAATCTTTTATACTAGCTAACCCTTTTTATTATTTTTTTTTTTTGCTGTGTATCCAAAACAGAAACTTGGTGGGGCAACAGCAGAGATAATGTCTGACCTTCTGGCCTTCGAAGCTGACAGAAGAGCTGTTAATATCACCATCAATAGGTTATTAATTACTGATTTATACACAAGATGTGACGTTTCTTTGTTTATATAGGCACTGAAACTGATATTATTTGGTATGCAGCATCGGCACTGAGCTCACAAGAGAAGACAGGAAGAAACTGTACTCTAACTTTGGTCTCCTGTAAGAAGCATTCTACAGTCAAATGATAATTCCATTATATGGTTGCATAACATTCCAAAGTAGTCTTCATCACCATGGTTTTTGATATTTCTTTAACAGCTATCCATATGGTCACGAGGAGCTTGCTATTTGCGAGGATATAGATCAGGTAGATCCGCAAGCTAATATATCATAAACATATCACAAATCTTGCTCAGTGAAACCAATTTATCTGCTGTTAGGTCCGTGGTGTTATGGAGAAATACCCACCGTACCAAGCTATATTCTCCAAGATGTCTTATGGAGAGAGCCAGATGCTCGACAAGGCGTTCTATGAAGAAGAAGTCAGAAGGCTTTGCTTAGCCTTTGAGCAGCAGGTTCTGTTTCCCTCTCTCTAATGTATTGTGTTTCTATAGCTCTTTCTAAACTCATGTCTAATTCTAACAATGTCTGTTTAAACCTGAGTTTTGCAGTTCCATTACGCGGTATTCTTTGCGTATATGAGGTTGAGAGAGCAGGAGATCAGGAATCTGATGTGGATATCCGAATGTGTAGCACAGAACCAGAAGTCGAGGATCCACGACAGTGTCGTTTACATGTTTTGAGTCTGAAAAAAGTGTCATTTGTCTGAAAAACAAGATTGGAGGATAAGAAGAAATAACCAATTTGGTTGTTGTTGGTTTTCTTCATTTCCCCGGTTTACCAGAGAAATCTGCCTGTACAATCTGCGGTTTTACATTCATTGTTCTGTCGCTCTTAGTGAGTGCGCATGTATGAAAATTTCCCAATAAAAGAAGAATCTCTCCTATTTGTTGTCTGTATTTGCCATATTGCTTGGTTACTTAAACTATTGTAATCCTCTAAATATATTTGAGATGCAAAATTATTTGGCAAGTTTAAATTTGCATGGTTCATCTGCAACCGAAAACTCAATTTCGCTAGCTGCATACATCGGTTTAATAGAACGGTTGAAATCTTGGATTTAGCATACCGGTTTAAGGATAAAATCGTAAATGCAACGTGCCACGGACGAGTTTCGCAAACTAATCAATCAATTCATAGCTATCCATCTTCGTCGCGTCGATCTCTGCTTCGATTTCTTCTTCTTCCTCAGATCAGATCTCCCCGCGAAATTGTTTGAGATCTGAATATCCTGTAATTCTCCGTAAGGGAAAGGAGAGAAGGATGTACGGTTTCGAGGCGCTTACCTTCAACATCCATGGCGGGTACTTGGAGGCGATCGTGAGGGGCCACCGTGCTGGGCTTCTCACCACCGCCGATTACAACAATCTGTGCCAGTGTGAAAACCTTGACGACATCAAGATGCACCTCTCTGCCACCAAATACGGCTCTTACCTCCAGAACGGTTCGTCTTCCCCATTATGATCCGTGATGCCTCAAAATTTGACTCAGCTGTGTAAATGCATTTGATTTACTTGATTTTGATGTTGTTTCGTTGGATATGGGTTCTGGGTTTTAGTCATTTGAAATGTTTTCAGTCCCCAGTTTGATGTGGAAATAGGTGAAATTTCCCGTTGACCGACGTGAAAATGGTTTCTGGTGGCCATTTTTTTTCATAAAATGTCATTCATCTTCATAAAATGGATCTAAAATCTAATGTTTAGACGAGACAGTAATATCTTAAGTCCCTCAGTACCTTGATTTCCTGTAAAGGCAACTGTTCTTATATTATCCGAATCTCTGTTTCATAATTGTGAAAAGAAAAAATATTCATTATCATTAGATTTTCTTATCCTTGGCTACAGAACCGTCACCTCTGCATACCACCACAATTGTGGAGAAGTGTACGCTCAAGCTTGTTGATGATTACAAGCATATGCTTTGCCAAGCAACTGAGCCTATGTCGACCTTCTTAGAGTACATCAGGTTAGTGAGACATTGCTCCCCGTTCAATAAAATTATGATTCTAGATCAACAGAATATGGTGCTATAGTGTTCTTTTTGAGCTTGGAATATTGTTGGTATTTAGTTTCTTTACAAAATCTTTCTCAACGTACATTATAGTGTGTAAAATTTGTAGCTTTCCCGAAGCTTTACCTTTAACTAGATTACAGTGTAATGAATCAGTTCTTCGTTTCAGCATGTTATGGGCACAGACTTATGATCAGTGTGTTATTAGTTTAGATGCTAGCTTATATTGTTACTTGTTTATTCCCTGGAATTAGTTTAGACTATGATCTATCAATTAAACACGCTGGCCTTTTGAGATATTGGGTTCATTTTTTTTATATATTGTAAATTTATAATGCAGATACGGCCATATGATTGACAATGTCGTGCTGATTGTTACTGGAACCTTGCACGAAAGAGATGTTCAAGAATTGATCGAGAAATGTCACCCTCTAGGCATGTTTGACAGGTACTCGCGTTAACCTTTGCATCTTCTATAACTCTTCACGCAGGTGCTTTAGACCTTTCTTCTTGTTCCTTTTTTATGTTTTTGCTCATGACTCCTCTTTTCCAGTATCGCCACACTGGCAGTTGCTCAGAACATGAGGGAGCTCTACAGGTTGGTTCTTGTGGATACTCCTCTGGCTCCATATTTTTCTGAATGTCTAACATCAGAGGTACATAGCTGAACCATTTACTATAATGTAGTTTTTTTTTCGACCTTTGTTTTCTGGTTGGCAAATACATTGGCAAATTATGAATGTCGTTTCACGTTCATATCATAAAATGCCTCTTTCTTTTCAGGATTTGGATGACATGAACATTGAGATCATGAGGAATACCCTCTACAAAGCATACCTTGAGGATTTTTACAAGTTCTGTCAGGTGCTTACTCGACTCCTAATTTTCTTACAAAATTTTCAGAATCCTCTTATACTAGCTAACCCTTCTTTTTTTGCTGTGTATCCAAAACAGAAACTTGGTGGGGCAACAGCAGAGATAATGTCTGACCTTCTGGCCTTTGAAGCTGACAGAAGAGCAGTGAATATCACCATCAATAGGTAATTAATTACTGCTGTATATCTTCGTGCATCGAACCACAAGATGTTGTGTTGCTTTGTTTTTAAAATCACTGAAACTGGATTCCCTTTCTATGCAGCATTGGCACTGAGCTTACAAGAGAAGACAGGAAGAAACTGTACTCTAACTTTGGTCTCCTGTAAGCATTCTACAGCCAACCGAATATTCCATTCAATCGTTGCATAAAACTCTAACTTAGTTCTTCTCACCATGGTTTTGATTTTTGCATCTCCAGCTATCCATATGGTCACGAGGAGCTTGCTATCTGCGAAGACATAGATCAGGTAAATCCGCAAGCTAATAAATTATAAACATATTAAAGTTTACATATCTTGCCCAGTGAAACCAAATTATCCGCTGTTAGGTTCGTGGTGTTATGGAGAAATACCCTCCATACCAAGCAATATTCTCCAAGATGTCCTATGGAGAGAGCCAGATGCTCGACAAGGCGTTCTATGAAGAAGAAGTCAGAAGGCTTTGCTTAGCCTTTGAGCAGCAGGTTCTGTTTCCCTCTCTCTAATGTATTGTGTTTCTATAGCTCTTTCTAAACTCATGTCTAATTCTAACAATGTCTGTTTAAACCTGAGTTTTGCAGTTCCATTACGCGGTATTCTTTGCGTACATGAGGTTGAGGGAGCAGGAGATCAGGAATCTGATGTGGATATCCGAATGTGTTGCACAGAACCAGAAGTCGAGGATCCACGACAGTGTTGTCTATATGTTCTGAGTCTGGTAAGAAGTGAGAAGCACATGTTGAATGAAATGTGTGATGTGTCTTAATATGGGAGAATAAGAAGAAAGAACCAGTTTGGTTGGTTGGTTGTTGGTTTTCTTCGTTGCTCCGGTTTACCAGAGAAATCTGCTGTACAATCTGCGGTTTTACATTCACTGTTTCTGTCGCTCTACGTGAGTGCGTGTATTAAAGTTTATCCACCAAATAAGAATCTCTCCAATTTGTTTGTTTGTTTTTTTGCCGTATTTTGCTTGGTACTTCTCTCTATTGCCAGTAAACTTTTGTAATGCCAAACTATTTATCATGCGTTTTTATAACATTTTGTTAAAATATTTTCGAAGGTGTTGAATCATTTCACATATTCCCATTTTCTGCTCCGGAATCTCAAACTGTAGTTGCAAATACTGTAGTTGCTGATCATGATGCCCATTGTATTTCACTCGGGTTACTGTAAACATATATGTATTGTATTTACATTTTTTAACCATTTTGTGAATAATTTTCAGAGTGAAATCCCTAAATGCTATACCCCCAAATCGAAATTTGACATTTAGCACTGGACGAGAACAGATCGAGTCTTCTCTGTCTCTCTCTTCTCACTCCCTCCTCCTTCCTCCGAGGAGCTCCTTTTCGCATGACGCACCACCGCATCAATATCACCTACTTCAATGGCGGATCCGCCGGAATCTTCCTCCTTTTACTCTTACTCACCGCCACTTCCACCATTAGCTCTGCTCCGATTCCAGGATTGGACACCTTCTTGACGAGCCAATTCCGCCTCGACCCAAAAGCTTCCAACGACTCTTTCGGATCTCTCTCATCCTCACTCAAGCGGTCTCTCTCTTCTGCTTCCTCTTCCCTCCACTTCTCCTCTCTCTCCCAGTCTCTACTCTCCCTCTCCGTCTCCGTCTCCCTCCACGTCCGCTTTGTCGGCGATGCCTTCCCTTCCTCCGCCGCCTCCACCTTCTCCTCCTTCATCTCTGCCACCGTGACTGGAGACAAGTTTCAAGTGATATCTCCTCCTGATTCCTCCACCGATCACAGCCTTGCCGTCTCTCACTCTCTCCACCTCGACGCTTCCCTCTCCGCTCCTTATCTCTCCTCCCGCCTCGACGCCTCCTTGAAATCACTCATCGCCGGCACAACCTCCTCCCTCCGATCTCAGCTCCTCTCCGTTCCCTACGGCTCGATCGATGAGATCGTAAGGCAAGAGTACGAGAAAGAGAAGCACGGAGACGGCGGCGTCTACGTTTACTTGATCTCGCTAGGCCCTCAGTCAAAACCCTACGCATATAGCTACTCCCATGGCGATTCGTCGGCTGGGTTCACGAAATGCTTGGGTAGTATCTGGACAGGGAAGGACCGTTATCTCTGGATTGATCTCTCCGCCGGACCTGTGGATTACGGCCCTGCGTTATCCGGTGATGGGGTTTTGCCAAGAGGCGAGTTCCACCCACTCGCAGCCTTCCATGGCCGTCCCAAGTCAGAGAAAGCTTTGCTTGCGGATTTGGCCTCGCTGGTGTACAATGCCTATCAGGTACTGCTTGTTCCTTCTCTGAGGATCCCTGTCTACTTTGAGGATTCGTTGGTTGTTCAGTTCATTCACATTTACGGGTCGGAGCATAAGGATCCTATTGGCTTAGATTGGGAATCTGTCAAGAGCACGTTCATGGAAGAAGCTAACAATGGTGGGTTGTTGCTAGGAGAACAGAAACTGAGCTTCAAAAGCTTCAGTGTGAATTACAGAGAGTGCCCGATCTGTTCCTTTGCGGTATCTCGAGGCATGAACTCGTACACGTCCCGGTTCTTGTTCGATAACTACACCTTGATTGTGAGCGAGTATTTGGATTCCAAGCATATGCATAGGACGCTGACTGAATCAGCAGAGGAGCTGAGAAGAGTCGTAGGGATCCATGAAGAAGACGAGTTTGCTAGGGTTCTACCTGTTTATGTGTTTGATCTGGATATCAACACGCCTTTGTTGCTCGACAGGTATCATCAGTCCGTTGCTTTCAAAGACATGGTGATTGCTGTTAGAACCAGAGGAACGCAGACGGTGAGTGATTACACCTGCAACGGGCGTCATGTGTTTGTCCACACAAGAGACCTAGAGCGACCTCTCGTGGGTTCCATTCTCCAGAGCATGTGGGGTGTATCTTCGACTCACCTGACATGGAGCCCGAGACATAACTCGACGCTAGTGGACTACACGTGGAGCGTCGGGCAGACGCCGTTTGGACCTTTCTCCGATATCTCGTCCCTGTCGTTTGTTCAGAAGGACGCTGCAAAGAGAAACGTTCTCTTGACGTCGCTGAACACAGCCGTCTCAAGCGCGATCGATATCATCGACTCCGCGGTCGCTTATGGAGGAGAAGCGAACCTCGTGAAACAGAACCGGCGCTCTGAGTTCATGCAGAGGTGGAATCTTTTGATGTACAAGATGGAGAAGTCGGTTTCTGCTCTGTCTCACAATGACTTCGAGATGGCCTTGTACTACGTGAGGTCGGCTTCGCACGACTTGTACTCGATGCACTCAGTGGTGTACCTCGCGTCGCAAGATGTGGAAGCGAGTCTCAACTGTTTCCAAGATCCTCCGTTCCCATGGGGAACCGTTTCTGTGTCTGGGTTAGGGGTAATGGCTTTGGGTTACGTGTACTCGAAAAGGGATAGACTCTTCAGGAGCAAAAGAAAACAGTTCTGAAGATTCCAGGCCATTTTACATTGGATAAAAAGACTTGATAGTTTCGTTTTTGGGGTTAAATACAACATATGTACTATGAGCTTGTTTCTTCCATTTGGTTTGGTAATGTTGAACACAAGAGAAAATGTCTGGATCTTTTTTTTTTTGTTTAGTTATTTATATATGAAAAGTTAGACGTTAGGCCATTAAACTCGAAATTAGTTCTTGTTAAATCCCTTTGACAAATCTAAATTAATCTTCTATTTAAGTAATTAAACCCCAGATTATTTGAAAAATTCAGAAATATTTATTATAAAAAAAAGCTTTAGAAACGCAGTGCACCGCCTAAATGAATCCAGTATTTATAAAAAGCTTAAAAACAGTCTCTTTCTCTCTCGCTCATCTCTGTCGTCTCTCTCTGTCTCTCATCGGAGCCATGACGGACGGCCATACCTTCAACAATATATCTCTCAGCGGACGCGGCGGATCGGTACGATCCTCTCTATCTTTCTCTTTTACTACGCCGGTTTTCTTAGGGTCTTTTCACGTCCTCAACTCTTTTTCCCCTTTTCCGCTTTCTTCGAAACCCTAATTTTCTTATGCTTGTAGCCATTTTTTGTTCCCGTCGCTTGATTACTACTCAGTAGGAGAACGAATGTGTGATTTTCGTGTCTAACAACTTACGTTACAATCGTTTTCGAAATCCCGAGTTTTATCTTTTTGTGACCTTGCAACTGCAAAAAGGGATGATGCATCTCGTCTCCGCCGTTATTGCATCCCTACGATTGCTGGAAATTCTCGAAATTTTTGTGGATGTTCTATAAATTCTTTTTTCGAGAAGATGTTTGTGCTTAGTTGGGTTTCTCGATTTGGCACTGCAGAACGCTGGCCTCCTTAAAATTAGCTCTGGAGGCATTCAATGGAAGAAGCAAGGTGGTGGGAAGGTTGTGGAAGTCGAGAAATCTGATATTGTAGGTCTCAGTTGGATGAAGGTTCCAAGAACAAATCAATTGGGAGTCTTAACCAAAGATGGTATACACTACAAGTTACTTGGATTTCGGGATCAGGTTTGCTCATATCTTCTTGCTTCTGTTCTCGATTTTTATTCCATATGTCGATATTCGTTTCATTTGAGCTTATTTTCATGCTTCTGTGTGGTTGTTTGGTCAATAGGATGTTACAAGCCTGACCAGCTTTTTCCAAGGAACTTTTGGGAAAACGCCTGAAGAGAAACAGCTATCTGTCACTGGTCGCAACTGGGGGGAGGTGGATTTGAATGGTGAGTTCTTCATCTGCTCCTAAGTGACTGTCTTTAGGTGTAAAAGTCTGTATATGTGTAGTTGAGCTTTTGAGTTTAGGTGAAGCTTCTTAGTCCATATGTGGTTCTAAAGTGAAAACTCTCTTGTTGTCTCTGTTTCTTCGTGCAGGGAATACACTAACCTTTGCGGTAGGTGGAAAGCAAGCTTTTGAAGTATCACTAGCTGATGTTTCACAGACTCAGATTCAAGGGAAAAATGACGTCGTATTGGAGTTTCATGTTGATGATACTGCTGGTGCCAATGAGGTATTCCTTTTCTACTGCAACTTGGTTTCCTTAAAAATGCTAATATAGCTGAGTTTCTGATTCTATTATATGCATTTACAGAAAGACTCGTTGATGGAGATAAGTTTTCATGTTCCTAACTCCAACACTCAGTATGTTGGTGATGAAAATCGTCAGCCTGCTCAAGTAAGTTGCCAAACCTTTTTTTTTATTATACGGGTGTGTCTCGAGTACTTTTCTGTTGATACCAAGAGCATGTCTCAGGTTCTCCGCGACAAAATCATGGCAATGGCTGATGTTGGTACCGGAGTTGAGGAGGCGGTCGTCACGTTTGAGAGTATTGCGATCCTCACTCCCAGGTAAAGAATCTTTCTCTATCTTCTATTGGCTATTAGAGTTTTTGTTGATCACTTTATCATTTGTTGTACTACTTTTTGGCTGCATCATCTCATGACTACATGATTGTTTTTCTTTCTTTAACAGGGGTCGGTACAGTGTGGAGCTTCACCTTTCTTTCTTACGTTTGCAAGGACAAGCTAATGACTTTAAAATCCAATACAGTAGTGTTGTCCGCTTGTTTTTACTTCCAAAGGTAATACCTATCATCACATTCTCTGGGAATTTTCACTTACGTTGGCAGTCATCAGATTAGAGGGATTATCATAGTATGATTGCTGAATCTTTTACTTATTAAAGAAACTGTTGTTATATGTTTTATGCCTGAGCAGTCAAACCAGCCACACACATTTGTTGTCATCTCTCTAGACCCACCAATCCGGAAAGGTCAGACCTTGTACCCCCATATTGTGATGCAGGTAAACATTACTTTTAATTTCCCTTTCACTTCAGTTTTCTTCTTATAAGTGTGCCTCCTTTATCTTTTACTCTGATTTTACATATCTGCTTTTGTCCATCTTCTCTAGTTCGAGACCGACTATGTCTTCGAAAGTGACATCGCAATTAGTGATGATCTTATGAATACAAAGTTCAAGGACAAGTTGGAGCGATCATATAAGGTTTATGTTTGATTTGCGCTTTTGTTACCATTCCTTAATAAAAAAGATAATTCTAAGTACACCGATTGCTAAAGAAATGGCTATGGATTTTCAGGGTCTCATTCATGAAGTGTTCACCACGGTGTTGCGTTGGCTGTCTGGTGCAAAGATCACTAAACCAGGGAAGTTCCGCAGTGCCCAAGATGGGTTTGCAGTGAAATCATCTCTCAAGGCAGAAGATGGTGTTCTTTATCCACTTGAGAAGGGCTTCTTCTTTTTACCTAAACCTCCAACGCTTATACTTCATGATGAGGTATTTTGTGGTTATTGATGATTGTGAATTTTTGTTAGGCTTTGAGGTAGATTTAGTTTGTTTAAATCGTTTTGTTTTTTCATTTCTAGATTGACTATGTGGAGTTTGAAAGGCATGCTGCTGGTGGTGCTAACATGCATTATTTCGATCTTCTCATAAGACTGAAAACTGATCAGGAACATCTGTTCCGGAACATTCAGAGAAATGAGTATCACAACCTCTATACCTTCATAAGGTTAGCACGTGGTATTTCAGTATTAACGTTTGAAGTTGCTGAGAGTGTATTTCATTGTTGTGAATAAAAACATTATCTTCCCTTGATGCAGCTCTAAAGGTTTGAAGATAATGAACCTTGGAGGTGCGGGTGAAACAGACGGCGTTGCTGCTGTTCTTCGGGATAATGATGATGATGCTGTTGACCCTCATCTCGAGCGTATCAGAAACCAAGCTGCTGATGAGAGTGACGAGGAGGCAAGTACTTTTATTTCTTACCGAATTTAATTTGTGTTCTGATGATCACGCTTTTGACAATCAATATTTTTTAATTCATGAAGGACGAAGACTTTGTTATGGATGATGACGACGACGGTGGTTCACCAACTGATGAATCTGGCGAGGACGACTCTGATGCTAGTGATGGCGGCGGAGGAGAGAAAGAGGTAAAACAGTTTCATATACTTGAATCAAAGTCTTTCACGAGCGACCTTATGTTTAACACATCTTCTTTTTTTCCTTACAATTTGACTCCTTTTTAGAAATCTATCAAGAAGGAACCCAAGAAAGAGGCTTCGTCGTCGTCGTCGAAAGGATTGCCCCAAAAGAAGAAAGCAGTAGCCACAGAAGAAGGCGGTAGTAAGAAGAAGAAGCAGAAAAAGAAGAAGGATCCCAATGCACCAAAGAGGGCAATGTCTGGTTTCATGTACTTCTCCCAAATGGAAAGAGATGTGAGTTCTTCTCTCCTATTAGCATTCCTGGGAACTCAAGCGTTAGATAAAGCATGTTGTGGCGACCAAACATGATTATATAATTTTCTATTGGTTGTGAACCGAACAGAACGTAAAGAAGACTAACCCAGGAATAGCATTTGGAGATGTGGGGAAGGCGCTTGGAGATAGGTGGCGTCAGATGACTGGTAAAACTCAAAATCTTCCCCCAAAAAACTACATTTTTTTCTTGAGTCTTGGCATGCGTATGTATGTGATTTTGTGTGTGTTTTGTGTAACCATAGCCGAGGAAAAAGAGCCGTATGAAGCAAAGGCACAAGTCGACAAGAAGCGATACAAGGATGAGATTACTGGTTACAACAAAAATCCTCCTCCGACGCTTGTAGACTCGGGGAACGACTCGGACAGTAACTAAACTCTGATATCCCAAAGATTCTCTAGCATCTGAGATATTTATTTATCTTTTGTGTGCTGCTTCACTTTTAGCTGGTGTGTTTCAAATGTAGCCATTCCTATGAGATTTAGTTACTTTTAGCTGCCTGCAGTTAACCATAATTTCTGTCTCTCCATATGAATTTTTTACTTTTTGGGAGTTAGCTATACAACCTACTTAACTATTGTTCAAATTACTCAATTAATCATAACTTAAGCTCACAAGGCTATAACTAAAAAAAAAGCAACAAAACTGACTGTAATAGTAGTTCACACAATATATTACAAGATTCTGAGGAAGAAATCTATGGACAAGAAGACGCATCTATGATCTTATGGACGATGGGACGAGCTCTACACATAGCTTGCAACGGCGTAGCTTTGCGCATCGTGGTTCCTTTTTCACTTTCTCTCATGTCCACATACTCTTCTCCGGCTCTCTCCCACTCAAAACACTGGACCAACGAACCAAGAGCCAGCGTCACTAGCCGCTGAGCTAGCCCTGATCCAGGACAAGCTCGTCGTCCGATTCCAAAAGGCATCAACTTTTTATCCTGTCCTTCCTCCTCAAACCTCTCTGGCTTGAACTTCTCTGAATCTTCCCACATTTTCGGGTCTCTATGTATGGCCCATGCGTTCACCAATACCGTCGTGCCACGTGGGACATCATATCCTGCCACCATGCAATCTTCCGATGCCAAGTGAGGGAGAAGCATTGGAGCCACAGGGTAAAGTCGTAAAGTCTCCGACATAATGCTCTGTAGATAAGGAAGTTTCACAATGTCTTGTTCCTCTATTAACCGGTCTAAACCGATTTGCTCGTCGATTTCGGTCCTTGCCTTCTTTAATACTTCTGGATGGTTCAACAAATTGGACATCGCCCATTCTAAGGTTCCTGCTGCTGTATCAGTCCCGGCAAGAACCATAACCTATCCACATTAAAAATCCGATAAAAATTGTAATAATTTACAACTTAGTTACATTTACTGTTACTAATTTGGTGTCTAATGACTTACGAGCATGATTCCTTTGATGATGGCGTCGGTGTAGTAATCAGGCTGAGTTTCTTGGAGAGAAAGCAAGTGATCGATCATGGTGTTACCCTTTTCTTTCTCCGCACGTTTCTCGTTCACCAGACTCTGCAAAAACCCGTCGACCCGACCCGCCAAGTTCTTAACCCGTTTTTCATAGCTCGTTATCCAGCGAAGGATCGGGAAATAGTCGGCAGCATTCCCAACGCCGCCACTAACAACCACTTCGGCGATCAACTGCCTCACGTGTCTTGCCTCATCGTCGTCCTCTGTTCCTTCGCCGTAAAATCGTTTTCCGGCAACCATCCTAAAGATGTTGTTGATAGTCAAGCTCATAAACAGGGTTCTCATCTCCACCTTCGCAAACTCCTGAATTACAATTGTTAAATTTATTTTTAAAAAAGAATTTAAACCGTAATTAAGTATATTTAATGGCACATACGTACTTGTTGAGAGTTTTTGGATAGAGAGAGTATCAGCCGTCGGATCTCGTCTTTACGGATGGACAAGAAGCTATTGAGCCTAAGAGTCGAGAAGATCTCAATGGTGCCAATACGACGGAGGTTACGCCAGCTGTCGCCATACGCCGCACCGACCATGGTGGTTGAGTTGTACCCGATGTGTTTCCCGGCGATAAACTCCGGCCGGTTAGCTAAAACGACGTCATTCTTGGTGAAGCATTCCTCAGCGACGGAGTGGGAAGTTACAACAAAAACGAGGCGAGTGCCTAGGCGGAGAGAGAAAATCGAGGCGTCGCCTAGTGATTTGGAGAGCGAGAGAAATCTGCGGTGGAGCGGCAGCTTTAGGAGGTGGAGGTGTCCGATAACCGGAAATGGCCGAGAGGGACTCGGCGGTAGGTTTAGCTTGCGCCGCCGTATTCCGAACAAGAGTTTCAGAGATAGGAAGAGGAAGAAGATAGATAGAACCAGGTAGAGAGTTTCCATTATTGAGTTGGGATTTTTTTTTTCTTTCTAAGTGTTAAATTAAAAAAATATATATGTGTTTAAGCTGATTTTATAGTGTGAGTGTGTGACACAGTGACGCGATAAAAAATAATATTTTGCCTCAGCGTGAGTAAAAATCAGATTCGTATGTTGAAGAGGATAATCTTCTTCTTGGACGAAAAGTAAAAATCAGATTGGTATGTTGAAGAGGATAATCTTGTTCTTGGACGAAAAGTAAATAAAAGAAAAGAAGAGGATAATAGTTCTGATGACGTCACTGCCTACTATCATTTTTTGTTTTCCGGCCAACGTGGAGTTGGGGAAAAGGGGAAGCTGATAGCCATAGCCTGATATTAGCTCATGTAATGTGGTCATATCAATCTGCACATGACACGTGCAAACTATCATGTGATGTGCTTGACGTCATCGCATATGTCACAATATTGCTTTTTTTTTAATCTCTTATAACATTGACGTCTACCCAACATTTTGAAAGAATCGGGAAACTGGATTATCGTTAAACTAAACCCCGCATGATGCATGAAGTTTCGCGATTTAGCTGGATGACTCGTGGAATGACGAAATGTGAATAATGCATAAAACATACATATGATGTGTGCATGTAGTGGGGTAGGTGTCATGAACCGTTAAGCTTATATAGGTTATTAGGTTATACGATATACTGCGACGACAGACATATTAAAGATGATTTGAATTGGAGAATGTATACATGGATGCGATGCATGCTTGTTGTATATTGCTTGTCTGATTTTTTTGCAATGTACGTGTTCTTATACTCAAATTTACATATACTTTGCAAGTGAGTATGGGTACGACCAAAAAACAACGTGGTTAGGTTAGGATGCCCGAAGATGATTTTCATGGTTTTTAGACATTTTAGTCGTGGACTCGACATCTTTGTCTTTCTTCTTTTCATTTCTTTACTAGTTTCTCAATTTGGTTGGTTGTTCAAACCCTTTTTATTTTTAAATGGCTCATCATAAATTTGTCTCTTGTTTTAAATGTGAACTCCTACTGGTATAACCTAACCAAAACCAAGGATACTAAACATCTAATCCGTGGAAACTTTATGGTGCAAACTTATTCTAATTTTTCTCTAACCTAACCAATGATACTAAACACCTCATTGTTTTTGGAATCACACGTCAAAGACACAAGTTCGCAGAAATCATTTGGACAGAAAAATAGTCAAATTTGGATTTGGTGACGAGAAGTGATACCTCCATTAGACACTAGCGATACGTACCACTATACTTAACATGATAACGCACTAGTCCCTTACTTTATCATGCATGTTTTTTTTTTTTTTGCTTAATCATGCATGTTTGGTTCTGAATTATAATTTCTTTCTAAAAATATCAATTTGGTTATGGCCTTCTTGGGGTTTCTGCTGGAACAAAAATTAGGATAAATAGAGAGTTGGTATTATGATCCACAGTTTTAATTGCATGGGTTGGAAATGGTAAGATTCGAGTTGAGATATTTGTCAACTTTTTTTTTTTTTAATAACACTTCTATGTGACTAGCTAGTTGACTTATAAACATGTTGATTCAAGCTATTAAAATTAACTTATGTTCGAACAATTTAAACCACCAATATGTGTAACCGATTTGTAAAATTGTAATGTTCTAATAATAACGACGCACGTAATGAAAGTAGTATCTTAAGAAAACATGCGATATTATATTAGAAATATCGAATTTAATAATGGTTACAAATAGAGATTGATATCGCATGGCGTTTCCCTCCTTCATATATTAGTAAAAAGAAATTGAGATGAAACTCATGGCTCCTTCATCTGTTGTTAAAATGCATAAGTTGCGCCTTTGCTTAGTCTAAGTGTTTGTTGCGAGAGTGGCTCAGTGGCCTGAATTCGTTTCCTCCGCCGATCTTTGCTTTACCGGCGGCGTCATACTGAACCTTTCCTCCGAACCCTAAGAATTTACCAAAAAATCCTTCGACTTTAGCTTCGCCTTGAGCTCCAACCTTGGCTCCCACGTGAGCTCCGGCCTTGGCTCCCACGTGACCTCCAACCTTGGCTCCGACTCCAGCTTTGCCTCCAAATCCGACTCCGGCTTTGCCTCCGAATCTAACTCCGGCTCCGGCTCCGGCTTTGCCTCCGACTCCAACTCCAGCTCCAGCTTTGCCTCCCAATCCGAGTCTGACTCCGGCTTTACCTCCGGCACCAACTCTGGCTTCGGCTTTGCCTCCCACTCCGAGTTTGGCTCCGGCTTTGCCTCCGACTCCAACTCCGGCTCCGGCTTTGCCTCCCAATCCGAGTCTGACTCCGGCTTTGCCTCCAACACCAACTCCGGCTCCGGCTTTGCCGCCGACTCCAACTCCAACTCCGGCTCCAACTTGGCCGTGGGCGCCCAAACCGATCAATTTACCTCCAAATTCGACACGTTTATTAATGATTGCTCCGATGAAACCACCACCGGGAAGAATTGGGAAACCAACTTGCTTCTCGGCAGATAATTTAATGCTGCACTCAGAGATCACCTTGACGAAAACACTAATAGAACCCTTCAACTTAATCAAACATTTCTCGATCTTGATCCTATCACCCTTGCTTATCTCAGCGTTAACATCGAAGTTATACTTAGCGACGATCTGAGCAATCATCTCCTCGATCTCAGCAAACCCGCTAGCCATCGCGGTGTAACTCTTCTCCAGCTTAACCGCAAGCTCTCCTTTAATACCAACGGTTGCTTGCGCTGCAAGCATAGCCTTGGCCATGAAAGCGTATTTGGCATGAACCAGGCCAAACACATTCTTGACCCCTGCAACCTTGAAGGCCGCGAGATGGTCGCCGTAGGCCTTGCAGATGGCGAACAAAGTGTTGAACGTAACGGTGTTGGGTCCGATTTGAGCCCTCTTCTCGATGAGCTTAGAGATTTCAATGGAGGGGAAGGTTTTTAGTCCGCCCAATGTAGGTGGACACAAGCTCTTTTGTGTTTTCTTGTCGCTCTTTGGGTGAGCTGAGACGGAGCCAATGGCTAGAACCAAGGCTAAAGTAAACAACAGAGAAATCCTTGCCATGGTTCTACTAATGGCAAGTTATTAAAAAAAAAATGAAAAATAAAAAGGAAAATGAAGGAAGTGCGATTTTGGATTGAGGACTTTGAAGGGTATATATACATTTTTCATTTACCCTAAAAATAGATTTTTAAAAAAGGTTACAAGAACAGAAAAAACCAACACAACACAAAACAAAAGAGAGATTCATGGGCGTTTACTTGAATTTTTCTTTCTGGCTTTGGGAAAAAGTCATTATTACCCGTTGATTTAGAGTCTGATCACCGGTGTAGCTAGGTCTATAAATAGATTATAAATGTTTACTCTTTCATCATATCATTTACGTTCATAAAAAAATTAGTTTCTCTAATTTTGAAATACAAATGTATAAACGCCCCACATGACAAATAAATCAGTATATTGCATGTTGTTAGACAAAACAAAATCATATTATTATTTGTATTTTTTTGAACTATCAACAAATATCACAGTGAAATCAATTGATTGTTGTTTCTATCTACGTTTACTATAATTTTTTTGTTTTTTGGAAACATATTACTATAATTAAGTATTTACCTGCGCTATGCTGTGGGATATTTTTCTAAATTTTGTATATATTTTAATATAATAAAATTATTTTTATAATGTAAATGAGTATTATATTTATTTTTTTATTAGCTTAAGTTATGTATTTATATGTTTTAAATCTGAATAAACATTATATATTTTTTTATTTATTTATTAGGTTTTAAAATTATAATTTGCTATTAAATTTAGTTAGCTAACTAATTATAAATTTATATATAGAAATAAAATATATAAGAATAAAGCAATACATTTTTAGTATCTTCATGCTAATGGCAAATGTAATTTATTTTCTCCAATAAATTGCCACTTGATCCTTTTATGTAATTATATAAAGCAAAATGCCATTTAAAAAAAATTTATTAATTAATATGATTATTTTGAATTATAAAATTTATTTATTTATCAAATATTTTATTATAAGCATATGTTTCTAAAACTACCAAACTATACTCAATAACATTCATATCAAAACCATTGCTATTGCTTTTTAACTAAATAGAAAATTATGTTTGAACTCTTAAAATATCGTTTTAGTTAAAGTTAAATAATTAAATTTTGGTTACTGTAAACATACTTTAACTTGGGAATTTAGCACAGAGAAATTTCATCTTCTTACAAAAACCGAGAAATTGCATTTCCCGTCAGAACAAAAAAATTCATTTTCCCATTAAACTGAGAAATCGTCTATCCCCACCAAAACCAAAAAATTCATTTTTTCGTCAAACCTAAAACCTAAAATTTCGTTTTCCCGCGAGAACCTGTGTTTTTCCACCAAAGCTGTACGTTTTTTTCATAAAACCAAAAAATTTCATCTTCGTGCAAAAACAAAAACAAAAATTGTATTTTCCCACCTTAATCGAAAAAATTATTTTTCCTGCGAAAACTGAGAAATCGTCTATTCCTCCTACAAAAACAAATAAATTATAATTTCCCGTAAAAACCAAAAATTGCATTATCTCCCGTAAAATTTTGTTTACTATCAAAAATTAAGAAATTATTATGTTTTTATCGGTTCAAATTTTTGCTGATGTGTGAGCTTCTTATAACATAAAGCTTTCTACGTTTTTGTCATGGAAGCATAGTTGATGCTGAGCCTACACTTTTTCAATCATATACGTTTATGTCAAACAAACAGATAGCTAGATTTTTTTATTTGTTTATTTGTTGTTATTTATTATTTGGATTTGGTTTTGGCAAAAAAAAAGAAAATAATGATTTAATTTTTAATTAATTATTTAGGTTTGGATTTGGCAAAAAATAAAATAATAATTTTTTTATTTGTTGTTATTAATTATTTGGGTTTGAGTTTGGTAAAAAATAAAATAAAAATTAATTGAAAAAACTATTTGGGTTTTTAATGGGTTTAAGTTTAAAATTAAAATAAGTAGATGAGATATATTAATAAAATGTTTTAATTGGTGATTATTTTTGTTGAAATGTGATGTATATAAAGCTTCAAAAAGCTGATGTGTCAAGTCATTGAGAGACTTTAGTGTTATTGTTGTGTTGATTTGTTGGCAAACGAATTTACAACTTTGCAAAATGCAAATGTTAACTCTTCATTACAAGCCTAAACCCCAAACGCAAACATGAAGACAATGTATGTCTTTAAACTTCAACCTTCTGTTTGCGTTTGCATTCAGCAAAAAAAAAAACGTTTAATCTTTCTTTTCTATAAACGCAAATGCCAAAGCTAAGCCTGAAGCAACCGAGACCTATGGAAAACAACTAGATACGAATAGACAGAAACATTTTATTTGATATGTCTCAACGTAATCCGAAAGTCTGATCAATTCTCGACAATGAACTCCTGAATCTCTATACCGGTATGGCGTGCGCCGCCCTGTAACCTGATCAAAACTCGATCCCCTGGTTTCAGCGAGGTCACGGGAACAGCGGTTTCCCGAGATGAGTTTACTGCAAGAAACACAACACATTCTTCAGTTACCATTTTGATGCAAACAAGTAAGCAAAACTGCAATAAAGATGAGACTCAAAGACGAGAAAAAAAACCTTGATGAGGAGTGACTAATGCAACTGTTTCCGCGTTCTGTAGGATAATGCTAAATCTCGTTTCTTCCTCCTCTGCACTAAGCTGCAAGAGATGAAGCGGTTAAAAAAACCGAATCAATACAATCAAGAGTGTATAAGACTAGTAAGAATGTACCTTAGCCTCCACGAGGATAAGAGGCCGCTTCTCGATTTTCACACGCCCAACAACAGCTGTACGCTGTTTTCCTTTCTGATCAACAACGATCACCTCTCTTCCCGTCCTTAACTCCGAGAGGTAACAAGTCTTTCCGCCTGGAACCGCGACATAAGCATGAACTGGTCCCTGTAAAAATTTTGTGAAAGATTGTGATCTTGAGTTGAATGATATATCTTTCAAATAGAGTTAAAGAAAACAAACGCACGGCGTTAACTCTAAATGGTCTGCTTGCGATGTAATTAGACTCCATGCATTCCGAGTGAACCAAGAAGAGTCCTCTTGCAAAAGATCCAACCTTGTCCACAAAAGGAAGAAGACAGATTCAAATGTAAATGCTTATAGGATTAGTAACGTTTGATGATTCTTATTGGAGAAAGAGTATATACAGGCAAACATACAAGTAGACCTTCACCGAGTCTCATGAGGCTGCAAAGATCAACACAGACTCGGTCTCCCATACCGACCATTTGAACTCGAGTTATAGTAGCTTCCGTCAAGCTTAATGTATCACTTTCTTCGCTCCTTTTGTCAAAATATTCCTAATAGTTTTTCTTTTTTTTTAAAAAAGCAGCAACTGTAAGAAGAAACCATGGTTTTAACAAAATGAAATGATAATAACCTTTAACTCAAGAACAGCTTTAACATCTCCGGTTTTAAGAATGATTCCACCGAGGCCATGCTCTAAAGCCTAGAGCCAAGCATAACACGACAATAAACTTCTTTACGAAAAACAAGAAGAGAAAAACGTAATGTCAGCATCAGAAACTAAAAAGCTACCTCAAGGTACAGTTTTGCCTCCGATGGTGTATTTGAAACAGCAAACACCGTCTTCTCGCTTCCTTGGAGAGCCGCCACTAGATTTTCCGCCGGGATTGACTGCAAAAACGAAACTTTTCAGGTAGAATACTCTGTCTGTGTGTGGTGATTCAAGCTGAGAAAGTTTACCTTCCAGTCTAAGAAATCAAGAACAATAATATCACTCTGCTCATTTTCGATCTTAAGCTTCTGTAGCTCCTCCGGTGTTGAAACCTCAAAGACCGCAGCCACAACTTTACCGGCACCATCAGTAACTCGCCTCTCATTGATAAACAATGTATCCATCAAGGCAATCGCTGCAAATCCGTTGAGCATACCGCAAAAAACTCAGTACTACATAGAATCAAAACCGAGTAACCTCAAAAGGGAAGGTTTTTTTGCTTTTGTAATTCTGCATTGGACATTGTACATGACCACTCATTCGAAAGTTGTCGATTGTCTGATGAGAAGATAAAAGTGTTCCACCCGCGTTCCACTGAAGCCGTCATGACCTCTTTGCGCTCTGTCCATATCCAAACCTTCTTTGATCGGTTGAGATTCAGTGCAGAGTTATCTAACATTTTCGAAGTAAATCTCTTAGGAAACGTTCTTTTGCTAACTCTAATCGATCTATGATTCTCCTGATGAGAGCTCCACGATAGTAATCTATAAAGTCCCGATTTTTCTGCATTATCAAGCAACATAGCTCACGATGAAGAAAGTTGAAAGCTTCAGATTACGTTAAATCACAAAAAAAACTACTCAAATCTTTCTGCATTATCTACAAGACCCAGATGAAGTAAGCTGAATCCGAAGCAAGAATTAGCATCTTAAGCTTTAAAAAACCAGACTTCCGCAATAACCCAAACTCCAAATGTTATAATGAAATTCGTATTAAATATCAATCCTGAGAAACATCGAAGAGAAAAACTAACCTTTTCTGAGAGAAAAACAATGGATTTGGTTTGAGGATTTGATGTAAGAAACAGAGCAGACCAAAGACAAAGCCATAATCCCTTGTCGATTCCGATCCTTTACTTCGCTTCAGGACTGTGAGAGTTCGTGTCGTCGGATCATACGGGTTTGGCCCAAATATCTGTCGGGTCCAACCGGTTTACTTTAAATTGAGGCTCATTCCAGCCGAAGCCGTCTTAACCGTACCCGGTTCGAATCAATTTATAAGCTCTTTTATTTCCGAGTTATCGAAAATCCACATGATTTGGCCAGCCACTAATAATCTCTGGTTTGCTATTTTTTTTCAAAGATGAGTCCATCAAAGTCTCGAAGTCATTGATTCCATAAATCTAAACTTAGAATTGCCGCATGTTCATTTCATTATATATAACAGTTCAAGTAGATTCTTTCTCGTCATTATATCATCATCATCAACCAAATATGAAGGGAGTTTCTTTGTTGTTCTTATGTTGCATCACAATCTTGGCAACAAGTTTAAGTCTCAATGTAGTTTCAGCACACGAGATGGTGGAGAACCCACCAAACACAGTCAAAGATATAGAGCCGTACATCTCTAATAGAGCCATTGGCTTTGTGTTGAAGCTGGAGAACAATTGTCCCATTAGAGAACAGTTACGATCATTCTTTGAGAAGCTTAAGGATCTCTTGAAGTTGGAGTCTTCTGTTACACCGTTGATCGAGAACAATGAGCCCAAAACGTTCAAGTTTGATCTGAAATCCAAAGCTGATAATCTCTTACAAACGGTGTTTACGCTTGGGAGAGGATTGGTGAGTTTTCGTGAAATAACTCAAATAATAGGTTTTTTTATTTATTTATTGGCTTTCTTGATTTTAAGTAGATCTTGTCTTCGTTACGTTTTCAAATTTTCATATCAAACTAAGTATAACATTTTAGTCTCTTTCTTACAAATATTTTGCAAATTTGTATACATAAGCAGAAAAAGATCCTTTGTTTCACATTTTTCGTTAACAATATATAAAAGGTGTTTTTATAAAATAAGATATTGTAACTTGAAAAGCTGTGAACATACATGTATATATAATATAATTTAGCTATGCCTCAAGGGCTTATGGGACTAATCAATGTTTTTTTTTTTTTTGGTAAATATGATAGTTGAGTTCAAGTGTAAGGAAGGAGATGTTCCAAGTGGTGAAATCGCTCACTGAGTTGCATGCTGCGATCGGTAAAGTTATTACGGAGAAACACATAAAAGGAGATGGATCAGTGTCACTTTCTTCGGAACAACAGACCGCGGTTGAAAACGCGGTATCTCAATGGGAAGTAACGATTACACGAATCGTGAAGATTGTTGTTGAAGTTAAGTCGGGAGGTTCAAGTGAAACTACTTCCGGGCAAGAGAGTAGCACTGCTGAACACAACAGTGCTTCTTTGAACAGTACCACGGTGGAGAATAGTGGAGGAAATACTACAGAGTCCATGCAACAAAATGTGGATGGCGTTAAAGGTGAAAATCACGTAGACTCTAATAATGAGAAGCAAGAAGAGGTTCAAGGAGATTCTACCATTAATAATAATATGGAGACTAAAGAGGATGTTAACTCGGAGGAGATAGAGGCTAAAAATGATGCTAGTTCCAAGACGGAAAAGCCGAAAGAAGCTCAAGGAAACGATGGAGTTTTGACAAAGGATGGTAACTTGGAGAACAAGGGAAGTGAGGAAGAGAGTAAAAATGATGAAGTGGTAGAGCCTACAACAAATAATGCAAACGAGGCTAATCAAACGAGGGAAGAAACTCAAGGAAACAATGGAGAATTAGGCAAGAACGAGAACTCGGAGAACGTCGAAGGTGATAAAACTTCGAAGGACGATGGATCAGTAGAGACCAAGACAAATCATGAATATTCTAGGGAAGAAAAGCATGAACATACTCAAGGAGGCACTGAAGTTTCTACGAATGGAGAAACGGAGGATACCAAAGGTGGAAACGCAGATTCTGGTGAGGAGAAGAAGGAAGCAGAGATTCAAGGAGAAAATAGTGGAGACACGACCAAAGATACAAATTTGGAGAATAAAGAAGATGTTAAGCCGGAAGTAAAGGCTAATGAAAATGTAGAAAGTTCAACGAAGGAGAAGCAAGAAGAGGCTCATGGAAACAGTGGAGTTTCAACAGAAGATCAGAACTTGGAGAACAAAGGAGCTCACGAAGAGACTAATGGTGATAGTAAATCCGTAGAGGCTATGACAAATAATGGAGATCACATGAAGGAGAAGAGGGAAGAGACTCAAGAAAATAATGGAGAATCAGTGAAAGACGGGAACTTAGATGATAAGAAAGAATCAAAGGAAGATGAATCGGTAGGGGCTAAGACGAGTAATGAAACAACTATGGAAGAAAAGCAGGATAAGGCTCAAGGAGGTGATGAAGTTTCCGTGAATGGTGAGATGGAGGAGAAAAATGGTGGAAATGTAGATTCTAATAAGGAAAATGGCGTAGAGGTTCAAGGAGAACATGTTGAAGAGTCGACAAAGGATACAAATATGGAGAGTAAAGAAGAAGCTAAGTCAGAAGTAGAGGCCAAGGAAAATGATGGAAGTTCCACGAAGGAGAAGGGAGAAGAGGCTCAAGGGAACAATGAAGTTTCAACAGAAGATAAGAACTTAGAGAACATAGGAGGTGAAAAAGAGTTGAAGAACAAAACTTCCATGGAAGAAACGCAAAATGAGAGCCAAGGAAGCAATGAAGTGTCCACGGAAGTAGAAACCAAAGGAGGAGAGAAAGAGTCTAAGGACGGTAAGTCGTCAAAGGATAATCAGACTGTTGAAAGTTCCACGAAAGAAAAGGGAGACGAGGCTCCAATAAATGGTGGAGACAAGAAAGAGTCTGAAGATGATAAGTTGGTAGAGGCTAAGGAAAATAAGGAAAGTTCCATGAAGGAGAACCGAGAAGAGACTCAAGGAAGCAATAGTGGAGATAACAAAGAAGGTAAGAAAGAGACTAAGGACAATGAATCAGTTGAGGCTGGGGAAAGTAATGAGAGTTCTATGCAAGAAAAGCAACAAGAGTCTCAAGGAAAAGGTGAAGAGTACACAAAGGTAGAGAATAGCGAAGGTAAGAAAGATGCTAAGGATGATAAATCGGTGGAGGCTAATGCAAATAAGGAAAGTTCCAAGAAAGACGAGAACAATGGAGAGAAGAGAGATATAATTGATGGTAAGTCAAAGAAAAAGGAAAAACATAAGAAGAAGAAGAAAGAGTCTGAAAATAGTAAATCAAAGAAAAACGAAGAAGATGGTAAACAGAAGAAAGAGTCTGAAAACAGTATATCGAAGGAAAACAAGGAAGATGAAAAACAGAACAAAGAGTCTGAAAACAGTAAATCGAAGAAAAAAGAGAAAGATGAAAAAGAGAAGAAAGATTTAGAACACAATAAATCAAAGAAAAAGGATGAAGAGAAAAAAGAGAAGAAAGAACATGGAGACAATAAATCGAAGAAAAAAGAAGAAGATAACAATCAGAATAAAGAATTGGAAGATAATAAATCAAAGAAAAATGAAGAAGGTAAAAAAGAGAAGAAAGAACATGGAGACAGTAAATCGAAGATTAAAGAAGACAAGAAAGAGAAGACAAACTCTAAAGATCACAACTTGAAGAAGAAGGAAGAAGATAAAAAAGAGAAGAAGATGTCCAAAGATAATAAATCAGAGAAAAATGAACAAGGTAAAAAGGAGAAGAAAGAACATGAAGATGGAGACAGTAAAATCAAGATTAAAGAAGACAGTAAAGAGAAGAAAAAATCTAAAGATCACAACTCGAAGAAAAAGGAAGAAGATAAAAACGAGAAGAAGGAATCGAAAGATAATAAATCAAAGAAAAATGAAGAAGATAAAAAAGAGAAGAAAGAAGCTCAAGACCGTAAATCTAAGAAAAAAGAAGAAGAGAGAAAAACAGAATTTGAAAATGGTAAATCAAAGAAAGAAGAGAAGAACGAAACTGAAGACAACAAATCAAAGAAAAATGGAGAAGTTCAAAAAGAGAACAAAAAGGACAATAAATCAATGAAAAACGAAGAGGAGAAGAAACAGAAGAAAGATTATGAAGACAACAAATTGAAGAAGAAGGAAGAAGACAAAAAAGAGAAGAAAAAATCCGAAGGCGGTAAAAATTCAAAGAAACATGAAGAAGATAAGAATGGGAAAAAAGAAAATAAAGACCATAAATTGAAGAAACATGAAGAAGAGAAAAAGAAGAAGAAAGAGCATGAAAACAACAAATCGAAGAAAAAGAAAGAAGATGTAAAAATGGAGAAGGAGTCTGAAAAGGGTAAATCAATGAAAAAGGAAGAAGGGAAAAAAGAAAAGAAAGAACATGCAGACGATAAGTCAAAAATAAAGGTAGAAGATACAAAAGAGAAGGAAGAGTTGGAAGACAATACATCAAAGAAAAAGGAAGAAGATGAAAAAAAGAAGACCAAGTCTGAAGACCATATGTCAAAGAAAACTGCAGAGAACAAAAAAGAGAAGAAAGACAACAAAGAGAATAAAGCGTCCGAAGACAAAAAATCCAAGAGAAAAGAAGAAAAAGAAGATTCTCGAGACATTAAAATGAAGAAAAAGGAAGAAGATAAAAACAAGAAAACACATTCCAAAGATGAAAAATCAAAGAAAAAGGAACAGGGTGAAAAAGAAAAGAAAGAGTCTCATGACATTAAAATGAAGAAAAAAGAAGAAGATAAAAAGAAGAAAACAAATTCTGAAGACAATAAATCAAAGAAAAAGGAAGAAGGTGAAAAAGAAAAGAAAGAGTCTCAAGACAACAATAAATCGAAGAAAAAGGAAGAAATGGAAAAGAAGAACAAAGAGTCTGAAGAAGATAAATCCAAGAACACTAGGAAAGACGGTGGAGATGCCACAAAGCAAGTAGGGTTTCAATCAAATACGGAGGATTCTATGAAAAATAAAGAAGAAGAGGAAGAGTCTAAGGATGCCAAGTCAAAGGAAACTGAAAAACAACAGAAAAGCTCTGGGCAAGAGAAGCAAGTTGGGGTTCAAGTTAATGCTCAAGATTCTAGAAAGGATAAAAAGAAGACTACAGAAGATGCCAAAGTGTCTAAAGATGGTAAATCAAAAGATCATGAGAAAGAAATGCAAGCAGAGGCTCACGCAAAGAGTGAGGAAGCTGAAAATGAATTACAAGCAAAGGCTGAAGAAGTGAATGAAAAATCACTAGAAAATCAGAAAGGAGAGGGCAAAGAAGATGATGAAGTGGATAAGAAGGCAGCAGAGGACGTTAAATCAATAGGAAAGGAAGAAGACAATGAAGATTCATCGATGAAAAAGCAAGAAGAGGCTCAAGAAACTAATGTGGAATCAAATATGGGTGAGAAGAAAGACCAAAATATCTCTATTGATGATAAATCAAAAGAGACTAAAGAGAGTGATGAAAACTCGGCGAAAGAGAAAGAGATTGATGAGGGAAAATCGTTAAATACTGGAGACTCCAAAGAGGAAACTAAAGAAAGCAATGGAGATTTGGTGAATGGTGAGACTGAACCGATTGAAGGAGAAAACGAAGATTCCAAAGATGGTAAGTCGGTTGAAACTAAGGAAGGTAAAAATGACTCCATGGAGGAAGGTTCCAAAGATGGCAAGGCAGTTGAAATCAAAGGAGGTAAAGAAGGTTCTGTAGAAAGCTCCACAGATATTGGCAAGACTGTTGAAAATAATGGAGATAAAGAAGATTCCGAAGATGGCAGGGCAGTTGAAGTTAATGGAGGTAACGTAGATTCCAATGAAGAAGGTCCTAAAGATGGTAAGATAGTTGAGCATAACGGAGCTAACAAAGTTTCCTTGAAAGAAGGTTCCAAAGATGATAAGATGATTAAAATCAATGCAGGTAAAGAAGATTCCATGGAGAAAGATTCCAAAGATGGAAGGACAAGTGAGATCAATGGAGGTAAAGAAGGTTCCATGAATGAAAGCTCTAAAGATGGTAAGACAACTGAAATAAGTGGAGGGAAAAATTCAACGGAGGAAGCTTCCAAAGATGGTAAGGCAACGGAAATCGATGGAGGTAAAGAAGATTCCACAGAGAAAGGTTCCAAAGATGGTAAGATAACTGAAACTAGTGAAGGTAAAAATTCAACTGAAGAAATTTCCAAAGATGGTAAGACAACTGAAATCAATGGAGGCAAAGAAGATTCCACGAAGGAAGGATCCGAAAATAGCAAGACAGATGAAATAAGTGGAGATAAAAATACCACTGAGGAAATTTCCAAAGACGGCAAGACAGAGGAAACTAACGGAGTCAAAGAAGATTCCAAAGATGGTAACATAGTTGAAACGAACGGAGGTCAAGAAGATTCCATGAAAGATAAGGTGACAGAGATTCAAGGAAACGATAATAATGGAGGCAAAGAAGATTCCGAAGATGGCAAGGCAGTTGAAATCAATGGAGGTAACGTAGATTCCAAGGAAGAAGGTTCTAAAGATGGTAAGATAGTTGAATATAATGGAGGCAGTAACGTAGATTCCATGAAAGAAGGTTCCAAAGATGATAAGACGGTTGAATTCAATGCAGGTAAAGAAGATTCCACGGAGGAAAGTTCCAAAGACGGCAAGACAGAGGAAATCAACGGAGTTAAAGAAGACTCCAAAGATGGAAACATAGTCGAAACGAACGGAGGTAAAGAAGATTCCATGAAAGATAAGGTGACGGAGATTCAAGAAAATGATAATAACTCCACAACCAATACATCAATGGAGGCTAAGGAAGATAACTTAGACATCAACAAAGATTCTACAAAGAATAAGACAGAGGAAGCTCAAGGAGGAAATACTGAGGAATCAACGAATGGTAAAACAGAGGAGACTACAGAGAGAAATGATTCTATTAACAACCAAAAAACGGAGTCTGAAGGAAGCAGTGCAAATTCCACGAATAATCAAACAACAGGAGAGACTGTGAACTCACAAAAAACGACAACGGATATCGAGAGCAGTACATCTAAAGAAGTCACAAGTTTCATATCAAACCTTGAGAAGAAATCTCCAGGAACTCAAGAGTTCCAAAGCTTCTTCCAGAGGCTTAAAGATTACATGAAATACGCGTGTCCAGTCTCTTCAACATTTGAGGCAAAAGACTCAAGATCCTACATGTCCGAGATGATAAATATGGCCACAAAACTCTCGGATGCTATGGCTGTCTTGCAAGCCAAGAAAACTGGGCAAGGACTGGTGAGTTAACTAAAAACAATCCTTATAGAGACAAAAAAATAAAAAAAAATAAAAAAAAAATCCAAGAGAGTACAGATCAAAACTGAAACTTTAATCTGATTTCTTTGACAGATGAAAACAACACTTCAAGGATATCAACAACAAGTGATGAAGACTCTTACTCTCTTGCAATCGGTTATGAGCAAAGCCGTATCTGAACGACAAAGTCAGAACGATGTTTCCTTGACGCTTACGTTATCACAACAACAATCAATTAAGGAAATTATTATGAAATGGGAACAAGTGATGTCTCAATTCGTCAAAGTCGCTACGGAGAGCGAGAAACAATTTTCGATGGAGACTTCAACTGTAAACAGCTATCATATGACGAAGAGTTCTAGCTCTAGCTCGAATTAAAGTCCGGGCTTGGATCTCAATCACCACAGTGAAAGTTCGAAGATGGTGGATGTGAATAGTTAGAGAGTACATTCTGTGAATAATAAACTCCACGAATTATGATTATGATTCATTAGAAATTATATTTTGTTGTAAGATAAACCCAAGTCGTCTTGAGGTTTTAGACTTTTAATTATAGGGTGGGTACAATATTTCTCAGAATACAAATTGTGAAAGTGCTGTAAATGCAAATTTTGTCTCGTAGATATGTTAATAAAAGAAATCTCATTACTCATTGATATCATATTATTATGCATGTTTTGTGTGTTTAATTGTCTCTTTGTAGACAATTCTCTTAGTTGTTTTTTTAGAATACTTTACATGTTTTGAAACAAGTTTTCAAACTGAGTGATCTTTAATAGTACATTATTAAGGCGAGTTATTATATGTGATGGTTTTACATAATTTATGGATCGATCGATGATCACTGAATTTATGAATCTTGGTTCATTCCCTTAAATGATCACCTATGATCAATATGTTTTATGGTTCCAAATTTCCAGTGAACTAATGAATGCATCTAATCTAGTTGTCTCCTAGTGTGGTTTGATCATTTGGATATTATTACAGTATATGTTTGTTGAGTATTAACTGATTCATGATTTGTTGAGTAAACATATACGCACTTAAGATCCTAATATCTTATGATAATTGATTATGAGGTCTAAATCCAATTGAGAGATTGAGGAGCGAACCCATCTAAGTTCACGTTATACTATTTAAGTAGAGATCTACCACCTTTTTTGTGCAAAAGATTTACTCTTTATGTATAAAAAAATCTGGGCTTAAATGGACGAGTTTTGTTATGCAATTTACCCTATAGAGTTTAGAATACTCATAGGATTTTAATTTAAAGTCAAATCTCGTTACCTAAAATATTCAAAACGCATTTCCGTAAAATTGTAATAATAATATTGCGATAATTAAATAAGTAACATTTTCGTAAAATCGTAACTAATAAAAAAACAGAATAATTTTTGAAATGATCCAATTGAAATTTTATTACGAAACATGATTATTCCTAAAATAATCCAAAAAAGAGGTTCATTAGTATGTTTTTAATATTTCGTTAATCTATCAGTAATTTGTATTTAGTCTGACAATAGTCTATATTCAATTGTAATATCAATTATTATATCAGTAATCTACATTCAATCTGCCAATAAACTACAATTAAAAGTAGTTAAAAGGGCAACGTTGATATTTAAAAAAACCGTAAAATAGAAATTATTTTTACAATTTTCTCTAAATATAATACCTATTTCACATTATTTGCTCAGTGTATGTTATTTTGGAGCATTTTCTAAAAACTATGTAAGGTATATTTTTATAATGAATTCAAGTGAAAGGTTATCCTAATAAGAAGAAGAAATCCAAGAAAAACTAGTGAAAATTTGATATAATGTAAATTCTTTCCTTGCTTACTTTTCTTACAATTTAATACTACCATATATATATTCACAAGCTTTTTTTATTCATATTAAATACAACAACAACAAAAAACTAATTCAATCAGTAAGTACATGTCAGTAAGTCTTCTAGTATTGAAAAATATTTTTTAATACAAAACATTCTACAGCTCGCTGCTGTAATGTAGCAGGGCCGTCTCTTTATTGAAATTATAGCATTAATACTGTTGTGGACCTCTTGATCCGAACCTACGAGTTTAGTTTATCCTCTGAAGAATGGCTGAAAGAGCTTTTGTCCGAGGATTTTGAGTGTGTCTTTGCATAGTTGAAAGATTTTCCTTCGGAGGCTTTGTATGAAGAGCTTCCACTGAAGGAGCTTCCGCCACCAGACGGGCTACCGGTGGGGCTTTCCATCGGTGTTCCACCTGTAGAATCCGAGTAAAAACTCATTGAATTTTCTCCTGTCATAGAGCTATCAGTTGTACTTCCACTTCCACCACTGCCGCTTCCACCAACGGCCGTTTTACTTTCTTCATAAGACATCTCACCACCCATATTGGAACTTGTTTTTCCATCGCTCGAACCCCCAGCACCACCGGAGGTTTTAGTTTCTTCATCTCCGCCACCAGCAGGAGTTCCAGTTCCACCACCGGTACTATCGGTGGTTTCAGTTTTATCACCATTAGCACCATCAGAAGTTTTAGTTTCACCACCAGCACTACCAGAAGTTTCAGTTTTATCACTAGAACCACTAGAAGTTTTAGTTTCATCACCACTAGAGGCTTCACCACCAGCACTACCGGAGGCTTCAGTTTTATCACCACCAGTACCACCGGAGGTTCCAGTTTTACCACCAGCACTACTGGAGGTTCCAGTTTCACCACCAGCATCACCGGAAGTTCCAGTTTCACCACCAGCACCACCACCGGAGGTTCCAGTTTCATCACCAGCACCATCGGTGGTTTCACTTCCATCACCAGCACCACCACCGGAGGTTCCAGTTTCATCACCAGCACCATCGGTGGTTTCACTTCCATCACCAGCACCACCGGAGGTTCCAGTTCCATCACCGGCACCGCCGGTGGTTGCAGTTCCATCACCAGCAGCAGCGGTGGTTGAAGTTCCATCACCAGCACCACCGGAGGATCCAGTTCCATCACCAGCACCGGCGGTGGTTGTAGTTCCATCACCAGCAGCAGCGGTGGTTGCAGTTCCATCAACAGCACCGCCGGTGGTTGCAGTTCCATCACCAGCACCACCGGAGGATCCTGTTCCACCACCAGCACCACCGGAGGATCCAGCTCCATCACCAGCACCGGCGGTGGTTGTAGTTCCATCACCAGCAGCAGCGGTGGTTGCAGTTCCATCACCAGCACCGCCGGTGGTTGCAGTTCCATCACCAGCACCACCGGAGGATCCTGTTCCACCCCCAGCATCGCCGGTGGTTGCAGTTCCATCACCAGCACCGCCGGTGGTTGCAGTTCCACCACCAGCACCACCGGCGGTTCCAGTTCCATCACCAGCACCACCGGAGGAACCAGTTCCACCACCAGCACCACCGGTGGTTTCATTTTCAGCACCACTAGCACCACCGGAAGTTCCATTTTCAGCATCACTAGCACCAGAATTTTCTCCTGAGCCTGAATTATCAGCTGTACTTCCACTCGGGCCACCAGCAGGGGCTCCACCGCTTGCTATTCCACTATCACTAGGACTTTCAGTGTCAGCGGATGGAGAACCAGAACTTGGACTTCCACCGTCACCAGCGCTTCCATCTCCCATACCAGTGCCTTCGGCGTTAGCATCGTTGCCTCCGCTTCCAACACCAAGAGATGAGAGATCAATATTTATGCCGTCACCACTCTTTTCACCGACGGTTTTCACAAATTTGCCGATCACTTGTGCCCATTTTGCCATAGATGTGATCAGCTCGCTCCTTTGTTCACTTGTCATTGTTTGTGAGCCACTCCGCTTGTACTCAGCCAAAGTTTTTCCCATAGACATCAAACTTTCAATCAATTTGCTCGAGTCCGCCTATGGAGAAACCACATACAAGAAAAATATATACAAAAAAAAATAAAAATCATTTCAGATTACGATGGAAATGTTCTAAAACGCAGACCACCATTTGAAGGAATATAATTTTTTTACCGATGATCCTCCTTTGATACCCAATGCAGAGATAGCTTGCAAGAGCCCTTGAGATTGTTCTTTCAACTTGGACTGGAATTCTGAAGACGACCCTGATGCTGAGTTTATGAAGGCCATGAAAGCCTTCAGCTTTGTGAAGAACTCCTTATATTCCCTCTTTAAGGGACATTTGCTTTCAAGGTTATCCAAAAAACGAAGCATGACTTTGAAAGCGAAAGGTTCAAACTCGTTAGACGAACTAGGTAATTTATTCAAGTAATGATTCAATAAGAAACTCCCTTGCGCTTCATATATAGTACTTGATGCTACTATTATAAACATTAGACATATTGCTGAAGGAAATCTTGCCATTTTCTTGTCAGATGGAAAAAAAAAGTGACTGAAGCGATTTTTTTTATTTTTTTTTATTTTTTTTAGAGATTGTTATGTTTTTATTTTTTATTTTGGTTTTTGAATGATTTTATTTTCTATGAGAACTTGATTTATATAAAGGCTTCGAAATTCTAAATTTGAGTAAGAGAATTTGGTGGATCCATTTGAGGTCGCGAGAGAATAGCAAAAGAGACTAATGGTTCTCATGTTTCACCAGTGTGGACGGCAAGTTGTGTTCTTTGGGTTTTCATCATTCTATATTTGGAGAACAAATCACCTCCGTATAAATTATATAACACTAAATAAATAAAATTAAAATTCTCTGATTCCATTCATAGAATAACAAAAAAAGAGTCCTCTGATTCCTTATTAGTTATTACTCTTTTTTTTTCTCAACAATATACAGTATATAGGTTTGAATTAGTAATATAATGTCAACACATGTATTATCGATTATTTGAAAAACCAGCACTTTTAAAAAATAAAGATATATAAAATTTTACATTTCATCATCAGTTCTTAACATAATATATTTTTACAAATTTTCATTGTCGTTAATTGGGTCAGGTCCAGTCCGACTACACATTGATGATTTTGTTTTTTTTTTTTGGTGCAAAAGATAATACACATCAATGATTTTGAAATTCACAAATTATAAAAGCAAATGTATCTGTTTGTCAAGTTAAATACATTCAATTTCCTTACAAATGCATCAATATGATAAATTTGTCATATTTTAAAAATCAAAACTATTATTAATGCTGAAACAAATTAGAATTATGAACTATACAGTAGAAAAAAAACAAAACATAATTGATAATATAAACTAAATTATATTCTCAATATTTTTACCAATAACCTAAACTTCACTTATTAAAAAAATCATTTTAATAATAAGTTTTTTTTCCGATAAAAAAAACTTATTATTAAAATGATTTTTTTAATTAAAAACATTCTTTAACTGCATCCAAGTTGAATTAACCTGATATTATTCATTTAAATGATATGTGTCAAGTTTTCATTAGTGAGCCAAATAAATTTCATCCAACATTATTTATATTAAAATGTAAGATAATAATATTCTCGATAACTAAAATTAAATTAAATTTATTTCAATCAAGATTGAAAAAATTGAGTTGTACGATCATGACAAAGTTAATTTTTTATTTAAATTTCTTTTAAAGAAATAGATCTTCACATAAAAAAGATAGATTTTGCCATAAAACTTTGTTATAAAATAGAAAGAACATACATAATTTCGCTTAGAATAGCGAAAGATATTTAAAATTATTATCAATTATTTGAAAAACCAGCATTTTTAAAAAATAAAGGTATATAAAATTTTACATATCATCATCAGTTATTAACATAATATACTTTTACAAATTTCCATTATCGTTAATTGGGTCAGATCCGGTCCGACTACACATCAATGATTTTATTTCTTTTTTTGGTGTACAAAATAACACACATCTATAACTTTTAAATTTCCAAATTATAAAAGTCTCTGATTCCATTATAAGAATAACAAAATGTATTCATTTGTCAAGTTTTGTCAAGTTAAATACATTAAATTTCCTTACAAATGCAACAATATTTCAAATTTGTCATATTTTAAAAACCAAAACTATTATTAATGCTGAAACAGATTAGAATTATGAACTATATATACAGTAGAAAAAAATAAAACATAATTGATATTATAAACTAAATTATACTCTCTATATTTTTACCAATAATCTAAACTTAATTTATTATTAAAATGATTTTTTTAAAAAAATTAAAACATTCTTTAACTGCATCAAAATTGAATTAACTTAATATTTTTTTAATTATTTTTAAAAATATATCTTTACATAAAAAGGATAGATCTTGACATAAAAACTTTGTTATAAAATAGAAAGAAAATACATAATTTCACTTAGAAAAGCGAAAGATATCTAAAATTTTGCATTTAATTATAGTGGCATTTGATGTAATCCTCTTACAAAAAAAGATTATTATAGTAGAAAGTAGAAACTACCATAATTATAGAAGAAACTACGATGATCATGAAAAATATAAAAAAAAAGTATGTTTATTTAATTTAGGAAGGAGAAGAAAAATTATTCAAAAATCCCTTTCATGGGTCTCGCTCGCTTACTTCTCTAAGTTAACAACAAAGAGAGAGCGCATACAGTCTATCATTATTGCTTACAAAGTTATTATATTTGCATACGTCGGTCTATAGGTAGACATTGCTGGCCTATACCGATCTTAGCTTTATTGAAAAACCGAAAGTAAAATCTCTACTTAGCTAGTAATTATCATATTTTGGGGGTACTAGTTTGTCTTTCTTGATGATTTGGGGTGCAATAATGTAGCTCAACTGGCTTGGGTGTTCATGTTCATGTTCATGTTCGCGGCGCTGTTCTGCTGAAATTTAGACGAAGACGAAGATGAAGATGAAGAAGAAGAAGAAGAAGCAGCAGTCTCCACGAATTGGGTAGTGACTTGTTCCCATTTAGTGATTGTTTGCTTAAGCTCTGTCTGTTGTGTGGACGTCACTGTCTCGCCTTGGCTCACGATTTCGCTGTTAATCTCTTGTAGCTCTTGGAGACACTTCATCACTTGTTGTTGGTAAGTTTCCATGGTGGTCTTCACCTATCACACCACAAAGAAAAGACGATGAGTTTATTTTTAATTAAAAGAATCAGATATATATATATATATTATTATTAGGGATTTTGAAATATGATTTGTTTTTTTTTCGAACCTCTGATGACTTGCTAAACTTTGAACGCACGGAAACCATCGCTTCAGATATTTTTCCAACAGCAGATTTCATGCCAGAAAGGAAGTTCTTTTCGTCTGTGGAAGAAAGCTTTGAGGTTGCAGACATGGAAGTCTTGAGTTTCTCGAAGAAGACCTTGAGCTCTGCCTTTCCTGCGTACTTCTTCTCGAGGCCTGATATGAATGACATCACTTCTTTGGAAGTTTCACTCTCGACTTGCTTCACTGTTGTGGTGGATGATCCACTAGTAGTTTTGGTTTCACCCGCTGCTGCACCTTCGCTTTCGCTCTTGGTCTTGGAAGATGATCCACTAGTAGTTTTGGTTTCACCCGCTGCTGCACCTTTGCTTTCGCTCTTGGTCTTGGAAGAAGAACCTCCGGTACCACTTGAGCCTCCTTTAACAGTGGTCTCGCCGCTAGCACTTGAGCCTCCTTTAACAGGGGTTTCGCCGCCAGCATAAGTTGAAGTAGAAGGGCTGCCGGTGGGACTTCCACTCGGGCTGCCCTTGGTTGCACCAGTAGTGTCTTTGTAAGTGTTTTCACTTCCAGCATTGGCCGTAGTTTCGGATTGTTTGCTCTTGTAACTACTAGCACTTCCGCTTCCGCTTCCGCTAGGGCTTCCACTTCCGCTTCCGTTAGCAGTTCCAGATTGTTTGCTGTTGTAACCGCTAGCAACCGCTGAGCCAGAAGGACTACCCGTGGGACTCCCACTCGGGCTGCCCGAACCTGATCCACCGGAACTGTCTGTGTAAGTGCTTCCACTTCCACTTCCACTGTAGCCAGCGTTTCCAGAGCCGGAGGATGTGCTACTTCCACTTCCACTTCCACTTGCAGTGTAGCCAGTGTTTCCAGAGCCGGAGGATGTGGCAGTTCCACTTCCACTTCCACTTCCGCTGTAGCCAGTGTTTTTAGAGTCGGAGGGTGTGCTACTTACCGGGGTTTCAGTTGTAGGGGTAGGGGAAGCGCCGCTGTTTTGGTTTGATGGAGTTCCAGTTTCGGTGGTTTCACTTTCGCTTCCCACACTGGCATTAACATCGACATCAAGCCCGTAAGATGATATATCCAACGACTTTCCATTCTTCTCGGCGGCCGTCTTCACAAGTGTGGCCAGCATTCGAGTCCATTTCACCATAGCCGAGACCAACTCTATCCTTTGCGCAGTTGTCATCCTCGCTGAACCTCTGCTCTTCTGTTCCATGAAAGTCTTTCCCATTGACAACATGGTAACTTTGAAATCCGAACTCGACTGTTCCAAAACAGAAGATCATCAGCATGGAAACATAATCTTACATTCGGAATTAAGTTAACATATACTATATATCAGTACTTACTGATTGGCTTTTAGAACCGGTCAATAAAGACATGGCCTTGGCAAGCGCATCACATCGCGTACTCATCTGAACATCGGTGGTTTTCGATGTTGATGCCGAGCTGATGAAGGACATGTAACTCTTGAACGTTGAAAAGAATTGCTTGAACTCTCTAGTCGCCGGACACCCACCTTCAAGATGGCTCATCAACATCAATATACCTTTGGTTGCGAAAGGTGCAAAGTCTACGCACCGTCTCGGGATAAATTTCCTCCTCAAGTACATCTTTAGTAAGAATGTCCCTTGCACCTCATAGACCACACTTGATGCTACTAGAAACATCAGACAGATTGCTAGTATGTTTTTTGCCATTTTCTTGTTACAGGAAAAATAAACCTTTTTTTTCTTTTTTTTTTCTAAATATTTTTCTTTCTTTTTTTCTTTTTTTTTTTGAATTTTTGGATGATTGAAGTTTATGAGAGAAACTGGGTTTATATAGATGCTTTCAAAATCTATTTTAGGAGAGAGAGAAAAAAAAATGTGGATTAACTTAAGGTCACGAGAGAATAGCATAATAGGTTCCTCTCATTTTTTTTAATTTTCTATTTGGACGGAAATATATGTTGCTGTCCGTGTTTCTCTTCACTCTATATTTAGAAGAATCATATTATGAAATAATTTGATTGCTGATTGATTCAACTGTGTGCAAAAAATAGATACTAAACTTTTGGCCATGCTTGTTCGAACCCGTTTGACTTATTCGTCACACTCAAGATGCGCTTGTTACATTTTCGGTTTGGTACTCTAATACCTGCAGGGGTTGGACCGGGAAATCAAGATATTCGAACCTGGCCCGGTTCAATACGGATAATGGATAAATAATTTAAATATTGTCAATAATACATTAAATATATATATCGACTTTTGCAAGTATAACGCCTTGCAAGTTGCAAGTTGCAACTGTACGTCAGGTTTATTCATATGTTGGAGTTTTCTCATAATTTTTATTTATATTTCTTTTAATTTTTCAATAAAAAAAATTAACTAGACAATCACTTAGAATTGGTCTCAAATACGGTTGAGTACAACTATTTGATCTCACTAGCTTCATAGCAATGAAACATCTTTCAACATTCGCCGATAACAACTGTAACGTTCAAACTAGACTCATAAACCTACCAACCAAATAACGTGTAAAATATTGTTTTTTTCTGGTACTAGCATTATTATAAACAATATAATTGGATCAATTACTAGTACCAATCAAGGATCCAGACAAGACCTTTAATATTGTAGGAGCACTAACATACCATACAGCGCAAGAGTAAGAATATTTTAACTAGCTGTTTCAAGCTAGTTACATGCTATAAATTATAATCAGAGACTCCATATAGATGATTACATGTTGGTCAAGACTCAAGAGATAAAGAGTTCGAAAAGAACTCGTGGTCTTAAATTATTTTTGCACATACTTGATAATCTAAATATGAATTGTAAGATAACGCAACTTGTTATACTGTTATTTGCAAAGCCAGATGGATGATTAGAGATGGTAAGAAGTAATTAATATGGTTTTAAATTTGTACAGACTTGATTCAAGAAGGGATGAAAGCATTAAGGAAACAAATTACACAAATAATAATAATGCAATCATGCAAACAATAATGATGTGATTTAAATATATTTTTGAACGATTTTGCCACTCATGTAATTGTAATGTATTTTTTGACCATGTTATTTTTCTGCAGTATGTTGTGTTTTATGTGAATGTCTAATAAAATGGAAGTTATGAATTTAGTTTCATATTGAGGAGTATAACTTCTGTTACGGAGTCTATGAAATAAATAACACGTTAACAGTGAAACGTTAAGAGTAATTAATTAACGTGTTTCTCGTATAAGTTAATTGTATGGCAAAAATCGGATAAACTAAAATGATTTTGACACTATCAAATAAAATTGTCGCATTATTATCATTTATTTAATTTTCATAAAGTTGTAGTCATTTTAACAAAAATAAAAATAAAGTTGTTGTCATTTGGCAAATTCACTCAAATTTTGGTTTAAGAGAAACGCGGACGTAAAAATTGCCGTCGGAATAGAGGAATAACAAAATGAGAACCTCTTCTTATTATGCTATTCTCTCGCGACCTTAAAACAATCCACAAATTTCTCTTACTCACTTAAATTTAGACATTTGAAGCAGCTATATAAACCCAAGCTCTCCCCGAAACAAAAATCATTCAAAACAAAAAACAAAAAAAAAAACAAAACAACTTTTTTTTAAAAAAAGCAAAAAAAAAAAGAAATAATTCTTTTCTGTTATAAAAAAAAATGGCAAGAATCTCACTAGGGATATGTCTGATGGTGCTAGTAGTAGCATCAAGTGTGATATACGAAGCGCAAGGAACGTTCTTACTAAAGAAGTACTTGAGGAATAATTTCCCAAGAAAGTGCAACGAGTTTACGCCTTACGCTAACAAAGGTATGATCTTGTTGGTGACTAACCTGGAAAGTGGCTGTCCCGCCACAGCAGAGTTCAAGAACTTCTTTTCACAGTTCAAGTCTTACATGAGCTTCATCGAAACGGCATCGGCCTCATCGAAAAACATCGACGTGGAGATTACTACAAAATGCGATGGCCTCTTCAAGGCTATGTCAGTATTGAATGGTGGTGCAGGCGGCAAATCAGTAAGTCATCAAAATATATATATACCGTAATAATTCAAACAAAATTTTGTTTTTATTTAATTTCTCCTTATTATTATATATGAAACAGGCGGATGCAGGGGGTTTGAAAGTTGCCTTGATTTCCATGGGGAAGACTTTGGTTGAGCAGAAGAAGAGTGCAGTGGTGATGACGGTCGCTCAGAAGAAGAGGCTCATCGTGGCTATGGTGAAGTGGACTAAAATGGTCGCTACATTCGTGAAGACGGCCTCCGAGAAGAAAGGAAAGACCATCGATATCAAAACTTACGAGCTTGATGTCGATGTCAATGACAAATCTATCATCGGTGTAAGTGCAAGTGCTGGAACCACCGAAAAATCATCATCATCCTCATCATCAGCCTCTGGTGGTAACACCAAGACCGAGAACACACCCTCTGGTAACACCAAATCCGAAAACGCTTCCAAGACAAAAGAAAGCAAATCCGAAAAAAAGTCATCCTCTGGTGGTGACGCCAAAACTGGAGCTGCGGGAGGTGCAACCACTTACAAGGACACAACAGGTGCATATTCCGGAAGTCCGAGCGGAAGTCCCACAGGCAGCCCTTCTGGTTCAGCTTATGCCGGCGGCGAAACCGCTGTGAAAGGAAGCTCAAGTGGTAGCGGAGATTCTTCTACCAAGACCAAGAGCGAAAGCAAAGGTGCAGCAGCGGGTGAAACCAAAACTACTAGTGGCTCATCTTACAAGACCAAGACCGAAAGCAAAGGTGCAGCAGCGGGTGAAACTAAAACTACTAGTGGCTCATCCACCACAACGGTGAAGCAAGTCGAGAGTGATACTTCCAAAGAAGTGATGTCATTCATAATGGGACTCGAGAAGAAGTACGCAGGAAAGGCAGAGCTCAAGGTCTTCTTCGAGAAACTCAAGGCTTCCATGACCTCCGTCGCCACCATCTCTTCCAAAACCGCTAAAGACTATGTTTCCACAGCAAGATCAGCCACTGGTAAACTCGCTGAAACCATGACTTTCGTGGGTTCCAAGTTTAGCAAATCCGCAAAGGTGCGTAACAAAGTTATCTTTCGTTTCTTTGTTAACTCTTTAATCTCGTGTATATATGTTCGATATTCATCTTCTTTTTTCTTTTGCGGCACTATTAGATGAAGAGCCACATGGAAACTTGCCAAGATCAAATGTTGAAGGCTCTCAAAGACCTAGAAGCTATCAACAGCAAGATCGTGACCGAGAAGACGGTGACAACCACACAACAGACAGAGATTAAGCAGACAATCACAAAGTGGGAAAAAGTCACAACCCAGTTTGTTGAGGGTGCTGCTTCTTCGTCTTCATCTTCATCTTCATCTTCATCATCTTCATCTTCCTCGGGCATGATCAAGAACAATTAAGTTCAAAAGCGACTAATACGCGAATATCACCAAGAAAGACAAACCAGTATTGCCAATTATTATAACTAGTAGCTAATTATTAGATCTTTTTGTAAATAAAACTAAGATCGGTATAGGGCTTACCCAACAACCGACGTATGCAAGTAATAACTCTGTAAAAATAAAACAGATAGACTGTAACCGCTCTGTATGTTACCATACGGAAGTGAGTGATAATACCTATAAAAGGAATTTTGAATTAATCTTCTTCTTCTTTCTCCAAGTGAATTAGGTCTACTTTATAAGATCTCTTGTAGTCTACTAAAATATCGAATTTTCACTGTATATATGCATTCAATAACAAATGGCAAACCAAAGTAAAATAAATAAATAACATATAGCTTGTTTAATTCTCTTGTAATTGTTCTAATTCTTTTTAAAAATAAATTATAATATTTACATATATTTTTTTATAATATATTTCATTTTAAAATTACATAACAATATTATATAAAAACGTTTTTCTTATATAGTATTTAATAAATTACATAATAATATTTATAGAAAAAAAATTGTATAGTATTTTCAAATATTTGCATAATAATATTAATAAAATGTTTTTCTATTATAACAATATAAAACAATTACATTTTAATAATTCTAATTTAAATAAAATAATTTTATTTTTATATAAATTATAATTTTCGTCGGACATCCATCAAAAAATATCTGTGAGAAACTCATCGGAATAACAGTTGTTGTTGAAAAACGTTTGTTAAAAATCCGTCAAAAAATTCAAACGGGTTTTAATCCATCAGTAATTTCTGACAAATTTTTTTTCAACGATCTAGATCTGATGGTCGAAATCCATTCGAAATCCATTGGAAATAGCCATTTCTAACAGATTTCTATCTGATCCTTCCATCAGTAATCTGTTGTTTTCTTCTAGTGTCAAGACAAGTAATTAGAAGAAATAGCAGGGGAATTACTACAATAGAACTTTTATAAATTAATATTTAATAAATTAATAATCATTATAAATTAATAATTTTGTCGATTTTAAGTTAGGCCAATGTAAAAATTGATAAAATTAGATAAAATAATAAGATAATACTTTTTTAGAAGTCCTATGTAAAAGTGTGGTCTCAATAATAATATAAATTAATAATTATATATCTAGGCATATATAAATAATATAATATAGTAAAATATGATAATATTATTGTTTCAAGTTTATAATTTTTGTTTGGTTTATCTTCTAAATTTATTATTATTACATTTTTGAATAAATTTTACATTGTTGAAAATATTGTTTTTTTTGTTTTTAACGAATATTAAGAATTCGAACCGAAAAATATCTCTACAAATTTATAACTCTATAAATTAATAAAATATGAGAATTTCAATATTTTTAATTTATAGAAGTTTTACTGTAGTTCTTGAAATCACTTTGAATTAGAAAGATATAGCAGATAACTGACTTCAATACATCGAGGTAAAATAATTATCTTTGCTTGAAGTGTTCTCGTAGGTTTAGATATTTTTAGATTCCTCTTTTAGAAATTTAGAAATTTCTATTAATCCTTGTTTTCACATTAAATCTTAGGGGTTTTGATAAGAAAGTTTTTCCTGAATTATTTCATGTTTATACTTTTCCTAGTTGATGCCTCTTCTTTCTTTTTTTTTTGTGTGGAAACGCTGAAATTTCAATTAAGTAGCAAAGGGGGTCCCATTACAAAGAGAAGATAGATGGTCTTTTGCTAAATCATCTGCCTCGCGATTGTAAAGTAAAGTTGATGCCTCTTCTTGACTATGGAGGTTAATCTACGACAGGGTCTTGTAAGTTGTAATTGTTTCTATCAAATTGGTACAAAAATGTAGTACCGATGGAATTCCTAGATTAGTATTTGTGTGTATTTTCTTATTTTTAACCTACTAGTCAAATTAGGATTCTGTACATGTTGGGTAATGAATAAAAAACAAATTAACCCCATACACGAAACCGGTTTTTGACATGCATGGTATTATAGCCTAAACCCCGGTGAGTTCTGGTCTCTATAAGTGCAACATACAAATCTAGATCTGAACTGCGGAACCAAGTCAGTTCTAGTCTCCATTACAAAACTAGATGCATAACCGACCATGCGTAAAGATCAAGCAAAGCCATTGTCCCTAACAAACTATTAAATTAATTTATAAATCGAGATTCATCTTCGATAAGGATCTTATGATGTTGCCATTTATCTCCAATAGTTTATTGCATATTATTACTTCATAGTTCATAATTCATAATTCTTATTCGAATGGGAAAAATGATCCTTTCCAAAAATAGAAAGATAAAACACAGAGAGCAACAGAATTTTCCGTTCACATAGAAAGGTAATGGCTGAGGTCCTCCACAGAATTTTCGAGAATTCTCGGACGACCTTTTTAATCGATCCACCATTTTTTCTTATTCACTTAAATTTAGACCATTGGAGCATCTTTATATAAACTACTTTTCCTACAAAATTAAGTAATCGTAAAAACTCTTTTAAAAAAAACCAAAAAAAAAACATAAACAAAACAAAAAAAAATGGCAAGAACTTCGTCGGCGGTATGTCTATTGTTACTAGTAGCATTAAGTGCGGTCTATGAAGTGCAAGGGACATTTTTATTTAGGCACTACATGAGGAAATTTCCCCGAAGATCCAGAGACTTTGGGCCATTCGCTTGCAATGGTATGCTGAAGTTCGTGGACGTTTTGGAGCTTAAGTGTCCATTGAAGCCAGAGTATAAAAACTTCTTTGGAAAGCTTAGGTCGTACATGGGCTTCATAAACTCAGCGTCTGGGTCGGCAACCTTTGATACTGATTTGAAAGGAAAAGCTGAGGGCCTCCACACTGCTATGTCTGCACTAGGTGGTAAAGGAGGATCATCGGTAAATTAAGTTCATATATAAAAATTAAAAAAACTTAAAATGTAACCAGGTTAAAGGTAGTACTAGAAATTGATCCATGTTTGATATACTTCTTTTTATTTGGTGATCAGGCGGATACCAGCAATGTTATAAATGTGTTACTGTCAATGGGAAAGACTCTGAGCGCGCAAAAGAGGAGCGGTTCGACAGAGATGTCGTTTTCACAAAGGAAAGAGTTGATCATGTCTATGGCGAAATGGGCACGAGTGATCAGTCAGTTCGTGGCGAGTGCCGCATCAAAGAGTGGAACCTCCATTGATGTATCATCCCTAGGAATCGATGGCGTCGATGCGAGTGTTGCCATCGAAGCTGGAGGCTCTCCCACAAGTGGTGGAAGCCCTAGCACCGCCGGAACTGGAGGTTATGGCACCGGAGCTTCAGGACCCACTACTTCATCTAGCACACAATCTACCAACAGTGGAAGTGGAACTACTTATGAAGGCTCTGTCAACTATCAATCAGGCGAGAAATCCTCCCAACAAACCGTCACTGGCAGCTACTAGAAGGATTAGGTCAGCTCTACAAACTAGAAAAGTAGAAAGGCCCGACCTAGTATATGTCTAAAATTAGTACTATTTTTAAAATAAGACGACAGCCCTACTTATATAGAACGGCTGGCTCTAGATATTACAAGCCTATCTTGAATAATACGAGAAATTTTTTTGATATTGACTTTATAGTGTTTACCGATTAAAAATCAGTTTTGGTACATCCCTAAAGCATTAATCCAAGAATAAAAGACTCGTTTGCTGAGCCATACATCAAAGGTTTATCGAAATAATCCATTATACATATATACCCCATTTAGCTATGTAGAAAATTAGCCATAAATATAGACCCTAGGCCATATATATATCATGTGTTGCGTAACTTTATATATTAATATATGACTAGGTGGTCTCCCGAATCACTTTTAATATTATTAATATATTAATTCTGATATAAATATAAATTAATTATACTAAAATTTTGTGTATAAAAAAAAAGAAAATTATTTTCATACAATTTGAAAATTATTCTTATAAAATTAGAGTACTATAAAAACATCAAAATGAATAAATAATCAAATAACTTGTCAATTTTGTATGAATTTTTGTTTTATCAAATTCAAAGAAAACAAACAAATAACAAAATATCAAAATTTATATGAACTAACCCTAAATTTTAAAAATGATATGAAATAAAGTTACATTATTTATAGGAATAAAAATTTGGGGTTTATACCATCTTTTTTTTATAATCCTACAAATATAGATACATTTTTATCTTTACAAATAAAATAAAAATATCATTTTTAAATTAATCTAAATCAAGATATAACCATATATATATATATATTCAATTTATTAAGATTAATTACTTTTTCGATAAAACTACTTAAAATATATTAATTTTTGTTATTTAGTATAATTGTTCTCAAAACCAAACTTATTAAACATAATAATTTTCACATACAGTCTAATTTGCTTCTTAATTAATGATATGATGTTCTTGTTTTTTGAGTTTTAGTTTTCTCCAATGATTATAAGTTTTACAATTCTACAATAGTTGAAGTAAACCAAAGAAAAACATAAATCAAACAAACCTCATTGGAAGCATAAAAAAAACTGAATTTGGGGGAAGATGTATTCCTAAATTAACGAAACTCAAGAGTGACAATCAGATTTTGATATCCATGCTAATTGTTTAAAATCAGAGAGAACAAAATAAAAAACCTGATCAAGAAACCAAAATTTTATATACATTTTTTTAACTATATAGTTAATTACACTTCCTGATAAAAAATAAGGCTATTTTCCTATCTTTCCTCTTAATCTTGCACTTATGAGAAAAACCTCCTCATTACGATAGATTAAACGCTTTGATAGAGCTATGCTCTGCATCCAAAAAGTAGTAATTCCCTTCCACTTTGAATCTCACTAACGGCATTTACATGTCTCGATAACGTATGTCTGAGAATTTCAGTGTCTTTGGGGTAAATGTGGCAAGCCAAGTCATCATATCAACCTGAAAAGTGTCTGAATCGGGTTGCCACCTCAGCTTGTGAACGTAGTGGCAAACAAACCAGTGGAGAGCAGCGTGGAGGCAACCACATCTTTCATGGTCATGTTCGATGCCTGGAAAGTGATGACTCACCAAATGAAACAGAGAGAATTAATTGGAAAGTGAGTAAAAAACAATAAGAAACAAAGAAACAAATCACAATTTCACTTGCATGCTCCACCGATTTTTCCCACATTCTGTTTGACATTCCATTCCCAAATAATGGGAAACACACATTTTAAATCACAAAATCTGTTTAGAATCAGGTTTATGCGAGAAAACATCATGAATAACGAATAACCATCAAATCAAAAGAGCAAAACACACATTAAAAAACAGTCATGATCAAACAAAACACAGTGCAAAGATATTGAACATAAATCAAACACTCACTAATTATATTTTTTGTGAGTAAAGAATTATCCCACCATGCAACCTAAAAAAAGATTTCAGATCAGATAATATAGTTTGAGTCGGGATTATGCGAACAAAGATTACAAAAACGTCAACTAATGATTAATTGATCAGTGATTTGTTAGTATCTGCCCTTGACTCTTAACTTTCAACAACTCTGTTTAATGGAGAGATAAAGAACGTGAACTGAAGTTCGAGGAAGAGAGGCGCGGAGATTAGCAGCAAATCAAGTGAGAGGCCTTTCTTTACAAAATAAGAAATTCAAATCAGATTTGAATTTTCTATACTAATTTAAAAACTTCATTATAGAACATGGTGATATAATTGCAAACAGAATCTTTTTACATTATAAATACTAAGATGAACTCATATAAAGAAAAACCAAATTAAATACTCACAATGATATAATACAACTTTTGTCAGAGCAAAGTGAAAGAAATATCATAATATAGAAATAAATGAAGATTTAAAAGAAAGCAATGAACTAAATATATGAAAAAAACATAGAAAGTAAACATTAGCTGATGCTTCCAAGAGTGGAAGATATCAACAGACAATAGGGAAACGAAATAACATAATAGACAATAGATTGGTAATCGAAACATAATGATCAAGCCTAAGTGGGGAGAGATATAAAGTAGTAAATACCTTTTATGCAAATTACTTCAGCTTCATTCCTCATATTCTTCCTATTCAGCTTCTTTTTCGATTGGCTATAGATTATATCAAACTAAACAAACAAATACAGACTCTCAAACAAATTTATATCACTTTTCGAAAGTTTTTCCTTCCGATTCTTTTTCTCTCTATGTTCTCGACACCTAATCAAAAAGTTAAGTAAAACAAAACACATGATTCGGAACCACTACGACCAAAACCTTTAAACAAAAGGTTGAAGGCACACCAAAACTTTAAACCAAACACATGAAACAACAAAACCATAATTAAAGATTACAAGAAAATAAATAAGACGGATTACCATAGCCATGTTACATAAACACGGCTGTCTTCCCAAGAAACACAACGGCCAGAACATAGATGTAACATAAATACTCAAACAGGTCGGAGGCATTTATATATAATTTATAATCTAAGGTTTTATAATCTAGGGTTTTAGTAAACATAATGACCCAAGTCACATATCATTTATCGATCCATTGAAACATACCAAACCATATCGATATTAAATAACACAAAACTGCTTCAAAACCAAACCAATCGCATAGTTTAATTTAATTAATAATTTTATTAAGGATTGTTAAAGTAAATTAAGATGAGGGAAAGTAGCGTGACCTAAAGATTCTAAATAAAAGTATTTATAATGTTGAATGAGTGAGAGATTATTTAGGGCTTCTATGTTATCAACATATGATAGAGATTATTTGATGATTTTTATAATTTTCATTATTTTTATTAAGAGTATTAATTTTCATTAAGGGTAATTGAAGTCTTTTCATATGAGAGATAAAAAGTAATCAACCACAATAACTCTCAACTACAGCCCAATTTGTTTGTCAATTAATAATATGATTATTGATTCCTATTAAAGTACTCATGAGTAATGACGACGGCATAAACAGAAGCTAATTAACTTCAACAGCTAAGTCTCTATATACTAATTAAAAAAAAAACTTCGATACTATTTTTTGTGAAATTTTACTTCTATATCTAAAATTATATTTAATCATTTCATTAGATAAAGAGGGCTAAGAACCATAAAACAATGCCATAAGCCCATGAACTTCAGTATATTAAAATGACTAATTATCTTAAGTGGATTAAAATATGTTTCATAAAACAAGGTTTAGTGGAGGCCATCTTCTTGTCTTAAAACGGCAACACATAAGAAGACAGAAGACCAACATAACCATCCATGAAGCCACTAAGTAACTTAAATTGTTTCTCTATTTTCTTCCCTCCATTTTCCCCAATTTTCGGTAACATTTGCATTATTGCGTTTGCATGTACTATATATTTTTCTCTACATTAATTCATCTTACACTTAATTTGATACTTAAGGCGTAACCATTGCCGTCTAATATTGGATCAATAAGTTTGTCGTTGGAAGGTATAAGACATAACATAATAATAATAATAGTAAGACGTGTATCTGTCATCGGTATTTGTTTAAATTTTATTTCTACTTTCTATTTTAGCTACCAGTTAACTACTTATACATGAGACACTATAAGTAGTATTATTTATACAACTTTATAGGACCAACAAACCTTTATTGGCTCTAAGAATATGATCACATAAAGTTCAAAAAAAAAAAGAATATGATCACATTAAATAGTCGGCTTTGTGCTGGATCAAACTATGCATTTTTGTAAGTCAGAGCCTAAAATTTAGGGGGAGAAATATTGCTGTCGTTTTCGTATATCTCTCCAGTAATATATTCGGAGAGTATTAGTACATGTAAATAAATGCAGTAGTCCTGAAATTGAGGCTAAGATTTGGACGTACATCTGTGTCGCATAGCAATCTGAAACATTCGACAAATTAGTGGAAATTGATTTTTGCTCCGAAAAGTACTATTAAGTTTTATTTCTCTTTGGTACTTAATTAGTTCGTGGCTTTATGCTGCGTAGATTAAGAGTGCTATTTTGCATCACGGTATCTTATGAAAATCCGGAAAATTTCTTAAGAATAGAACTTATAGATATACACTGATACACGTATACACCATGACAAATTAAAGCTATCGAGAAATGAATATAATAAGGCGGAAATTTGGTAAGAAAATCTAAATTGTTAAACTATTTCTTCTTTATGTTGATTTAATAGAACAAATATCAAAAGACAATAACGACTGAAAAAACAAAAAAAAAATGTGTGCTCTATTATTAATAAATCTCAAAATCAAAAACAACGACCTATAGCTCTCAACGACAAAAACAAAATAAAAAGACTATAAACGTAGATTAAAAAGAAATTGTGAGAGAAAAAAGAAAAAAAAATGTTCTGATAGTTCAGATACACAGGCCGTCCTATTCATCATTGCAACAGAGATCCAAACAATATGTTTCAAATAGACATCGACACGAGATCATAGTCCATGTTTGAAGTTTTTTAATGTCGCTCATAACTGCCGCAAGCGACAGATTGCCGAACACAAGTCTCATATCTAACTATGACGCACCTAACTAAGCTTGAGTTATATATCATAGTGGAAATTAATTATGTTCACACGGAACACTTTTTGACATCATTGACCTCCTCCTCTGCTTTTTTGTTGGATCAAAATCATTTGTTTAACAATAAAATCCCCTTTGCATATTTTTTTCAATCAGTCAAACCATGCAATTTACATATAGATATTTTGTTAACCGTCATGTTTGAATTGTACATCGACTTGCAAGTTTAGCGTTTTTGTTTATTATTTATAGTGGGAAGAATATAGTTTACTAATTAACTTCGTTCAGAAATGATCTATCAGACATTTAGGTTATGCTAATAGTCAGTCACCAGAATCTAGATGGAGGGCATTGATATTTATGTTGTAATGTATTTACCTTGATCTGATTCTATCTAATACAAATGGTTTCAGATTCCTATAACCATTGTTTCCCTTATGGTCTGGGATTTTAAATTTGGCATGTATTGTTCAAAGAAGTAACCATACATTGAATTTTAGAGAAAATACAATATATCTATTATTAATGATAAATTTGATTTGTTACACGCTAAACAGTTTTTAGCTTTAAAAATAAACGATACCATAAAGTAAAAAAAATGGGAAGCGATAGATTTTTTTTAAATTAAAAAATACGAATTCAATTGATAATTTTATAAAGATTCAAAAATTAAATAATATTAAAAACTTAAAAGATAGAAGTGATGAAAAATAAATTTTTATTTAGGTTGAATAGAAATGTGATTTAGTACTTTGTGAAAAAAATATGTATATAAAAGATATATAAATAAATGATATTAGTAAAAAAATTACGATAATAAGGAATAAATTTTTTTATTTTTCAACCAATCAAATTCTAACTTTTTCATTATTTTCTGCAATACTATCCTTTGATTTTATTTTTCTTTTCTGTTTTTTTTTCTTTGTCACCTTTACCTTATTTTAGCATCACTCTAAAAATCATTTTAGTATTTTAATTTATCAATACTTTTTATTTTGTAATATCTAAACTTCCAAAGTTTAGAAAAATGTGCTCATATTAAATTGAAAAGAAAAATATCTCTAATTATAAATAATATATATAAGTTGGATAAACTTAAAATTTTTGCCTCATGGGAAAATATATTTACTAGTAATTATTGTTTCAATAATATAAATATCTACTTTTTATTATTATTCTTTCCTAATATCCATGAATGTGGAGGATTCTGTTTAATATGACCATTTATATTAATGCACATAACTTTTTAAAAACTCTTTTACATTTTTAATATATTCAATCCAAATTAATTGTTATTTAAATAATTTGTTGTGATCCTTAAAACTTATCAAACAATGATAGCAATTCGGTGAAGAGCATGGTAATCACATCAAATTAAAACAAAACAAAATTCAAAATATAGTGCATATTACAAGATGCAAATTCTTTCTGTCCACCATACAAGCAAAAATAAAAACCCTCCTCTAGATATAATTCCTAATTTAAGGAATCTAAAAAGTTTTATCCGAAAAGGAGCGTGCATCACTCGCCCTCACGCACCCTCAACGGGAACGACCGGAAGGAGGAGGAGGAGTCAATGCAAAAAGAATTACCAAATAGTGACCCCAACAACAACAAAAGAGAGAAGAGACTTTATAAATAAATCAAATGTCTTTGCGAAATTCTTGAAATTTTCTAAAACGCGACATTCTTTCTTCTCCATCTTCTCTCTCTTTTCTCTGAGTTCTAGAGAGAGATTTTGCAACCAGACGACGAGGCTGACTTACGAACCGGAAGGAGAAACTCGATGATGATGTCATATGGTCGCTTTGATAAATGATTTGGTTGGCTCCATTTTCTTCTCGTACTGTTCTTCTTTTTTTTTTCAATTCCTTACAAAATTCAGTTTCCGTTGTTTACTCTTGGAATCATCTGAAAGCAACAAAAAATCGAAAATCTCTCATAAATCCTCTGCTTCGTCTCTGTTTTTTTCCGATTGATCTCAAATTCTGAGAGAGAAAAAAAGTTTAACTTTTTAATTGTTTTGAATTGTTCTTTGCTCGTCGTTACTCGTTACGATCTCTCTTTCGTCTTCTTCTCTGGATCGCCGTTTTTGACGACGAACTCCGACGCCCTTTATTCCCAGCTATCATTTTTCACAAATCTCGACAAAAATTCTTTTGATACCTCATCGATTTCACCAAACCCTTGTCTCCAAATCCAATTTCATTATTCAATTTTTCGTTCCCCAAATCAAAAATCCTTTTTTTCTCTCTTTCTCTCTCCCCCTTTTGATCGATTATGGGCTGCGCGAGCTCGAAACAACGTAAGCGATGCCTCCATTGCCGGCGAGGATATTCTCCGGTGGATATGCAGCGAAGCCAATCGGTGCACCACCCACCGCAACACTCCGACGACAGCTGCCACATGATGGCTCTCAGTCCCTCGAGCCTCGGGTCTCTCAGGCTCTGCGACTCCTCTTACGGGCATAGCCACAAACACTTGGCAGACTTCAGCGGGAAGCTTGTCGGCGGCGACGAATCCGGAGAGAACCGAATCTCCGGGAATGGGTTTGGTCACAAGGAAGCCAGAGAGAGGCCAGACAAGGAGAAATCGAATCTGGAAATGCAGGCTAAGCTAATGGAAGCTAAAGTATGGTCAAGCATGATGAACGCGAAAATCCCAAAGATTGTGCCCAAAACTCCGATCGTGACGCCTCCGGGAGAGCCGGAGACGATCAATACATGGGAAATGATGGATGGGCTTGAAGATATGATTAGCCCTCTCCGATCGCCTAATCACGTTAGGAGCTTCTCGTTTGGTGTTGCTGCTACTAATGGTGACTGTGAACATCCCAAGGAGAATGGTAATGTAAAGCCGTTGTGGCTTCAGATGGAGGAAGAAGGGTTTGATGATTCGAGTTGCAGGTTCGAGGATTTTGATCCTGAGATCGTTTCCTCGTTCAGAAAATCGCTCCAAGAACTCCCTTCTGATCATCCTTTCCACATCTCGATCCATGATCTGAAACTGAACCCACAATTCAGTTTCTCCGATGATGAAGAAGAAGAGGAAGAAGAGAAGGAGGAGACTTTGGGTGAGGCTATTGGTAAAGACAAAGTGATACTCTACTTCACAAGCCTCAGAGGTATAAGGAAGACATATGAAGAAAGCTGCGATGCCCGAGTTATACTGAAGAGCCTCGGGATTAGAGTGGATGAGCGAGATGTGTCGATGCATTCGGGTTTCAAAGAAGAGCTTAAGGAGCTACTCGGGGAGAAATTCAACAATGGCGTTGGGATCACTTTACCTAGAGTTTTCTTGGGGAGGAAGTATCTTGGGGGAGCAGAGGAGATTCGGAAGTTGAACGAAGACGGGAAGCTAGAGAAGCTTCTAGAAGGCTGCGAGAAGGTGGAAGAGAACAAAAACGGTAATGGGCAAGAATGCGAGGCTTGTGGAGACGTAAGGTTTGTGCCGTGTGAGAGATGTTCAGGGAGCTGCAAAGTGTACCATGAATATGAAGAGGAAGACGACGAAGAAGAAGATGATGATGATGAAAGTGTAAAAGAAGAAAGAGAGTTTGGGTTTCAAACATGTCCTGATTGTAATGAGAATGGACTCATTAGATGTCCTATTTGTTGTGATTAGCTTTTTGAAAACACACACAAAAGGGGGGACCTTTAAACTCTTCTTTCTGTTTGTTTTACTATGTTTGTTTGTGTTTTTGAGTGCTTGAGGGTTTTTCTTGCCTCTGGAGATTTTGCTGTACATAAAAGAGGTTTTTGATTTTGCTGTAAATTTCAAAGTGTAAAATGGAAATTAGGATGTGGTTTCGTCTATTCTTTGAAATCCCCAATTTATGCTTTACCTTGTTGATGGGCTCATTATTTTAAAAGCAAACGGAGTTGAGGAAAAAAGTCAGCTAACAAAACATGACCGGAGAAAAGGAGAGAATCTGTCAAACTCTTAAAAGGCTTTTTCTTTTGTCAATAAGTCAAACTCTTATGTTATGTTTGAATAATAATAGTCATAAAGGCATGGGTTGAACCCAAAAAAAAGTCATCAAGGCATTGTTGATTGTTGGGAAAAAAGAAAAGGTATTTTGTTTATGGGGTAGAAATGAAGTATAAATGGTAAAACTATGATTTATTGCTATCAAATGGTATGTGAATCTCTTTAGTCAATAATGGACTCTAATCCTTGACCAAAATCTAATAGCTATATGTGTTGGATGAAGTAGATTTTCACATAGATAAAATAACCTGGTAAAATCACACTTTACAAACACAATTAACTAACATAAAGTATCTAAAACTTCTATTTGATAACTTTAACCAACAAAAAAACTTCTATTTGATAAACTAGACGTCCATACAAATAAAATAGCATGATATGGAAAAAGATGTGTTCAAATTTTATGAGTTTTTTTTTTGGTGAACATTTTATGAGATGTTTATCCAATGACAAATTGTCATTTAGCAGAATAATTGATAAAACCAGAATAATTGAGTTTTTAATATAGTAGTTAATGTGTTTTCATATTTAATTTATTTTCTATATTTCAGATTTATAAAAGGACAAATTCAATAAAAATATTTAACAACTTTGAATACTTAAATAATTAATTAATATTCTTCCAACTTTACTTATTTTTTATATTTAAATGGAAGATGAAAATAGGAAGAAATCTTTATAATGCAATGAGCTATGAAAACATCATTATGTTTTACAAAATAGAAACAGATGTAAATGTACTATTGAGTCAAAGTTCCAAATAAACTTCATTATTTTTTTCACTGAATATTATTATTACATAAACCTGTTCATTCCCACTTTTTTTTTTACTTTTTCAACCTTTAAATATCATATTTTTGAATTTCAAAGATAAACAATCAAATAATTTGTATTCAATTTATTTCTACACATGGCCTTGCAACCTTATTGGACCGGGCCGAGGTGGCTTTTTCCTTGATAGGGCTTTTTGAAGATAGTAGAGGCCTGCTATTATCAGGTTTATTTCTCGGAAGGACTTGGACTTGGAGTTCCCGTGAATACATCATTTCAAAAAACGGTACTCGTGAACACATCACATATATGGGTTATGTGTTCAGTCAAACTTCCTGAAATATTATCATTCCATAAGTGCTAGCAAACGCATAATTTCTACAGTCATCATAGCGCAATAGAGTACTTGTTACAGTAGTACTTTAACAAGAACAAAAGATTGTTAAGTAGTAAGTAGTAACGGAGGAGACGCTATTTATGAGAACAACGGCGACAAATTTTAGATAATTCGCAGTTATTCTCATAAACCTTCAAGGTGGCTGTTGCTTCCACTTTAAACCTCCAAGGTTTTTCACTTCTATCATAAACCACCAAAGTGATAAGTTTTCCACTTCAAACCCTCGATATGGCTTTTGATTTTGCGATTCCATAATTACGAACGGTACAATTAACCCCGTTAACGGAACAGTAACTCCGTTCCGTTTCCGATCACATATACTTTTAGCATATTTTTTTAATTCAAAATATTCATTTTACATAACATTTTATTTTTTTTAAAATAACAAAAAATAATTTAAATTAAAGAAAGATCTCCTTCAAATCGATTTGGAGTTAGAATTCAACGATAGTTGCTCTTTAGTTTCAAATAGAGGGGTTTGAAATTGAAACTGAGAAAACTGAGAAATTCGTTCTTCCTTTCATACCAGTCTTCCTCTCTTCGACTCCCAGTGAGTTTCTGGTTTTTCTTTTTAGTTCCAGAAATCAGAATGAACTTTCATTAGATTCGTGGAGTTTCACATAGCTTCAGAAATTTTGTTAAAGTTTAAAAATTTCGTTAAATTAGTAGGTGAGACACATTACGGGTGATAATTACTTCTGGATTTGTTTTGTATATTGAACAGAAAAATAATATGATCGTTGTGTGTCAATGCAATTACCCCATAAAGATAACACAAGCTTAGACTGAACAAAATCCTGGGCGAAAGTTCTATATATGTGAGGGCGTAAAGTATGTAATATGTAACAATACAAATCTTGCAAGTGAAGTCGTGAAAAATGTGAGATGCTGAAACTAGAGATTCTTATTTCAACCGATAGAAATACGATGTACTGTAATGTTTTGATAGCTTCGTCTGTTAGTTATTCGGCTCTGTTTCACGAAATCAACATAAATGTCATACCAAAAGATTTTGACGGTTTAAAGACATGCAAAAAACATCATTCTAAAAGGCATACAAAAGTCATCACAAAACATAACATAAGTGCATACAAAAGACAGCATAACTTCAAACAAAAAGACCTACGATGGCGGGGGTTGAGGGTCATTGTTGGACATATCATAGACTCTGTCTCCAAACACTTCAAAGGCCTTACCTGTGTAAGGACTATAAAATGTGCCAACTCCTCTTGGAATGTTTTCCACCTTCCTTGTCTTCAATGGTCGTCCACGCTTCTTCGGCAATGGTTTGTTGGAAGAGACTGAAGGTTGAGGTGCACTAGAAGCAGCAGGAATTTCAGTAGTTAGTTGATCTGGTTGTAAAAGCTGAGAGCTATTTCCACCAGCTTCAATGTTTGTAGATTCTCCGGTTGGTAATGATTGGGAGTCACTAAGTGGATTGACTTTTAATTTTCTTGGCTTTGGTTGACGCTTCGGTGGAAACTAATTCATGAAAACACAGACATATTATTTTAAAGTAATCACCATTATTATAAAACCAAAAACTGAAACTAAAAAAGATAAAAACAGAAGCAAAAAGCTATCTCATTTGGCTGTTTACGTGGTCTACCACGTCTGTTTTTTGGTCCCTCCACAACTACTAATTCATTTTTGCATGAATTTTTAATATGCCCAGTTTCACCACAACGGCTGCAATGTTGTACTCTACCATGTCTCGTTGATTTTCCTGCATTTTGGAGTGACTCAAAGGGCTCTTTTTTCCTGTCACGTTTTTTAGGCCTACCTCTTGGCTTTCGGATGTCAGGAATTCCAATAGGAGACTTTTCTAATTTATTCCACAACTGTTCACCATTGACAGGTCTGATGTTGTCCATATATGTGTTCTTCAAGAAAGAAGTTTCATAGTAATCAGCCACATACCTCTCAGGATCTTTTAGGTTGTCATCTAACACACATACAACATGTTTGCAAGGTATTCCTGTCATAAAAATATACAATTAAATAGCAATTCGATAAGCAATGTTTAAGCAACATAATCAATGTGATCCCAACAAACCTGTAAGGTCCTATCGACGACAAGCACATTAGTGAGTTGTTAAGTCAACTGTATAGCCAATTTCAAACTCTGTAACTTCATACAAGTTTCTGCTACTACGTATTGTTGAGAAATATTTCTTATCAACCCTTGCTTTTTTCAATATAGCCATTGTGATTGGTGTGAGGAAAGAGTTGCACTTCTTTAATTTTTCCCATCTACGTGATATCCTTGTCATTGCTTGTCTCCTTATATCCTCGAGCATGCTAATGACAGGCTTCGATCTTGCCAGCTTAATGGTTCTATTAAAAGCTTCTGATAAATTGTTGTGCACATCAGCATAATGAGACTCAGGATTAAAAAATGCTCTACACCATCTCTCTGGTTCTGTCTTGAGCAAAGCCTCATATGCAAAAGGATCATAGGAATATACACTCTTCATCCTCTCATCAAACTCTCCTTTATGATAGCTGTAAGCAACCCCCCAAAACAGATTTTTATATTCTGACATTGAAAATGATTTTTTCCAATTAGCATATATATGTCCTGCACACATACGATGTTCTGCCCGAGGAAGTTCATTGGCTATAGCATGAACAAGACCCTGAAAAACAGTTAGAAAATTATAGATTCATTAAAATCTGTCTATTCAAATGGAGATAATATACAAAAATTACCTTCTGTTTATCAGAAATGATGGTAAGTTTGTCGCATATTCCCAAGTTCAAATCTGTCTTGAGCTTCTGTATAAACCATCCCCAAGTGTCCTTGTTTTCACCTGTTACAACTGCCCACGCTATTGGATACATCTTGTTATCTGCATCTCTACCAACAGCTGCAAGCAAATCACCCTCTAAATCCCACTTTAAAAAGCATCCATCCAAACGAATTACAGGTCTGCAACACTTATTCCAAGTCTTCCGAAATACCTCAAAACAGATGTAGAAGCACTGGAATTGTTGAATGCCATTGGTGTCAACAGTTAGAATCTCAGTTGTGATACCTTTGTTTGATCTTATAAGTTCAGCCTCATAATCCCATAGCTTGCCAAACTGAATTGTCTGAGCTTGGAGGACAGAATCCAAAGCAATCCATCTTCCTTTATAGCACTTTGATATATTAACAACAATGTTATACCGTTCCTTGATGATGTCTTTTATCTCATTAGCTTGCAAGTTGATATTCCTTCTTATCTCTTCTCTGAATAGCCCTCCAATCACACCTTGTTTCAACATTGAAACTCTACTTGATTTCCCATGATTGTGGTTGTAGTGGCATACTTTCACCATCCACTTTATCAATGGTTTTTCAACTGAGCAAAAAAATTTCCATGGGCATTTTTCCTTGCAACAAACAGCAGCTATCCTATTTGCTTCAGACTTTGCCATTTTAACATCGAATTGAGTATTCAATGAGTACCTGAGAAGCTGGTCTTTAAACTCTAATCCACTATTGAACGTTTGAAACAACCAAATGTAAGGTTCCTTGTCAAAATCTCCATGAAACTTATCTTTTCCTTTTTCTCTTTTCGGATTCTTCCATTGTTTCCACTCTTCATCTGTATCTAATGGAGTATCTGGATACTTTAAATCTTCTAATCCAAATTCTGGATCAGTTTCTTCCTCCTTTTCTTCTGCTGCCTGCTCTTCAGCAAGTTTACGAGTTGTTTCATCTAACTCAGTATTTCTCGCTTCACCTTCCTCAAACACTAATTTAAACCTATCATCATCACCACCATTTCCTACATCTATAATAACATCATCCCCTTCATCAATCTCAGGAAGCCTTACATTTGCATTTTGATTTTCCATCAAACCCTCTTCTACATTCTGATTTTCATCCTCCTGATTTTTCATTTCATTCAAACAATTACCATCTTTCTCTTTCTCCTTTACAGGTGCTTCATCCTCAGATTCCTCAGGATCATCATCTTCCTTTGGGGGTCTGTTATCTTCATCTGAATTATCATCACCAGATTCATCTCCTTCTTCTACCATCCCCTCATCTTGATCTGGTTCATAACCACCATCAATCTCATCTCCACCACAACTATGTTCCAGAAATACATCAACCTCACCTGCTGATTTTGCTGCAGAACTTAGGTGCTCCATATCACTATTAAGGGTATCAAACACATACTTCATCATCTTCATGTCCTCACTTGCTTTTTTGAACCAAATTAATTTTATCAGCATCCTCATACATTCAGACCTAATGAACTCTTCAAACTTCAGCCATTTAATCTCTGACAATTTCCAGAATAGGGTCTTAAAACCCAATTTTTCACGGTAGTTATAATCCTCATCTTCTTTTGCCATTGCTCCACCATAGTAGATCGTGAGTTTTATCAGCTGCTCATCACTAAAAAATTAAAACAAAACAGCAATTACCCTTGAAAGCTCACGATCAAAATTCATAATTTCAAATCCCGCTTAACAAAAAATGACTAGAAAACTTATAGATAAACCCTACCTCATTTCGATTTGTTCCTACTCTTCCTTAATTCATAAGACTCTCTGTCTCTTCTTCCTCCTAAACCAGACAATGTTCACTTCCTTCAACAATTAAAAACAACAACAAAAGATATTGAATTTTCAGCTCTACATATAATTGAAATCTCAACTAATTAGCATAACCCAGAAATTAGAATAATAAAAAAAAACAAGATTTAATGATAAAAAACCTGAAGATCTATCGTAGAGGCTCTTCTCCAAATGTGGTCAACGAACGTCTAACCCAACTCTAACACTAATCCATGTTTTCACAAAATGCTTCAAATTCGATTATGTGTTGAAATGCTCTAAACCCAAATCCTCTTTTTGAGTTTCTCCTTCGTTTCTTTTCTTTTTTATTCACGATCCCCTAACCCAATGATTTAGGGATTTCTCTTCTTTTTAATTTTATTTCTTTATTACTAAAATCTTTAAATAAAATCAATTTTTAAACTAAAAAAAAACAGCACAAATGATGGAAAGTCGACGGCGTTTACTGTTTCGATGACGGAGTTAACTGTGCCATTCAAAATTATGGAGTCGCAAATTTGAGAGCCAGGTTGAGGGTTTAAAGTGGAAAATTTATCACTTTGGTGGTTTATAATAAAAGTGAAAAACTTTGAAGGTTTAAAGTGGAAACAGCAGCCACCTTGAAGGTTTTTTCTGGAATTTTCCCCTTTTCATTTAGTTGTTATTAATTTTTGTCCGTGGCTTTTTTTATACTTTCTCTATTTCAAAATAAATATTATTTTGACACTTTATTTTTATTTTATAAAAAATATCATTTTATGTTTTCAATGCAGTTTTTAACATTTATTTTCAGTTTTATCTCTGTAATTTTATCTTATTAATTAGAAAGAAAATTTGTTTTAATGTATTAACAAAAGACATAATAGACATTTACAAAATTTTCTTAATTTGTATGAGAAATGTTGATACTTTTTATAAAACAGAGAGAATATAAAATAGAAATTAAAAATGGAAATTTTAGGTCATCGTTTTATTTTTTTCAGCGTCCATTTGCTAAATTAGACGTTTATAATTTTATATATTTAAAATAAAATATCAAAGAAACAAAATACATTAACTGATGGTAATAAATCATATTATTAGTTTGTTTTTTTTTTGTTTCGACGTTACCAAATTCACTCTATAATAGTATAATTTAACTTTTCAGATGTATTATCTTCTTTTGAAACATTAGAGTTACAAAAAATAATATTATTGAATCAAAACTGGCGGACATTTAGTTAGTTGTGAACAAAATTCTTTTTCAAAAAAAAAATATGAAATGAGAAATCTCTCGTCAAAGTAATAATTATTCATGGAACATTTCTAACATATCAACATAGTTACGTGGCACCGCATAAACCAAAGTTTTTCCAAATAGATTTGTCGGACATTTTACGCCCATTTGCTTCAATACATTAAAATCTCATCGTTAACTGTGGATACCTCTCATTACTTCGTCAACGTCATAGGCATTTAAAGAAATGCAATAAATATGAGCCGGTGCTTACCCAATAAATAATAAATTTAAAATAGTTTTATAATGGATAAAACTGGATAAATATTATATATCCATCGATAACCAAAATACAGTAGTAATGGATTATTCAATATTTATTTCATCCTGCATTTTCTTCGATCTTTAACTGACACAATCGAGTTCAGACACCACAATGTCCGACATTTTGTATAAGCAGTGAAAGGTAATCAATTTTTTCTCCTTCAGAGTCACATCCTTTCGGAGACTACTGACTAGGAATTAATATAATGTAACTGTTGGACAAAAATTCGGAAGTAGATAAAAGATAAAACACGTCGCTTGATAATATATTAAGGACGATCAAGATTACATATATATTATTATTATAAAAGATCTAATAAATAAATATATTGGGAAGGTTACATGAGTAAGCTTCTAATGACGGCAGCTTCATGGCTATCTTCATCAACGGAGTCGAGGAGCTGCGACAAACGGTCACTGAGATTGTCAACTTCTCTATGTAGTTTACGTATGTAGTTGCATGTCTCTTGTAGTACCTTCGATGCTGACACCTGAATTTTAATATAAACATATATAACATCATCAAGACCATGTATAAACATACATACATGTACGTACGGACATCACAACATGGCTTTTCGACTTTTTCATTTGGTCAAAATAGAAACCAAAAATGTTGTCAGGAGTCAAAAGTTCCGACTTTTGGTTTCTTTTATTTGATTTGTGTCTTCGCCATCTTCTTTTAGCGAAAAGGGAATTTTCTTTTTCTTCATTTTATATATGATCAGGTAAATGAAATGATATTATGTAATATACCTTATCAGAACGGCGCCGTTCGCTAATCTCCGGCAAAAGGTGACGGAGTTTACCAACGAGGTCGATCATCTGGTCATCGGAGATCCTCGGAGCATTTGAAGATTGTCTTGATCTTCTGTTAGACATTTTTTTGAGGCTTTTGCTTGTTCGTTAGTTGTGACACTACAATGTCGCAAGAAAATGAACCTCAAGTTGTGTGCGTTTTCGTTCTATCTCTAGATTGGACAATAGATAAGAGATGGGGATTGAGAGGGAAGGAAAGAGCGAGAGATCGAGAGAAAGGTTGTTATAATAAGAGAGAGATTAAAGAGTGATAAAAAAATGTAGCTAGTAGATATAGAGAGGATTTGTGTTTATTCCACAAGTTTTACTTTAAAAATGTGAAAGAAGAACGAGAAGAGAAGAATAAGAGGAAATGTAAGAAAGTGTTTCGGGCTATAGAGACACTGAGAGATATAAAGAAATCGAGAAAGTGATCAGAGGGATTTAAAGAGGTCAAGGACCACAGTGAGAGAGACAGAGAGAGAGAGAAGAGGGCAATAAAACCTAGACAATGATGTAATGGGAGATAAAGAGATTTGATAACAGCTAACCAAAATATTTTTTAAATAAGTTATATAAATTCTTCTATCTCATCTATATTCGTCACCTTGAGGCTAGATGTGAAATGAATATGCAATATAGCGTGAAAAAAGTTGTTCCGTGGATTTATTATTAGTCAAGATAAGTGATCGATTTGTTTTACCATTGCAAAATGTATATTTTAGAATTAGTTGGGATTTACACTACAACAGTTTATGCATTATCATCGTATATATAATTTGGGACATATTTTATCTCAAACAAACTATGTGATTGTTGTGTGATAGGCCTTCTTTTGAAAAAAAAAAGATCACAAATTAGTTTGTAAATTATCCGTTTGCAGCATATTTTTTATTGACAGAAAAACCATAACTAATTACAAACAAAAGTTATATGGAGAGTCGTATGAATTTCAAAATATCATTTTATTTACTTAATAACAAAAAAACAAAAAGTTATATGTGATTTGCTATCGTTTGTAAATAATTGAAACCATTGTATATAATATAAGTATGTTGAATAATGGAGAAGGATTTGGATTTTAAAATGGAAAGGAGATGGACGAAAAAAAATTTGGAAAAGAGATGAAAAAAACTGTGTGTTCCCAAAGTTAGTGTTAAAGTTGAAGTGGGATTTAAGAGAAGTGTTCCATGTTGAGCTAACAATGTGGCCCTTTATGTGCATGTCACTAAAAGGCAATACCATGTGATAACATTGACTTCCTATTTCTATTTTCATTACTATTCACCTTGAATTAATATCAACAACTAAAGATAGCGAATGATCCAGAAAGTTCATATATAGTTTTGTATAATCTTCAAACAATAAAAAAATAGCATACCATTCAAGATTATAAAACTTTGTCATGTATGATATGCGAACATAACACACACACACAAACACACATTTAAATATTTATAAAAAAATTTGGAATTAAAATTATTAATTTAAAAACAAAATTAATCGGTGTTTAAGCTTAAACTTAGTTTTTTTTTTTTTTGTCAAACGTAAATTTGTGTACGTTATTCTCAATTTCCGCAGAATCCAATTAGTGAAGCATTTCATCAAAAATAGAATCAAGCGTGGACTTGTTTCAGACTTGCAATTGATTACCCAAAAAATAAAAGAGGTCATGATAAGTTCGTCTTCTTCCTAATTTAACTCCTATGTTTCGGAAGCTTGAGATTTAGTACACTTGATGCTAAACAGCATACATGTCCCATGTGGTTGCTTAAGATCTCGGATTATGCCTCCTTAGATTCTTAATCATGATTACCACGGGGACACAAGGTACTTCATTACGTCCTTTATGTGTGCATTGTTTACCTAACATACAAAAGTATCAATATATTAAGAAATTATACAACTTAATTATTAAATTTAATCAACTAGATTATGCTTTCTGTTCCAAACTCATAGGTGTCGGGATTCACATTCCCAACAAAAGGAACAATCTATCAAAATTACTATTACAAAATTAGAATTAAGGAGAAGTTGGTATTTATAAATAGCTATATAGTATAATCTTCTAGCTAAAAATATCTCGATTGACTTTTTATAACACTTTTAAAGTTTAAGCTTTTTTTCTTTTAATGATTTAGTTTTTTCTTTTTCTTTTTGAAAATCACAACTAATTTTAAAAATATTTATTTTAAACAATTGAGGGAAAACATATTTTCGTATTTGAATCTAGATTACGACATGGATTGATGAGAGAAACATGTCAATCAATATTTTCATACTAATTATTTAGTTATCTATGGTCTTTATGGGGACACCAAAGTATGTGATAGCTAAAGCATTGCTTGCCTAAGTTTCACATCACATTGATTTGTTTGTACTAATATGGTTGTTTTATCCTCTATTTTAATGGAAAGGTGAATTTGTTGAATTTATCCATTGATGCTTTTAAGTATTAAAATTAGTTTAATTATTAAAGATGAAAAAGTTATAGTTATAGTCTAATTTTTTTGAACATTTTGAACAAGGAAAATTGATTTTGAACTGTTATATATTGATGACTACAACACTAAAATACATAGATGAAATGTTAGTCCAGGGATCTCTCAATGGTATAATAGCAGAAAAATTGACATGAAACAAGCGAAACATGTGAAAAGAGTGGAAAGAGTGTAGTATTGAAACGGGAATAGTGGAAAATTAATTGTCCTACTTTATAAAATTCATTCATACAATAAAATTTTAAATGAGTTCATCAACACATATATATAACGTACCGTTTGACAAAGAAGAGGACAAGAACCGTATCAGTCCTTACCTCTCCATAAGAGCCCCTAGTTTGAAGATTTTGTTTTTCATATCCGAAAAAGAAGCTAATCACTATGCCGGAGCAAGATTTGGCTCTTGGTTCACCTTCAAATTTGGATATTTTAAACAGTCTTTTACCATTATAGCTTTTGGATATGGTTGACGAAGCCCGACATGTACTGATTCAACCTCTTCTTTCTATTCAAAGTTTGCAATTTTAGTGAAAAAGAAAAGTAGAAAAATCAATTATCTAACCATTCTTTTGAAAAACAATGCAGATAAATGTATACATTCTGCGTATATATATATATATATATATATTCTTTATATTCTAATAAATTGCAAAGGGAGATATAACATGTTAGTCCATGTGGGTTTCGCGTACTAAGTGTTAGGCCGCTTAGGCTCCACGATGTTTTTGTGTCCAACGATCCCTTTTGATTTTTCCTATCAATTTTGGTCCATTCAAACATAATGTAACAAAATAAGATTTTTCGATTTTAAGTTTATTAATGAATGATGAGAAAAGCAGCCTTATGCAATAATTGAATTTTCTGATGCAACTATTTATAGTATTATTATATAGTTTGAATAGTTTCGTATAGTTAGGATTACGCTGCTGAATCAACGTCGTAGTTTACGCTTACGCTTCTAATAAAATGCGTAATAATACTAAACAGCATGCTATAATAGTGATTTCAACGAGTCACCTATACGTCTTGACGTTCCTATAAGTAGAATCCTGTATAATGCGATAGCTAACAATATATTGTTTTACAAAAAAGGATATTATGCCCCGACAGAATGCTTAATGATGTTTAAGCACACTTCACCTACCTATAGGCCTTTACTCAAACCGATTGGTCAATGTACCAATTAATACTATTACTACACCGACTTTCTTTTATACCAACCTTGGATGTAAAAAGTTTTAAGATATAATTTCTAATGTAATCGAGTTTTAATATCGACCGATAATTACTGTGAGTATCATGCAAATCACGGCGAAGTATCGTGGTTATAATGTGAGTAAATAGGTTTGGTTGTTTTGGTGGATTTCAAGATTAAACATAAACACGTAATAACAACAACAAGAAGCACTACAAAGACAGTTAAAGGCTTTATGTAATTAAGCAAGATAACAAATAGAAACTACACTATAATAAGTGATGGATTAACAAAATACCCCATCCATTGTACTGTAAGTGTTCTTTTTTATAAACTAACAAATTTTATTTCGATCTTTACATTATAGTAGTAGTAATTAAAACTAAAAGAAATTTTAAAAATTTATACTAGAATATATAATGATATATTTAATATAAAATAAAATTGAAGTTTTAAAACGATATGAAACATTCTTTTATAAATAAACAATAGGTCTAGGGAAGCAACACATGTTAGATTAGATAATGAAAATTCAATCAAATTAACAGAATATAATATATAAAAAATGGCTTTCTTAGAGCATAATTCACTAATATGAAAATAACAACAACAAAAAAAGACACAACTCTCGCTCTTCTGCGCCCATTAAGGATATTTGTTTCCTTTCAACTGCAAGCAAATTTTAGGTTTCCCAAAAAGGAAAGGCCCAAAACAAGACCCATTATAAAGACCTAATGTTAAAGATTGGGCTATATCACTTTCTTTGATAGGATGTAAAGTAGGTCCATTTCTCTCATATCTTTTTTCGGCGCAGGCCCATATGGGGTTTCGCGACAATGTATATTATATAGAACTATTTCAGTGCATATAATTAATCCTGTGCGTTGTCCTTTTATGCAAGGAAACTATTTAAATATCGTGTGCATTGTTGTTATCTTGTATAAGGTGATGATATTAAATAATATAATTAAATAATACATGTTCGGGTTTCGGCTCTATAAGGTTTGTAACTTATCGTATGTGAACAGGATGTAACTTGACTATCTTTACACGGTGAGGACCCATTTCAATGTGGAAACCTATAGAAGAAAACAAGGTGTGTGATAGGTCAATTTCAATTTGAAAGTAGAACCATTTACTAAGAAACAAAGATGAGCAAGCAAATAAAATAAAGTTGTGAGAGATATAATAAGGCAGGAAGAGTTGAAGTACAATGTCAGATAAGGGACCCTCAGTGTGCAACAGAGGCAATGCAATAGTCAACATCTTATCATTATCAAACCACGTTTCATGCATTCCTCGGTACACAGTACAATTAACCTAAAAAAAAACCTTCTGCGGATCATATATGCATTGATTTTGTGTGAATCCGTGTGGTTTACTCTCTCTAGTTTTTTGCTTGACTTGAAGATGAGATTAATTTCGAGATTTTTTAAGTGCCAGATGAAGATGATCAACATCACCTTCAAATGTTATACATATAAAAAAGGTATATAATATTTTGGACCTCTAGTGTTATATAGCCATTTCAGTCACTACTTGATTACTTTTTAATTGTTGAACTATTTACATCAATCATATGTCACCTCTTGGTCTTTTTGTTAATTGGTCGCATGCGTAATGTCACGGAGTTGATGACTTGAGTTCATTGAATGGCTTTAAAATGTGTATTAATTATACATTAATCTTACATTTTTTTATAATATTGCTCCATGTTGAGAGATTAATGTTTTAGAATAGTAAATCTTTCGGCAAAATATATATAACACCAACTAAATTATAACTATGGGTGATATTTAAATAAATTAATGAATAAGAAATTAACATGTAGATAAAAATATAAGTGTACTGATTTAGATTAGAAACGATTCATGTAATTAAAGTCTTTTTTAGGTGCAAGATTCAAGTAAAGTTACCTAATTAATCATATATCCTTTTAGTGAACCAAAAAGACATTTTAACTAAGTTGTATATTTGCTATCCTCGGGATAGATCTTCATTAAATAAGTATTAAACAACTTGAAATATCACGGTCATGTCAAAACGAGTTTTGGTCGTTAATAAGTAATGTACATATCAACAGAAATCTTATATACTGTATACAGTATCAAACATGTGTTGAAACATTTAGCCAAACCCAATAAATACCACATACTGTACGTTTCTGTTATGGGTTTCTCGTGTTTAAACCCAAACCCTAACGGATGTCGTACTCTTTAACCCATATAACGCTGATACCTCACTTGGTTAATTAGCGTTAACTTCTTTGAATAAAGTTGAAACTTTGTTTCCAAGTTCGAAAACTAGTCAAATATTAAAAAAGAGAACGTATGTAGCAATGTCCTAAAATTGATTGATATGATCTTCTGAAGTGATTGATAGATATGTATAGGAAATATTAAACTGTTTGCTAAAATTTGAATAATACAACGAGTGACATTGTTTGAAAATGGGAGAAGGTGAGGCACACATGTGACATGTCTGCCCTTTTGCCTTTACGTCATACAGTTAGAAAAGGAAATATATTTTTTTCGTGAAAACCAAAAAAAGAAAAATCTTCTGACTTTTTTTTAGTGAAAACCAAATAATTTATATGGAATGAATCGAATTCCATCACTAATTTCCTCATGTTTCTCTTTATTATCTGCGTATCTACTATTATATTAACATATACTATAATAATTACAAAATAAGCAAACACACATACTATACTACTACTGTAAAGTGAAAACCTAACGCACTGGACACTTGAGGTGTGTCAGTAAGTGGGGACATGCGAGTCCTTCCCAATGCTGCTTCATGTTCAATCTATTTTAAAAGGTTATATTCAAAATTATTTTAAAGTTGTAATGATAACACTAACACAGTGACACTTTCCATAAAATTCATAACTCGATTCAGCTTTTCCTGCGGTGTTCATTACTTTCGCGTGATATGCTTTTAGTTTTATGTGATTTAGGTAAAAGGTATATATTATATCTTTTTCTAATACATCATTTGTAGTCGCTAATACAAAGGTTTATTATTGTCGGTCATATTTAATCCATTCTGCGCATAAAACTCAATTTCTTTGCTTTTTTTTTTTTTTTAACTACGGATCCGTCGAGTGCCAGCATCTTTGAAGGTATAATTCTATGTTTTGCATAGAGTCTATAGAAAATAAAATCCGATTTTGTAAATTATAAAAAGACAATTTAATGGTTTGTATTAGAATTGTTATTTTGTTATTCTCTGAATTCAAACGTGCATATATACTGTTGGCAAAACAAAAAGCCAAAATTTTGAACCAGTTTTTACAAAGAACAATATGAATATAAGCCGCAAGTTTTATATCCTTATTTTGATTGAAAATCTTACAAAGAAACTTTAGTCTTTATCTTAAAAGTAGATTTGAGAAAACCACATGCAAAGCCTTAAAGGCAAAGAAAAAGAGCTGCACAGTTGGTTTCTTTAAGTTTGTTGTTCTTTCCATATAATTATAGAACTTTATGTCCACACACACATCAAATGAAATAAAGAAAATTAAATGAGAAAAAGAAGTGAATAATTCAAGTACATCCTTTCGTTTTCTTGGCCCCAACAATTAGAAGATAAGATATACAATTATCCTATTTGAAAACCAAATGAGTCATGTGGCTTGCGCGAATTTTCAGGGGGTTTAAATTCTTGTGCGTCTTTGAGTCTGCGAGTTTGATTCCCGCTTAGGATGAAAGACAAAATTTCTCTTAGGAAAACGTATAAACTTCTCAATTTTATCTTTATTACATTCGAGTATCAAACACTACTAAAATTGCACTACAGATAGAAATTATAGAACCGTTTGTTCAGAAATATTTAACCGTATATATTGTTTAATGTGTCTATCGCAGATCGATATATATATACAGTAAGTCTGATTGATGCATTTCTAACCTAACTTTTAGATATTCAGTTATAGAGTGGGAATATTAATAACACATGAAAAATATATACAAAATAAATATATTGAGAGAATTTTGAAATACCTTCTCAGATTGGCGCGTAAAGATCATAAGTACTCAATATATGAAGAAAATGTTCAAACTCACTCTAACTGAAAACTTCAATGAAATTTACCAGCTAATACCGATGAACCAAACTCAGTTATGTTCCTGACCAAACCACTCACAACATGTCCGACCCATTCTACTTACGAACCAAAGATAGGAGGGAGAGATTTGTTTTGAGGCATAAGTTAAAAACATAACGAAAACATAGTTGAGTCTCATCTCATGTCCCTGAACGGGGACGTAAGCAAAGCTTCTCCCAAAAAAGAAAGAAAGAAAGGGAAAAACCTTATAGAACCTTGATAAACACTCAAAAGCTTCATTATCTACACCTATTCATAATATCTTTATAGTCCATAGAAATCTCCCAAATTAAAAGTTTTGATTAAAAAAATTACACAAACCCCACTTTTGTTTTTTTAATCCATCACGCTTCAAATCCTATGCGTTTGAAGCTGTAAAAGCCTTGAATAAGCTCCCTCTGGTCGGCTTACGAGCTCGGAATGGCTGCCTTGCTCCACAATCCTCCCGTCTTGAATCACACCAATGCAATCGACACCTCTTATGGTGGACAAGCGGTGAGCAACCACCACGGTGGTCCGGCCTCTCATGAGCCTCTCTAAAGCTTCTTGCAGCACGCATTCCGACTCTGCATCCAGCGCGCTTGTTGCTTCGTCTAGAAGCAACACCGTAGGGTTCTTGAGCACAGCTCTTGCTATAGCGATCCTCTGTTTCTGTCCACCTGATAACTGCACTCCTCTTTCCCCCACTGGAGTCTTGTAACCTTCAGGCAACCCACTGATGAAACCGTGAGCGTTTGCGGCTCGAGCCGCCTCGATTACCTCGGATTCAGTCGCGCCGTCTTTCCCGTATGCGATGTTGTCGAAGATGGTTGCTGCGAAAAGAGCTGGTTCTTGTTGAACAAGACCGATCTTGAGCCTCAGAGATTTCAGGTTTAGCCTGCGGATGTCTTTGCCATCAATCATGACTTTCCCGGCAAGCGGGTCGTAAAACCGCTCGATCATCGCGATCACAGAGCTTTTCCCTGACCCGCTCGCGCCGACAAGAGCTTGGCTATGTCCAGCTCGGATTCTAAGGTTAAAGTCTCTGAAAACCATGACGTCTGGTCTCGAAGGGTAAGCAAAATCCACATGCCTAAAATCAATGTCTCCACGGATCGTCTCGACCGGATCGGCATCGGCATCGTCCGGGTCAATTCGGGTTTGCCTATCCAAGACCGAGAAAACTGAACCAACAGCTTCACCTCCCCGGATGATCTCAGGAGCAAGACTGACGGTTTCAGCAACAGAGTTTGCAGTAATGACCAAAACCACAAAGACTTTGATCACTTTGGAGAAGGTTGACTTGCCTTCGCTCACAAGGTGGGCGCCGTACCAGAGGATCAGAGCCTCCGATCCATAGAGAGCAAGCTGGGAGAGGCCAAAGAGGAAACCTGAGGCTTGACTTCGGTATAAGCTTCTTTTCTGAGGGACACGGAGCTCGTGACAGAACAAAGACAAGATTTTGCTCTGCGCATTGAAAGCTGCTACGGTTCTAATGTTGCTTACTCCTTCACCAGCAATCATTGAAGTCTTTGCATGAGCTTTGGCTGTGTCTCCAGCAAAACCCTTCAGAGATAGTTGCTGCAATATACATACTTATTCATCAGAACAATACTAAACTTCAAAAATAATAATTAGATTGGCAATCAAAAGTCTAATCTTAAAGTCCTGTTTTTTTTTACTTTGTTTATCTTTTGTGAAGTTTTCGGTAAAACATGATGCAGAAAATATATGTCCTTATGCAAAATTTCAACCACATCAATTATAGTGCAAGTACGTTGTATCTCGATGTCCTTGCGTGTGAAATCTATTGATAGATTTTCAACTAAATAATTAGATCACGGGTGAAGAATCTTATTGAGACTTTGGTATAAAAATGTTGGTGATATCTAAAAGCAGAGTTCTGAAGGTTGCAGCTAGTAAAAACAAAGAGTTTTTTCACAACCTAAAGAAACACAAGCAAACATTGTCCATTGGTGGGTTGTTAAAACACTGACACTCTGACACATACACACACAACTGGGATAAGTAAAATAAAACACTGAGACAATAACTTTGACCAATGAAGAAAACAACAGAAAGAAAAAAAGAAATAAAACAGTGGTTTTTTTAATAAGTCCATGCTCTTCTTACACAATGCCTATTAATAATTGGTTCTTGGATGAAAAGAAAAGTTGCAGGTTTTTTTGGATTTCGTGTGAATATGAGGAAATGGTGTTATGGGCAAAAGAATTAAATAAAAAGAGAGTGGGATCAGATTTCAGAGCTTAGAGAGAGAGAAGTAAATATGAAAGCTTAAAGTAGAAAAGATTTAGCAGAAGTGAACCAAGAAGATAGATACAGAAAAGACAGAGGAATCTTAGCTATTTTCGTGAACACTGTTATCTATGGGCCGTACTACCAATAGAAACTATATAATAAATATTCTTCACAGATGCCCAGAGATTAAAAGTCTACTGTTTTCACATTTATTGATGTGAGGGCTCCATGATCTTGACCCTTACACTATTCTCAAAAAGGAGGAGAAAAAAAAAGAGTAATTGCTTAATAATTCTTTTATGATTATTATTGTAAAAATAAATGCACTCAAAGAAGAAGAAGAAGGAGCACGTGCAGAGGCAGTGGATGTGTTGCGATGTTCTATAAAGTTTTGAACTTTTGCAAAAAATAGATTGATAAAAAATAAATAAAAAACTGGCCTTTTTGTCGTTTTTTTCTGGAGATCATAATGGTGGTTGTAAGATTCCCATTGATCCAACAAAACTCATAAATTTTAGAAAACAAAAAAAGCTAGTTACTCTTTTACTTGATTAAGTTTTGATGTGCAGACTCAATGAGACCATAACCCTTAAGCATTTTTAATGATTGGATAAATATAGATGCAAGTAAAGAATTGAAATTGAAGATTTGAGTAAAAAAAGATGAGATTTTTTACCTGAGCAAAGTTAGCAAGAACTAGAAGAGGGAATGTGCCTAAGATAAGAAGAGAGACTCTCCATTCCACTATGAAGGCAACTATGAAGGATGTGAGAAGTGAAGTCATGTTCTGCAGAATCACTGAGATTCTCTCGGCTATGGCAGATTTAACATCGGCTGCATCAGTGGCTAACCGTGCAGCAATCAGGCTCGAGTTGTGTTCATCCTCATCGAACCAACCAACCTCGTTCCTCAAGATAGCTAATAAGAAGAAGGGATCAAGAAACCAAACAAAAGAATCAGAGAATGTTTTCAGCAAGTTCAAGAGAAAAGTTCAGATTTTTGATAAATACCTGAGAGCATCATTCTTCTTACTCTTGTAGTGAGGTTTTCTCCCATGATGCTAAAGAAGTAGTGTTGGATCAAATAAGCACCAACTGCGTAGAGACCAGCACCGATGTAGATGAAGACATACTCCTTTGTTTTTCTCTCCATTGAATCATAGTCTGTGTAGTAGAAGACTTCGATCATGTTACTCATCACAATAGCAAACGTAGGACCAATGAAACCAGAAAGAACAGAGCCAACTGCTCCCATGATTGAGTAAGGCCATTCCGGTGCATTAAGCTTGAGAAGCCTGTAGAAGTAGTTCTGAGGCGCGCGAGTCTTTCGATCAGTCTCTGCGTTCGAAATCATCTCTATCCGACCATCAGCTCCAGTGCTGTAAGAATAGCTCAGATTCCTCAAGCTTCCTGATCTCAAGCTGAGTGATTTCGTCGACAGAGAGTGGCTCAAACGTGTTGAACGGGTGCGACGTGTTGACGGGTTTGAGAAATCCCGAGTACCAACCATCTCTTGAAACCTTATGAGAGATGCGTAAGCACCGCCTGATTTGGCGATGAGTTCTTCGTGTGTTCCGGTCTCAACAACTTGGCCTTGTTGTATCACCGCGATGGAATCAACGTTTCTTATGGTGCAGAGACGATGAGCAACAACCACTGTGGTCCTCCCAACCATGACTCTGTCTAAAGCTTCTTGGACAATGCTCTCAGAGCTAGCATCAAGAGCACTTGTAGCTTCATCTAGTAACAGAATCTTCGGGTCCTTCAACATCGCCCTAGCAATTGCTATCCTCTGCTTCTGTCCACCTGAGAGTTGAACACCACGTTCTCCAACCTAATTGCATAAACACACTCAGCAAGAGAACATCAACATAAGCACATGGCCATGAGACAATTTCTTAGACATACCTGTGTGTCGTAACCTTTAGGAAGCAACGTAATAAAGCTATGCGCGTTTGCAGCAGAGGCAGCAGCTTCGACTTCGACCATAGTTGCATCAGGCTTTCCGTAGAGTATGTTCTCGAGTATGGTTGTGGCGAAAAGCGCTGGTTCTTGATTCACAAGCCCGATTTGTTCACGCAAGAACTTCAACTGAAGCGTCTTTATTTCAACACCATCCAACAGAATTTGCCCTGCTCATCAAGAAAAACAAAGTTATTATGATCAATTCCAGTCACTAGCCAAAGACTCAGATAAAAAGAGAAAGTTTTCGAACAAATTACCGTTGCTTGGATCGTAAAATCTCTCAATGAGGGAAACAACAGTACTCTTTCCAGAGCCACTGCCACCAACCACGGCCACGGTTTTCCCAGAAGGGAAGAAAATCGAAAAGTTTCTGAAGATGATAACATCAGGCCGTGAAGGGTAGCTAAAGGTCACATCTTTAAACTCGATGTTTCCATGAACTTGCTCCAAGCATTTCCCGTCCAAGGGGTCTTGTATTATCGTTGGTCTCTGGTTAATTATCTCCATCAACTTGAAACCAGCAGCTTTACCTTTGCTAAACGCACCGAGGTTGGAGAAAGATTGTCCCAAGCTCCTACAACAACAGATACAACAACAACAACAACAAAAAGTCACATCCAAAGTCTAACAAAACACCTTTAGAAAAACAACAGTATACATGCTCTGTTTTCTTACATTCCACCAACAATGGCAGAGAATATAGCAGTGAATGCCTTTCCTCCATCGGTTGTTCCGCTCCGGATGAAAACTCCGGCGTACCAGAAAACCAAAGCCCATGACATACAAGCTATTCCATAAGTACATCCTAAACCCAATCCTTTAGCCATCCCGGCTTTATAACCGAGCTTAAGCGTGTACTGAATCGCATCTGAATACGCGCTCAGGGCCTTGCACTCTCCAACATAAGAGTAAACAGTTCGAACTTGAGCAATCGCCTGTAAATTCACAAACACAACAAAAAGAAGAAGAAAAAAAAGTTAAACCCTGTTTTTGGTAATTTTGATAAATAAAAGAGTAATGATTGACTTAAGATTTGACCAAAGAAAAGTGAAAGTTTAATTAATGAGAGATCACTGTTTTAGTCCTTGTTGGATTGAAAGAGAAGGAAGAGAAACATAATCATTAGAGGGATCAAGTACCATAGAGCAAGCTTAACAACAGTAGAAAGCATTACATCGAACAGTTGGTGTTCACTTTAAAAAATATATAAAAAAGAAGACTTTTTTTTTTACCTGCTCAGCTATAACGCCGGCGTTTGCATAGGATTCACGGCTCTTCGAAGTGATTCCGGTGAGCGTGTAGGCGTATAAACCGCCGGCGAAAGCGATTCCGGGAATCACCGCCACACTCAACAAAGCTAATCTCCATGCTGACACAAACCCAACCACAAGCCCCGCCAAAAACGTTGACAGGTAATGTATGAAATTCCCAACCTGGAAACAAAAAAAAATAAAATAAAAAATTGAATTTTTCACCTACTCTGATATTAAATCACCTCATCTACAATAAACCCAGAAACTCAAAAAGTGTGATAACAATTAAAACAATAGTACGCGGGGGCCCAGCGCACGTTAACTCATGCTTGCTAACGTGCAACCTTAGATACAGTACGACAGTTACAGATGGAGAAAACCACATTCTTCTTCCTCCCTTACCCACCTGAGGTGCACGATAATTGACGGGTTGCTAACGTTAACGGGGCAGAGCTCTGATTGAGATTGATCAGAGAACGATGGGACCCGCCGGTAAAAAAAAAAAAAAACCCTCCAAATACTAGATTTTGTGGATGGCCCGAAAACATAGAACATGTCTCGTACAATTACGGAACGGCTAAATCATGAAATTACAAAAACCCAATAAAAGAAGAAAAAATAATGTTTTTTTTTTTTGGTTTACCTTCTCGCTAATGGCGTCTTGAACAAGAAGAGTATCGGTAGAGACACTGAAGACAATGTCACCAGTTCTTGCATCGGTGTCGAAGAATCCAACGTCTTGTTTTAATACAGCTTCAAGATATTTCTTCCTCAGTGCAGCTACTTGCCTTTCTCCAGAATACATCCAACATGCAATCTCTGGAATTATGTTAAAAAAGAATATATTAGTAAAAGAATTTTTTTTGAAGCGTAATAAATGCGAGAGAGATGCCGATTTGATGACGGCTTAATCGATACGGACAAAGTAGGAGTCCATGAATCACGTGGACTCGGCTTATCCTCCTTTCTTTTTTTCCAATTACAAAAATTTAATTTTTTTTGAAAGAATATATGAACTTGAGTTTATTGGAGGTGATTTCTCTGTTTCTGGGTTTATTGACTGAAGTTAAAAATAAAAAAGTTTGGATTTTTTTAGTTTCTGGTTCAGAAAATGGACAAACCTGCGTATGAAGAGAAGCAAACCACCAAACCCAAGTAGACGAAATACAGAGCATACTGCAATTTTAAGACAGGATTAAACAGATCAGATCTTGGATCTAATTTTTTATTATTAAAAACAAAACAAAAGGAAAGGAAAGGAGGGATTTTGATTTTTACTCTGGAGACTTCATGTGTCATTTGATGCAAATCCATCTGGTTTTTACCGAATCCATTGACCATCTCACCGAAGAGCAAGAAGAAGACAGGCATGGAAGAGCCATGGATAATGGCGCCAATAGAGCCAGTGATCATCAAGAGATAATCGAATTTATCTGCGAAAGAGAAGAGCTTGAAGAACGGTAAGCTCTGTTCTTTCTTCTTCTCAGCCTCCGCCGGCGGGACCGGCTTCGTATCCGCCGCCGTCGCCGTCGTGTCCGACATTTTTGAAACCGAGTTGTGAGTGAGGAGAATGGGAAGAGGAAACGAGTTAGAGCGAGTCAGGGACGAGTTGGCTCAGAGAGAAAACGAGATCATCGGTAATGGAGGAGAGATCCAGAGCAGAGAGAAAGAAAGGAAGAGTAACGTTTGTATAAAAAAAATTTCTCGAAGAAAAAAAAACTGACAATTTGTTTTGTGAGTTCGAGAACTCTTTGCGAGTGTCTCTTGTTTGGAAGTGGTGAAGATTAAAAAATGGAGAGAGATAGAGAGAGAGAGAATGAGAGTGTGGAGAAAGAGGTGTGATGTGTATATATAGGGAGGAGAGAGAGAGAGAGCACAAGTGTTGTTGAAGAAGACCAGTGGTCAAAGACTAAGCGAGAGAGAGATTCGTATGCTTGTGGAGTGGGACGGTAAATTTGGTGTAATTAAATGTGAGAATCTAAAGTTAGTAGAAGAAAAATGCAAAGTGAGTGAATATAAGGATATAAATAATAATTATTGGTAATTTTCCTAAAATGTTGTCATTTTCAATTAATAGTTTTGAAATACAAATACAAATTTGGTGTTATCCAATTAGTGGTTTTGGAATACAAGACAGGTATTTTAACAAATATGAAAGTATAAGTTGAATTTGTTATAAATAATACATTCATGTTAAATTTCTGACATAAATATTAAAAGTATTTGAAGATGTATGATCTAATCAAATATACTAATAATATATTTGCACCCAACAAAGAAAATACTAATAATATTTGAAAAACGTAAAATATTTTGTATTGTCATAAAGTTATGATAATAGGTGACACATTTCATAGCTTTTTGGTCAAAGGGATAGATAAGGTGAGTTATTGGGGTCAAAGGAGGTGATTTGCACCAAATAATCTAACAGAGTTTAATAAATATTATTCCCTCTGTTTCATAATAAGTGTTATTTTGAGAAAATGTATTTGCATTGTAATTGGATGTATCTGGATGTGTTTTGAGTTTAATACATTCAGATACATTGCAGATATATTTTCTTCTAATGACACTTATTATGAAACAGAGGGAGTACTAAACAAATAAGCTAATACTAAGGTCAGGTGACCCCCTAGCTTCGTCATTACCAGTCTAAATCAGTGTGGGTGAATCAATCAACTATTTTCTTACACCACAACATACAAAAATTTGTATTTATATGTCAGAAAGTTATGTTCTTCACTTCTTTGTAGAGAAAGCGAGAAATGTAGTATCACACTTTATTTTAGAATGATAGATAAACTTGTAGAAGTGAAGAACATAGAATAATTAATCTTGTAGAAGATAAACTTGTAGAAGCATCAAGCATTAGTACTCAATTTGTAAAGAATTATGAAGTATATGAGAAACAGGCATATAGTAATTAATCAAGCTAAAGAAAAACACATGAAATTTCAGAGACTATTAAATAGCAAAGGGAATGTAAACAAGAGAAGAAGAGAAACATGAATACGTACATGAAAAAACGATGGCCAACATTAGTGAGAAAGGTTTCTTATTACGATCTTGCAATCATTTTATCTTTTACTTAAAAATTCTGACTATGCAAGACTGCAAACTTAATCTACTTTTTTCTAGAAGTTGTAGTTAATACTCCTAAATACCTATCTCGATTACCTAGAAACATCAAAGGCAAACTTAGACCATCTCTATTGATGAGAGACTCAAATGAGTCTCTCATCTAATATTTAATTATTATATTTAGTATAATTTAGTTTTTGAATTATTTTTATCAAAACAAAAAATATTAAATCATTCACGATAAAACAAGTGTATCTAAAGTTTCTAAAAAGTCTTTCAAAATCTCTAATATAAAAGACTCATTTCACTATCTCTCTTCCTTCTTTCTTATTTTATTATTTTTTTAAGTTGAGAGACTCCAAAAAATCTGCAATGCAAGTGCTCTTATGCCTATATAAGAAATCTGCAATACAGGTGTTCTTACGTCTATCTAAGCATCGACATGTAACATACATGTTATATGTTTTTTTACAGAGACGCAAGTAATCCTTTCGATATGTTGATCAAAATGATCATATCTTAGTTTTAAATCATGCTGAACTCATATATCGGGCTTTCAATAGTTTTTATAATCTTAGATGAATATGGCAAAGTTGTTATGATTTTTGTAATTAAAGTTTTTGTCTACAATATCATTTAAAACTGTGAAACTTAAATCTCTACTGTAACGTCTTAATTTGTTTTTTTTTTCCTTTTCCTAATTGGTTGTCAGATAATATTGAATTAATTGTTTGTCTTAATTTATTAATGTTGGTCTTATATGCTCCATTTTCAATTCAAAATCTCACAATTTTTTTGACTGGTCCTATAGCTCAACCTGTTTAATCCAATGCTCTTAAGTTTTACCAACTTCTTACATTTTGTAACATATACCACTAGTTACATTTTACCATTATCATTATAAAAAAATGTAAAATTGGGAGAAAAGAAGCTAAAAAGTAAAAAGGAGGTGATGGAAGAGATAGTATAGTAATCAAAAATTTACAACCAACTAAAAGTGACTTAGATTCGGTTATGAATGTAAGAGCATACCATGTGAAGTGGTTGTCTTTTTGTGTTGCTTTGGTGTAGACCAATGCCACTTCACGGCTTCAACGATGTTTCGTTTATCCCATTACAATTCTCTATTTTATATATACAGGAAATTCTAGAGATATACATGCAATCAAACTCGAAAAAAAAAATATATGCAGATGAATATATCAATCTAGATAGAACGGTAGTCTTGTAATAATAGTGTACGACGATGTGATTTAATAATCGTCAGAAGTATGGTATTTGATCGTAGAGTTTTTATTATGTATTTATTAAGATGTTGGACACTGAAGATATTTTTCAATTGTTTTTTTCTCCGGCGATGTAAACGTACGTTATGCAGTTCGACACATCCTAGAGATTAATTGATTATTATCATAGATGAGTTTCCAACGATACACGAAATTTTGATATAGTGATATATTAAAATGTCTAAAGATTTGAACTAATACAATCGAAACTCTTAAGCAGTTTTCCAACCATTAGATATATAAAATACTAGAATTTTCATCAGGCGATTAGATTAATGTCATTGTGGTTAAATTATAATACGAATTTTGTGTCCATTCTAGTTTCGGTATTAATTAATAATATATCCATTTGGATATACAAATTCATATAGATGAAAATCACATATAATATTGTAGTGGAAAATAATTGTCCACACATGTGCTTACAATATTGTACAATTTTCAAGTCTTGCATGATGAGGGTATATATGTTTGTGTATGTACGTATATGCGCATATACGTTTATGGAATCATGGTTTAGCTTGTAATATGAAAATCGTAACTAAATCTGCCATGTTCGTGGTTGGTGTGGATGCACAATCAAATATTGATTTATCTTGTTTTTTCTCTTGATATTATATATGTTTGATTTGTCTTCTTTTGTTTTTCTCTGGATTTATAGTCTAGGCATTTATAAAAGACCGAGATGTTTAATAAATGGCATGTACACGCATATTCTGTATGTATAATATTGATCAATTCTTAAAAATATCAAGAAACCACGTAACTAACAAACAAAACATCTCTACAAATTTTGATTATCGAGGTCTCCTCAGAAAATGCTTTTAACCATCTATTTAATCTTCTTATGATTGTGTTCCTAGTATCTATAAGTATTGTGCAATTTTCAAATGATCGCCAATGTTTTTTGGAGTCCAACACAATCCTGGTAATAAAATGAGGTGATCAGCTTATTTTTTGGGTTAAATCTGTTGAAAAACTTTTCTATTATGGTCCATGTCTAAATATATAAACGGTCCACGAATATTCATCATCAATCACTTTCTCCAATGTTCCGTTACAATCAATTCGTTATTTCACTCTTAACATTTACACCCCAATAAAATTCGTTATTTCACTTCGGTATGAACTTCAAATTCTCAAATTTAAAATTTGAAAAATAAATCCTCAAGTTTTAATATATGAACGTATATAAATATGTGTCTCTTTGGTGTAACTTTTGTAGGAATGATGTGGCTATAATTTTAGTTTACGTGGATGATTTGTATATAAATGAAAATTCGGAAAATTACATGCAAGGCGGACTGTTTTGTAATGGACCTTAGAGTGATTAGGCCTAGCTGCAGCCCAATATACACACCGAGCTCGAAATGGGCATTTCAGATTCTATCTATACCCAACCGAAGTATCCAAAATTTTAGGGTAAAACCGTAAAAGTAATAAATACCCCATTTAAGCAAAGATATTACCCCGACAGATATGATATTAAATTATTAATACTCCGGTCGGGTTTTCAGAGTAATTCCTTTTCTTTCTTTTTTTTCGGAAGAACTTATTTTATCCAGATTCCAAATTACCAGTTTAGATAGTTAAATGTTTAAAATCTATCTAATTTTTTTTAATTTTAAAAATATTTACAATGATCTGATATGGATATTTTTATAATATATATCCAAAACTTATAAAAAATCATCCAAAATTATCTATAATGTTTCAAATATTATACAAAATTACTTGTTGAATAGTGATTTTTAAGTATCTAAATTACTCGTTCAGATAGTGGTCAACTATTAATAGTCTACATATTTCCGTCCGTTATTCATATTATCTATCTTATACTCCTAAACTAACATCATCACACTCTATTTTTTTTTTTAATCAAAACAAGATTCTAATGAAACCAATATTTCAATTTTGGGGTATTTGATATGAGAACTAATGTTGTTGGAGATAAATTTCAGCTACTTTAAGTCAATGTATCATAACATGATACATTGCATCTAAATATGTAACAATTAAAATGACAAAAAAACAAAAAACACTCAAATTACATGAATTTGTTTTTGTATGTGTGGGACTGAAATAATTTTGCTATTTTTGCAAATATCGACAATAATGTTCTTGTTATAGAATGCAAATATTCTTTTAAACTATTAGTTTCAAATTCACTATTCCTAGCTGAAAGCAGTATTTGTAGGGTACATAAGATTATTTCGATCCTCTAGACATTGATAATTACTTTGTGAAATGTAATTTTTAGTATACCTCTTTTCATTTGTTTCTTTGTTCCTTAGTTTCCGTTGTTATGATCAATTATTAATTATTACTATAGTACAAGTACTCAAAACTACTGAGTAGTAAAAATACCGATGCTGATAGGCCAAGTGGCCAACGACAATAGATAAAGAACAAATAAATGGGTAAACAGTAAATATGTGGGTTTGGTTGTTTATCGAGCAAAGCATCTCATTCTCATCTATGCTGTTATATAAATATTCTTATAATTATTGTTTTAAAAAGA